TAAAATATGATAAAGTGATGTGACAGTAACTAAAAGTGTGTTAAAATGATGACTGTTGATGAGTTGGAAATCCTTTGTGTATATAATGTATATAATGTATATATTAAATAGCATTAAGAAACTTTTGTTTATAGTTATTCATGGAATGTAATCAATTACCAATCAATTACTTTCTCAAAGTAATAGTAATTTAATTGATTACAGAGGCAAGTCTGAGTAATCAATTGTAATCAATTACTATAAAATCTGAAAGTAATTGTAATTAAATCAATTACTGATCAATGTAATCATCCCCAGGTCTGTCTGAGACAGGGCCAAATTTGGCCGTAAGTGAACCAAGCCCTTTAAATTATAAAATCAAAATGTATTTTCTTAGGAAAATTCTATCTACTAGCAAATGGATGCTTTTTTTTTTTACTTCACTTACGATAAATATATAAAACATAGGATTCAATTGGAATTTTGCAACATTATTATCAACCTCAAACATGGAATATTCTACATGATTCCCGTAAAACTTCAATAGAGTATGTTCTTATTTTCATCTAGTACAATTTATGAAAGGAAACCATAAACTCTTACAAGAGGAATGAATGAAAACTTGCACAAATCTCCCAAAATGTTTAATATACCCCAGTACTAAGTTCCAGGTGCGAGATCATTTGTTTTTATTGCCTAGGTTGTCTCATATTTTCCCAAGGATAAGTGAGTTTTTGTTCTTATTCTTGATTAAAAACATAAGAACAAGTTAAAGAAATTCTTCTGATCAAACGGACAAGTAAGCCAAAATCAGATTTTGCCGGCCCTACCTACCAATTCATGTAAATCTATCAGTAAAGTTTGGTACATCGTCAAAAAATGTTACATTTCGATTCAATACCATAAAATTCAGAGTCTTTAAACACATATTTCTCTACCTTCATAATGTACTTATATTTATGTACACAAAAAATAGCAAAGTCATAGCAAATCTATGAAAGTTTTCATGTATACAGACATAAAGTTCATCTATGGTCCATATATATATGATATATATATTTTTTTATCAAGAGTATCTAAATATACAAATATGTCATGTATATCGCAATAAACAATAACATTTATAAACAAATTTCCCATTACACCACCGCTCCCTGCCCAAGCAATGTGGCAGATAATAGGAGAAATGAGTGTAATTTTCAACAGTTTTTGCATTCCAGTCATTGGGATACTGTTTTTTTTATGGTAAAATTAAACTTGAGATTTGTTCTACTCGCAGTGCAGGGGGCATTTAGCCAGGATTTTATAACCCAAAAGCCAAAGTCCTTGCTATTCTTTGGGGGTGGGGTATGGTGTGGTTATTGATAGGTGCCTCTAGTATTTGAAACTTGGGGTAAAACTAAAAATATTTAACCTTTCAGCATAATGTATAACACTAGCTTCTTAAAGAATAGGTGTGGGACTTACTTACAGGTAAATTACCACCCATATTACGTAGGTATTTGGAAAAACAGGGAACATACTTTGAAATTTGCTGATTATTTATTAATTTTAACCAACAAGAACCGAGTTCCCACAGTTGAAGAAATGTTCGGGAATCTACTCATTTCTGCCCCCATCCCCACATCATCCCAAAATGGACAAATAAATATTAGTCTCTTTTTTTTTTATATTTCCAATGGCTTTATATGGCTTAATATGCAGATACAATAGTTGTGGAGACACCCCTCTGATTTAAATACATATTTAAATGAGATTCTTCATTATATGTAAAATGATTTTATGATAAAACAAAAATACAAAACATGGACCAAGACTACAAAACTTGAGATTGAGTACCAGTCTATAATGCTTGTACACGATTGGCTGAATTCTTTCTATGAAATTTCAAACGGACCAATGGAATGGCATTATACATAGACTGGTGTTCAATCTGAGAAATATAACCTACAATCCTATTCTCTTTGACTAGATACTTAACTAAAGCACTAATTAACACACATGTACAGACAGACACACAAATAAAGAATAAGATCATATAGTTGTTTGGGGAACAACATACTTTGTAAATATGGGTAATTAAAAAACAAACAATAAAACCCTTTCCTTCAAACTAAGCAGATATCTTGCTTAGCAGTTTATCTTTTTTGACAGCTGAATTGATCTGATATGTGATTTCAACTACAAAAGCGAGAAAGGCATAATATTATATTTGAAACATGAAAAAGAAAGAAATACTGTTATATATGTGGCATAAATAATAAATTGACCAATGGAAACCAAGGTCTATAATAACAAATAATTGTACAAGATAGCTATAGAGACAGATCGTATATACCAATATTTAAGTGCTGATCTAAACTTAGCAGCTTAAGACTTAGTAGTAATGAAATTTTCCTGAAATCTCTAATTATTAAGAAATCAAAGCGACACCAGGACTCATTGGAGAAACAATTGAATGGCAATAATTGATACAATAATTAAATGAAAAATTTAATATGTATAGGGTTCTGAATGGAGGATTATTTTTTTGGTTATCTTACAAAATTTTAAACCATAACTATGTCTTCAAAAAACCTAAACTATCCAAGTCAGAACAAGTATTGTAAATAAGAGATAGCCAATTAAATCAAAAGCAACTTAAAATTGAACAGCCAACATATACATTAATCTGCATGTCAATTAAAAATTCTAAAATTAAATCAACCGTCAGTACAGTGTAAAAGTCATATAATGTTGACATTCTAGCTTTTTTTGCTGGTGGTGGAAAACTCTAAGACATCGCTATATGCATTTTTAGGCATGCGTAGGTATCCAAGTTAAACAACCAATTTTCTGCAAGCTGGATGGATAACTTACTCACTTAGGCCTAATTTTATAATGATGACATACCTAAGTTATTATCACTGCTGTCTAGAAATTTATAAAAATCTTTCCAAAATTTTAAACCATAACTATGTCTCCAAAAAACCTAAACTATCCAAGTCAGAACAAGTATTGTAAATTAGAGATATAAAGACTAAAAGATATGTCCTTACAAAGGAAAAAGAGAGAAAGAAAAAAAGAGCGAGAAAAAAATACAAAAACAGTTCACATTGACAATGACAACACAATAACTTACAACTATGTGAAACAATAAATGTATTTGTGATCATTTACCGCATACCCTCTTATAAATGCCCCTTTCCTAATAAATGCACCCTCATTCTTTGACAAAAAAGAAGTAAAGAACCGAAAACAGTTACCTAAATAATAGCAATATATTATAATACCAAGGAAATGAAAAGCTGGAGTTTCAAGTATATATAATCCAGTCAATAAAAATCACAAAAACTGTAAATTGTTTCAATTTGAATGATATTTAATTTATACAATTTTATTTTAGTTTGATTGTGATAAAAGCTATAAGCTTATTGAAACACATGAATCTGTTCCTGGAACCAACCAGTATTATTTTCAATTGATTGTATTGAAAGCTGTAAGCTTATTGAAACACTCAAATCTGTTTCTGGAACCAAGTTTATTTTATGTACAAAATCATTTTAGTTTGACTGCGTTAGAAGCTATAAGCTTATTGAAACACTTGAATCTGTTCGTTCTGCGGCGTTTATAAGAGATTGTAATACACGCCGAGGGCGTTTATAAGAGATTGTAATGCACACCGGGGGCTTTTATAAGAGATTGTAATGCACGTTGGGGGCGTTTATAAGAGATTGTAATGCACGCCGGGGGCGTTTATAAGAGATTATCCGGTAATGAACATCTATCAGACATTGAAACATTCATAACAGGAAAAATATATATATATCAATGCAACAACCTAATACCTTGTCTCTAAAACATAAAATGTATAAAATTTCATCAAGGCATCAGGGAACATCACTAACAATTTGAGTCTAGACAATTTTTTTCAGCAAAAATCCTCAAAATCAAAAAATAAATTACAGTACAAAGAGCGCAGATTTGTCAATACATTCAAAAAATATTTTGTATTCACACAAAATGGAAAAAATAAGATTTTTTAAAATTATAAACAACAAGATTATGTAGGCTGCGACACACAGTAAATGCAACAAAAAAATATTTTGTATTCACACAAATGGAAAAATTTAAGATTTTTTTAAAATTATAAACAACAAGGTGTAGGCTGCGAGAACAACACATATTCAACAGACTGTTCTTAAAAAAAAAATCATTATGCACGACAATATATTATATATGTATGTTACATACATGTATCATAATATAACAGAATAATAATAATTCAAGACAGCAGTATAAAAGTTATTTCTACACAACAAAAGTTGTATTATTTTCACCAACTAAAGAAAAAAGCTGAGTGATATCAAACATATCTCACTAAGAAATATATCAAATATATCTCACTAGAAAATATATCAAATATCTGCATCAGTGTGTAGATTCTTAAAGAAAACTATTACAGCTTTTAATAAATAAACAGAGATTAGTTATAAAAATAAAAGAACAATATTCATTTTTAACAAAAATACAAAAAAAACAGTATTTCGTAGAGTATGATTTAATGTATACAAAACTTAAATCGCTGTTTATTAAACATACTCGATTCTTTGGTCGATAGAAATGCAGAAAGTATAATAGCTTTTACCTTATAATTGACCTTGTGTAAAATTCAGTTACTAAATAACTATTCTGAAATTAATTATTGTTCTTTAAAGCTGCATACCTCCAGAATGAGCCAAAATATTTCAAGAAAATCAAACTTGAGAAAAATTTACTACGATTTTAAGAAAAGTTCAAGATTCAAGTAATAATTATGTTATGTATGATTAATGACTTGATTTTGCAGAATTTATCACCATATTTCTACTGAGTGACTAACGTAGTAAGGGCTATTTTTGCTTATTATTTGGTACCTTTTTAGATAATTTATGTGGATTGTAACTGCCATTTAAATTTGCAATGTGTAAATTACTTTCTTTGTTCACTTCACAAGATTTTACTATTCAAAAATTTCAATACATTTTCAAAATTTTCATGAAAAAAAAATTAGCATGAATCTGGAGGCATGATATTTTACTATGCCAATGGTCATTCCTTATTAAACCTTTTTAAGACACAGGAGTCAATAATCATAAATGCAGTGATTTTTACCATTAATGAGGATATAACATTAAACCAACTTGCTGAATACCCTTATACCTTCAAATTAGACTATAATATAACCTTAATGATGACATTAAAACAAAGATAATACTATTGGGGATTACAACAATATCATTCTAAAATAAGAGCTAAACAAACAACATATGACAATTAAAAATTAAAACATTGATAAGTGTATTGCCATCGTGATAAAATAAATCTTTAACATATTTTGTATTATTAACATACATGATTCTTTTTTTACACATAAAATTCACAACAAAAAAGCTGCCTTTAAACAGGAACTGTATCCGGTTCCTTGGTCACCTGTACACTATTGTTACTTTTAATGAATTCTTTCAGCTCTTCAATATCACTGCACTGATTGTACAAATCTTCTCCAAGCACAGTGTCCTCGATCGTGACCTTATGACCCGGAAGTTCAAGCTGCATGGTCCCTTCATCCCCTAAGTCCTGCCGAATACAAACTGTCCCTTTAATGAACACTTTTGAACTTTTTCTTGGTTTTGGAGACCGAAATGAAGCTTTTGTGCTGGGGTTTTCGTTTTGTTTCGCGATTTTAATCAAGCCTTGATTTAAGTGAGACTTCCCTGTAGATTCAGACTCCGTTTCTTGCCATGGTGAGATAACAGATCTCGGTTCACTTATACGCCATTTTTCAATTGGCTGAAAATAGTTATTCTTGATCGGTGAACTGAAATCGCTCATTGCCGAGCTTGTGGACAGGGATTTTCTCGGTGATTCATCGCTAGAACACAATGAGCTGTTATCGAACTCAATTTCTATGCTGTTGCAACCATCAGACCGTATTAGAGCATTCATTTGATGATCATCTATGCTGATCACCTCGCATTCGAAATCTGAAGACAAGGTACTTGTGCTTGTACGACTCCGTACATCATCCCTTCTTGGACTGTGCCACGGTGGTATTCGCCACGGCTCCCAAATTGGTGGTCTTAAATTCTGCAACGTGGTGTCATTCTTACTAGGTGTCTTTAAACCATGATGCGGAAAGCTATCCTGCCTTCCAAATGTTTTATTCAGAAAGAATTCACCCCATGCGCGTAAATGATCCATTCTTGGTGACATATCACCAAAGTTTGACCTTGTTCTTTGATGAATAACGTCAGCGAAGGCTTGATGAATATCACTGTTGGATCTCCCTGAATTTCTCCTCTCACGATTATTTTCCTCTGCTCCACTTCTTGGACTACACAATTCTGACACTTTTTGCTTTGTATTGCCTGTTTCCGACTCTTTTGACTTAGGAATATTTTCATTGATTTTATACCCTGCCTGTAACACCTTCACATCGTCAGTGCTGGGTGAAACAGGAGGGCGTGAGCCGTTTTTTGGACACCCGTGCTGAGAATTATAATATTGTTGAGAAAAAGTGTTCCCCATACCGTATCCATGACCTTGACCTGGATATTGTGGAAACGAGGCTGTTGATGACATTCCTAACCTCGAAAAAGGCAACGAACCAAATCCTTCCCGGTATCTGTCAGGCGGATAAGAATATCCTGGCGGGAAGGAATTTAGAAAATTTGAACGGAACGGATTCATTTCAGAAGCACCTGGTATAAAAGAATGTCCACTAGGCTGATAATGTCCAGGCATTGAATATGGCAGTCCAGGATGGTACATGCATGATGAGTCATTTGGTCCCCTTGCGAATGTATCAATGTGATTTGCAGCATTAAAGTTCATATGAGGTACCCTTGTGGGGTCTCCAAATAGCCCCGTATCCCTTGTTGGCATGTGTGGATGTGGGTGAACAGGGGGATAATGAGGATGCGGGTGATGGGGGGTCAACGAGAACTGCTCAGGCGGTCGAAACTCATTAACAGTCCTTTCACCAATACCAGGCATGCTGGGTAGTGTAGGAATAGGGGGGATGTTAGTAAGTGAAGCACTTGACATTGATGATGGTGAAAATACAGAGGGAACTGGTGGCCCCATATGAGGCATGGATGGGATATGTGGCGTGATACTTGGACAAGACGATATGGGAGTAGGAATGCCTGGAATTGCTGCCATTGGACTATTTACAGGTTGAGGCACCACTGGAGAAGTTGCATCCTGCATTTTTTGAATGGGCGGTGAGGTGGCGTTGTTCGGAGCATGAGGGCTTGCACTTATCTGCATATTCATAGGTGTGCCAGCAGTATGATTCGGTAAAGAAGGTGTTCTGTTATCCATAATAGGATTGGGCGGAGACGCATATCCATTATTTTGCTGTGCAGTCACTGTGGATTGCTGAGGTAGTTGTGCTGGGAAGAAAGGATGATTTTCTGGGCGAGGCTCTGGCATATGAAGTCCAGGATCTGTGAATGGTATTCCTGGGTGCGTTTGTGAATTTGATGGCGGCCTGATTCCAGGAGGAGACTGCACCATTTCTCTTGGAGAAACACGCCCCTGCGGACTCTGGTGATGAGGTCGGCTATATGGTTTAGGCTTTGATCTCAAGTATACACATTTACGGTAAATGCAAGTTTGTTTGAGGACGTCTTTGCGAATACAAAAATGGCACTTCATACAGTTTTCTTTAACCTGACATGGTCCACACTGACCACACCTTTTGCGGCGTTTACACCTTGACCGGTCATCCAATCCGTAAGTGTCATGGGCACCTGCCATGTGGGACTCGTCAAGCTCAATAACAAAGTCCTCTTCTTCTGTGTGGACTTTCTGTGGGAACGACATCCCAGAAGGTGGTCCACCATCACCCATCTTCACCTGAAATTCAGTAAGAGACTATGTAACAACATTTTGCTAAAAAAATAAGTCTAATAAGAAGGAATAATAACTTTGCATTTAGAAAAGTGACTGAAATATTTATCTTACAGTTGATAAACAGATTACGGGACAGGGCTGGCCGTACCAAGACAGACTGTTATTTTGGATAGTGGATCGTGACCTTAGACAAAGCAAACCAAGCATGAATGTTCAATTTGATATTTCTGTGTCTCATAGGATTATATGAATATCATATATTAAATCTGTTTATCACTTTAACCATCATCCGAGTTGGATAGGTCATATAGGTATTTTTTCAGAACAGCCATGGAATATAATATATAATTCATTTTTCAATTAAGTCATTACATTGAACATTGCAACTCTAGCACTGGATACGGCAAAATCTCACTTATAAACCTTGCCTTTGGCAGTGTTTTTTTTCACTTTTGGGGGAAGGGGGTCGGTGCCCTTTGGAGGGGGAAAATGCAATAGGAGGGGGAATTTTCCCGTTTACTAATTTTATATTGTTTTCTTTGCAGTGGAAAAGGGGAGCAACTCTTGCAACACAAGTTTAAAATACATCTCTTTTTCTTATATAAGAATTTAAAATATTGATGCGTCGCACGTTAAACTTGTTGGGACGCCAGGAGTCAAAGCTCCCCTTATCTACCAGAAAACGATTTGTAAACAACCTTGCTTAACAGTAACTCTTACAGGCATAAAATAAAACATTTTTCGGCAGTTAGAAGCAAAAAAAAAAAAGATTTTCATTGCAGGGAAAAAAACATACTATTTTGAGGGGGAATGGGGCCGAATTTCGCAGAATATTTTGGTGAAAAAAAAAACACTGTTTCAACTTTGGTCACAGCCAACCTGTCCCAAAATATGTCAACCTTGTCCTAATCTACAGACTGCCTTGGTACAGTATACTCTATGTACCTATTGACCTTTTCGAAAACCTAGCTAAACACCGTTTTCCGGTACGTTACGGATTTAGCTCTGGGGAATTACACCAAATGAAGTACATAACACAGTTACATGATATTTCTATTTTTCTATCATTATTTTACCGTTTAAGTTGAAAAAAAATGATGTATTTGAAAATTATCAATATTCCTTTAATATCTATTGCAAATTCTTCAAAAAAATAAATTGTTTCTAATGAAAATCAATATAATTAAAGCAGACGTAGAGCAATCTTCCATAATAAATAAGGTTATATTCAGCTTAAACTTGTGTATTTACTTTATTTTTTGTTTGGAATTATTCATACAATGATATTTAATTATTTTCTTATAAAGAAATAACTGTTTTATTTCAATTTAATTCAAAAAAAGGCCGAAAACATCGAGTTTGCTATTACACTCCATTAGGTGAATTCCCCAGAGCTATGTACAGAAAGTACCGGAAAACTCTGTTTAGCTAGGTTTTCGAATTCGTGAATATCCTGGTTTGCCTTTTCCCATAGATGACCGAAAAAAAACCTAAATACTGTACATATATATCAATTGTATTAAATTGTATTATCTAAATTTGCTTTCAACAAATATTCTCTCAAAGTCTATCATGCAAATATGATATTGAGTTATCTCAATTATCAAATAATATAATCCAATCCAGCGGTCGGTCTATTTACCCCAAGACACACATAGACTACCCCAAGACACACATAGACTACCCCAAGACACACATAGACTACCCCAAGACTACTCAAGACTATGTCAAGACACCCCAAGACTTTTACTGACATGTAAATATGTTTTAAATTTACATTTTTACGGGAGGTAACTATGCGATTTCACATTTACACATTGAATCTCTCTTCATTTATTTCCCTGTATTTTTTTAATGTAAGATTATAAATATATATTCTTTTTTTGTGCAAAATAGTTTACAACAATGAAATAATGCCAATGTTGCTGGATTTGGGTGTAGTGCAAGTTTAATTCTGCGACAATGTCATTTTATGAGTGACACATTTTTCATGCCTGATTATTAAATCGATCATATTCTGTTTAATAATATTGATTTTTTTTACTTCATCTGCCCCACATTGCATTAGATTAACAGATTAACATGCATAGTCTTGTTGTTTTAGTAAAGTTAATTTTAATCAAAATATTTTTTTATATTAATTTAAAGAGTATATCAATAAATGTTTTAGTGATGACAGTTCTAAGTTCATACATATTAACAATATTTGATATATATTTGACTGTAATTAACAAGATGACACGTAAATAATCATTTGTCGTATATAATAACACTTTCCCAATTTACACAATATATATAAGTTTCTTGGGGTGTCTTGGGGTAGTCCTGGGACTAAAAATGTGTATCTTTCTGTCCCAGAGTGTGTCTTGGGGTATCTTGGGGTAAATAGACAGGCCCTCCAATCCAGGTGTAAATGTATGTCAAACTTATTAATATTAAATTTATTTAATTTACATCCAGGTGTAAAGTCCAACACCATTTCAACTTAAGCACATGTTCAGTATACATACATTTGATTTAGTCACATGCCTCAATAATATTGCAATTACTATATTGGACGGGTTGACCTGTACAGAGTTGCTTTAGGCCAAGTTTTACAAGTATCCAAACTGAGAAGTCTGTCCGAAATATATACAACAAAGCATAGTGTTTTATGGCGTAAATTGGGGCACTTATTAAATCGAGCAATAAAAATATACTATTGTATCTTCAATACATATTGATTATACACAATAAAACAAACATATTTCCAGCTGGTCCAGCCGAGAATTTTGGTAAAAATGAATTGTGAACTCGAGTAACAATATTTTAGCTAAGAGGTTAATTAGTCCACGTACTTAGCCGTTTTTGTCAGTCCATATCAAACTCAATTGTTTCATTTCACTAAGTTCACTATGAAAAATTGGAATGTTTAACCACACGGTTGTAAACCAAGCAAATTGTTATAAAAAATTCTAATATGAAAATTTAGCCGCCATGCTTGTTTACAGATTGGCTTTATACCACTGTCCATAAAAAATATTTTTAGTTCAACTTTTCAGTTGAAAAATATTTTAACTATTTGATGTGTTAATATACTTTTCAAAATATTATTTCAATAAGAATTGTGATCGTATATTTTTTTTACGATAATATGTATTTTTCATTTTCAGGCAAACTGGTATTATTTATGGATTAAGAGTTTTATCTCAGAACGAGGTTATAACCTTTGAACTATAAGGTTGTCAACAAGATGGCCAACAATAATTCTGTTGATGAGTATCTCGTTTATTTGAAGGAGAATGCTCAAGAACTCAGGCAATTGGGCAAGAAATGGGGCATGACAGAGAAAGAGATTGATAATTGTGTTACAGAAGCGCTGTCATTAACAGAAAATAAGGAAGATCTGAAGAAATCTCCCAAGAACATAGCAAGAAAATGCTGGGCTTACTTCCTGTTTCTGATAAAGATCCAGCTGGGCATTGGGTTACTACTGATGGTGTTGCTGGGAGGAATGTATACCACAGCATTATACCATGAACCATCACAACGTGCTATTATGAAAGCCATAATGCCTTATAGTTATGAGATCATGAGAGCAGTGCGACTAGCAGCAGTGCCCTTGCACAAAATGTTTAATATATCCAGTATGTTAATAGATCTATATATTATAAATTGTACCTTAATTAAGCCATATATGCTATAACGTCCCTCATGCATGGTACTGTCCTGTAAATCAGGTAACTGTCCCGCAGATGATTAATGCTCCGGTAAAAGTAAAATCTGAATTAATCAGTGATGATCTCCTTTGCAGCAAGAAATATTATATTTTTATGTAATCTTATTGACAAGTCAAGATCATATTAACTTTTCTAGAATGCTGATAAGGGAACGATTTTTCCATAAGTATAGCAATGAGTGGCGGCATGGGCGAGTGGTTAACGTGTCAGACTAGTAGACTAGTAATCTAATGATTGCTAGACGATTGGGTTCAAACCCCATCAGGGGCAAGTCGTTGTTTCTTTGAGCAAGAAACTTTACACTCATTGCTTAGTACTGGTTGGTTCCAGGAACGGATTCGAAAGTGTGTCTAGAAGCTTATATTGTAATTAAGATCATTAAAAAGATTAATTGTTTACTCCCTGTGACTAGCCTAAGTGGGGGTGCCAAAAACTGTAATGAACAACTTTTCTTGATGAATTTAATATGGCATGTATGATTAAGTAGTTATAACCACTTAAAATGTTATGTATGACAATGTCTGTTTCTGTTACGATTCAAATAAAGGAATTTGTACTAGAATCCTCTTTCTTTCATTATTTAGGTCTATACAATTCAGAATGTCTCATTGAGAATCCCTACTTTGTGCAAGAAACACCGGACTGTAACATCTGTAAGAGTTTCAAACAGGTCAAAGGTTTGAATGCAACTTCATTCAATGCCACAAAGTTTACAGCATACTCCAATACCATGAAACCGGTCAAGCTTATGGTAAGTTTTGATCTGTATATCAAATTATCATTATATTAAATAGTTTTGATTTATGTAGGCGGTTAATCAATTATTGTAGCTAATAGTGTTAAATTGTCACAGTATTGCTCATTGAAACTGCTTTTAGTCACATAATAATAACAACTGATGGGTATCAGAACAGTAACTGTTACTGTTGTTTTTATGTAAGAATATTAGATCAGGTTCTAATACTTCAAGGATTCCGGATTCTTTGGTGTGAGGCAACTATCCAGCTAGCTTTATATGGAAATTTGTTTGTTCAACTTGGAGTGCCTGCTCTTGCCTGAACTCTGCCTGAAATAATGCATTGAGGGTCACCTTAGGTTCTTCCACAGGAGAGAGTGGAATATTGCCATGTGACTAGAGAAGAGTCAATTTTGGCCCTAAACTTAGTTTTAAATGGGGAAAATACGTTAGCTAAAATATAGTTTTTTAGTGGGAAAGATAAGGTACCTGGTAGCTAAAATATAGTTTTATATTGGGAAAAATACGGTAGCAAAACAGTAGTTTAATAGTGGGAAAGATACGGTAAGGGGTAGTTAAAACATAATTTTATAGCACTTGGGAAAAAGATGGTAGCTAAAATATGATTTTATAGCGGGAAAGATACGGTAGCTGAACTGTAGTTTTATTTTGGGAAAGATAACGTGCAGGGTAGCTAAAAGTTTTAAAGCATAGTTTTTTATAGGAAAAAGATAGTAGCTAAAACATAGTTTTATAGTTTGAAAAATATTGTATCTGTAACATTGTTCTCTACTTTAATTTCAGAAAACATTGAACCGGAACATTACCTACGGTGATATAAGGAACATGTATCTGGGGATTGAGGATCGGCTTGTGGCCGAACCTTACCAGTTCATGTCCACTGAGCCAACAATTCAGTCTCTGTCCCAGCTGTTAGATGAAGATCGCGGAGAAGAGGTTACGTCCCTTGAAAATCTGCATATTGACTGGTATATAGTTGTGTTTCTTTAAGCAGAGCTTGATAGGTTATCATGTGGCAATTTAATACTATTTAAGGACATGATTGGCGACATGTCCGGGGTCCGTACTTTCAGTGCCTGAAAGGGTGGATGGACCTTTATTTAACTTAGAACACACATACACAGAGCTTGGTATCACGAGTTTGAACCTTGACTGATAAATTGTTTAATTTATTTTTATATTGATAAATTGTTATTTTATTTTGTTTTCATTAGAATTCAGTTTTGAATTATTTCAACAATATTCCTCTGTAAAGAAATCATGAGGTATATAAATTTAGGGGTAATTTCTCAATTTTACATGAATGTTTAAGAAGTTTTAGGAGTTTTCTCGTTTTTACTTTGATGTTTTTGGATTGTTTAAAAAGTTCAATACTTATACTATGTTTCAGGCACAGTACTACTGTCAAAGCCAGTGCAGGTCTTAGGACACTATTCCCTAGACCACCATTTTTACCACCGGAGACGGAAATCACACTGGAGAAACATATCTTCATAGATGGTCCAAACACAACAGCCTATCATGTGGTAAATTCAATATTTTTAGCTTGACTTACCGAAGAATAGAGAGAACTATAGTACTCACCCAGGGGTCAGTGCCAGTGTCACAATTTGGTGCAAGTTGGTATCTTCAAAACTACCAAAGGGAAAGGGATGAAATTTCACACTCTTATTTGAGGGCATAAAAGAATGTTACTTTCCAAGGCCTATAACTCTAACATGGATTTGGACAGAATTATGGTCCTTTTTGAACTTAGAAAATTCTACATTATCCAGCAGTGATTTTCCTACTTATATAACGAGACTCCGAAAAAAGGCCTCTTCCCAATTGAAATTTTCTTTAAATTATGCAGTTTTCCCAAAAATCTGAACTTAAACCAGCTTTAATACTTCCCAAATCAGCAATTTTAGTGATAATTTTTCCCAAAATCAAGAGGCTAAAACCTCTTCAGTCTTCACTGAGAAAAATCACTGTCCAGGCTTTTGTTTTACTATCAAACATTGTGAATAATCGTGCACGCTGTCCTACTGACAACTTACATTCTTTTTGTATTATGAACCACAACTGTTAAAGCAGCCTTAAGCTTTTCTAAATGTAAAATATGTTATTTTTAGATAAATCGTTTCATATAATTGTCAAATCAAATGAATTACGGTGTAAAATGAAATTTGCTGATGATAAAATACATAAGCAAAAAGGAAACCACTCAGCTTGTATGTTTTGAAGAAAAAATCGAGCTATTATAATCACTTCGGCATTGTGGTTGTTGGCCTTTTGCAAAAAATTCTATATTATTATTCAAACATTTTTAAAGTTATCAACAAAAAACTTGTAATACTAGCTTGTCATGAAAAGATGCAGTTGTTAGACAAGGGGCATAATTCTGAAAACAATATTTTTAGAGCTATGCTCCTTTTTAACTTAAAATTTAGAGTGAGACTAAAAAAAGTGTTGGAGCACCACACTAAATACCATATTCCTGTATATACCAGACAAGGCACTTAAATGATTAAATATGTAAATGTTAACTTTTCACCCACCGAAACTCACTGTAAGACATCTAATTTATCTGTTCACACTGGTTTATATACGATAATGAATGAAAAAATATAAGAATAGGCTAAAAAGCGATTTTTTTCTGCTTAGTGTTCGTGATTTTTACAAGGGTTTAGAAGTACTGTTGAACACTGTAGTGAGTTATATCTTAAATATTTAGCAGACAAGTGTTAACACTGCACACGGTGCTCTTTGTTTTTTCAGCCTGTAATGAATAGCAGTCCACTTCATTTGTACATACAAGGAAGCGGGAAGAGACGTCTGCTTGTAAGGCCGGTGGAAGGATGTAAAGAATACTGCAACTCAATGCTTGTGTTCATGGACCCTGGGGACTCCTGTATGTGAACCATTTATTTTTAAGCTCACCTGATCAAAAGTTGTTGACAGATAATCTTTCTTTTGCAATACATTGTTCATGTTATTCTTCTTGTATGTTTGCTTGGAATGAAAATATCTTAGGTTTTCTCATTTTTCTGTGGTTACAAACAAATATTTACATTAACAACATGAAGGGTAGTATACCGTGAAGTTAAAAAGGTAAAAGTTTGTTTGTACCAGGGGATGAGCTTGGGATAACCCACATTTACCGAGTTCCGGTTAACTGTGAAGTACAAAAATTGCTTTGTTTTTATCACCTCACTGCCCAATGATTTTTATTCTTGAGTCTATTTCATTGAACTCCACTGTAAATGTATTATGAGGAAACCTATTATCATTTGGGTGATTGACACTTTTATTGTTTAATACTTTATAAATTTTTTTTCAATAATTTGATTGAACAAGTTTTATAAGTGAGATGATGAAACCAAGAATTTGCATATATGAGCCGCGTCATGACAAAACCAACATAATGGGTTTGCGACCAGTATGGATCCAGACCAGCGCAGTCTGAACAGGATCCATGCTGTTCGCTTACAAACCCTATAACAAGTAGAGAAACTGATAGCGAACAGCATGGTTGCTGATCAGACTGCGCGGATGCACAGGCTGGTCTGGATCCATGCTGGTCGCAAACCCATTATATGTTGGTTTTGTCGTGGCGCGGCTCATATTTATATATTTAGCTACCATTTTTGCTATTTTCAGTGTTATATAATCGTGACATGTGGCGAGTCTACATTTCAACCAATAGCGATCATGCCAGTGTTGGATATCTAATAGCCGTACAGATTTAGGACGGATGAACTACAACAACAGGACTATGAAAATAACTTACTGAACCCAAAGAAGAAAAACAAACCTAAAGAATCTCAAAAACTTACTGAATCTAAATTATCTTTTCGGTATTAAATATGAACAACACATCTGATAAATTAGAAGCATTTTGAAAAAAGCAAACTTTTGTTTTTATGTTTTTTTCCCTGACATTAGCCTTTAATAACATTTATATATTGAGATGATCAATTTTAAAAATAAAGTGTTCGTTCTTTATAGCAAGTTTTAAGTTTCTGCCGATTACAATCAGTTCAGATGCCACTAAAGTTAAAGGTACATGAACATTGTAAGAGCAGTGTTTATAAATATCCTATATTTAAGAAGAAAATGCCTAAGCGACAGCTATACTGTTCACAAGGCGACACATTCGACTCGTGGAGTTCTAGTTTAAAAAAAAAAAGAGGGGCAGTCTTTTTATAATTTAAGTACATGTTGTTTTATTATTTTACCCTTAAATTTTTCAGGAATAATGTATCTCTTGAAATAAATCTATATTACTGATGCATCTTGACAGTGAAAAATGTCACTAACTGTTTATGTAATTACTAAATATTGGATTGATAATCAGCATAAAACTTAGTGAAGGCAATTAAAATGAGCAAATGTTAATATAGTGGGTGCCAGACTGCCGGCTTTGATTTTCTTAGGTGATCTCACAAAGGGGAATTATCAGGTGAAAATCAATGCAAGAGTTATTGATCTTTGTCACTGAAACAGAAGCTGAATCTTCAATACTTGTGATGATACATTTGTAAATCTTGCTTTCAAAACTTCTTCAAACAATTCAGTTATAAATCAAACAATGGAAACTGGACAACAACAAGAAAGGAACCAACGATAATAAATTAGCATTTTATTTACAAGTAAAGCAAAGTGTATCGACAAATATCACATTATAGCAACTAAAAGTGCATTAGTCACAGCTTTATTATAACGGGTGGTAAAATTCAGCAGTGGATACAAATTTCAGAACAATTGTACAACAGCAAAATTATGAAAATGATATAATAAAAAAATCCATTAAAATTGTATAGTGCCCCTAGTGCATACTTCAAACTATTGACAGGGGCCATAACTCTGCCAAAACAACACAAGATGAATCAGAACACATTAAATACAGATAGGTCTTTATATTTCTCCATCCATTTAAGTTTCAATGATGTCAATATAAAGAAGTATATTTTTGAGGCTAAGTCTGAACTGCAGTAAGCATGGTAATCTGTACTAGCTTGTCTGGTTGGAGGATTTTTCAGATTCTCTTGAAATTTGATATTGTTATATGATATTATATGATATATAGAGGATATTGAATGAATGTAGTTTAATACTAAATTTATTGAACAAGTTGAATAAAATCATATTATGCGAGTTTGATCCTCCCTACTTTATCAGACATGTCCCTCTTTACAATTTCTATTTCTCCTCCCACATTCCATTCTATTTCTGAACCCCTCTGAACTATTTCATATCCCTTCCATACTATTTTTGAACCCCTTAGAACTATTTCATATCCCTTCCATACCATTTCTGAATCCCTCTGAACTATTTCAGACCCCCTCCCTAACATACCAGACCCTCCTACTTTCTATTTCAGACCACTCCCTAATATTTCATATCCCTTCCCTACTATTTCTGATCCCTTCTGCACTATTTCAGACCCCCTCCCTAACATACCAGTCCCTCTCCTACTATTTCAGATTCCCTTCCCTACTATTTCAGATCCCCCAACCCCTATGATTTTAGATTTTATTAAAATTTCCAATCTCCCACCTTAATTTATTAGATTCACTAGTTCTTTATACAAGAAGGACGGTAATAATAGTAATATTAAGATTCAATAGATCTTTATGTAAGAGGTACGGTAACATTAACAATATATTATCCGGAAAAAAAATTCAATACTTAAAGTATATTCAAACGAAGGTTTCATGCACCAAATACTGTTGTATTATAAATTATTTTATATCAACACCAAAATATAGGGCTAATATTAACACAAAATATAGGGAAAACACAGAAATACTGTCAAATCTTAGAATACTTAGTAAAACTTTATACATCAACTTTGTAAAAAAACAAATCCTCAAGGTTTTTGTTTAGAAATCTACAACAATTATTTATACTGTATTCAATAACATAAAACTAATAGTTATAAAACTTAACAAAATTCACAACAGTGAAATTAAATGATACAAAACAAAGGTTAAATTGTGGTGAAATAGGGTAAATCATCGCGTTATACAAATGCAATCATAATACTGGTAATTTAAATTATAAATTAAAACGGCTATAAATTTTGGTCATTTTTTTCATAATGGGGAAAAAAGAGGGTGGGGTATGGAAGAATAAAATTGAATTATTTACTATTTTTAAAAGTTTAAATGGAGAAGGTAATATATGAGTAATGCATTTATACGAACTATAAGTAACGGACAAAAATGATGTAAGATACCACTGTTGCAATATGTTAAAGCTGCTTGCCTCTACATAAGCAAAAGAAGAAAAAAAACACGCACTGAATGACTGATTTTGCAGTATTTATCAACATATTTCTACTGTGTGACTAAGACAGTAAATTATAAAAAAAAATTTTTTTTGCAATTATTTTGACATTTACTTGGAAATTTATATGGATTGAAAGTTAATGCTGTCTTGTAACAATGTGTAATTATTACTTCCTTTGTTCACTTGAAATTTTACTTTTAAATACATTTTTAAAATTTTTATGAAAATTTGCATGAATCTGTGTATATTACTTTCTTTGTTTACTTGAAATTATTTTACTTTTAATACATTTTCAAAATTTTCATGAAAATTATCATAAATCTGGAGGCATGCTGCTCAAACATTCTATATATTTAACAGACATATAACCATGAAACATACATTCAAATAAATCATGTACCCTACATGTATTACACATTTATGAACCATAGGTTAAAGGTTAAGCTCAAACATGATAATTTAACATTAAAACAACACAGTTTCTTTAGGTGAAACATTCTAGAAATATTATTTAATCTTAAACCAATAAAAGACTAAACATGTACATGTACATTCTTTCCTTTTTGGTATCATAAAATCCAGTCTCTATACCCTGTAGCAAATTTTTTTTGAAAAACTTCCATGACGGAAATAATCATGCACACACACACAAAAAATATAAAAACAACAAAAACTGCAACCGACTCTTTTCAGCGCTTGACAGTAAAAGGGGCATAACTCTGTAAAAAATTAACCCAGATTTATGAAGCCTGTGCCAATCATGTAAGCTAATCATAGAAACAAGTGTGTAAAGTTTTAACCTATTCCCTTCAGTAGTTTTGGAGATAATAACAATCATGCACACAAAAACTTAACCAAAATGTGATGGTGATGCAAACACCTGGAAGAGTACGAAAGCTCTCCCTATTCTCGAAAAGTCCAGCTAAAAACTGAATGTCAAGGGTAAACCTTGCTAAAGACAGTTCCTCTCCAAGTCACTTGGCTGTGAATAATTGATATCATGGCATTTGCTCACATCTGACATCACATGTCATGTAAATATTCCTTTCCGTGTAAAGCATGTTATAGAATATTACCCCCCTCCCCCTTTACACACACAAAAAACATCATTAAAGAGTAATCATTTAAATGTTGAAAAAAAAATCTTGACAAAAATATCTAACATGGCAAGGTGTTAATACACACATAATGGAAAATGAAGGGGAACAAGAGCTGTCAGTAAGACAGCATGCCCGACTGTTCTCAGTGCTTGACAGTAAAACACGAGCCTAGAAAAAAGCAGATTTTTTTTAACTTCAAAAATTGCTATAATTCTGTCAAAATCCATGTTGAGAGTTATGGGCCTTTGATAGTGACCTCCTTTTATACTCTCAAATAAGTGTGTGAGGTTTCAACCCATTCCCTTCAGTAGCTTTGAAGATACCAAGCCTGCATGCAAAAACTAAGCCAAAGTGTGAAGCTGGCCCCAACACTGATGTCTGAGTGAATACAATAGCACTCTGTCTTTTTTGAATAGCTGAAGCATAAAGTGCCATAGCGGTACCCATATTTGATAAATTTTGACTGCAAACTTAGCAAATAAAAAGCAACTCCTATTAAAACAAACAGTATTTTTTGACATATATTTTGTGTTATCTTTTAGTATGACAGTCATGAAAAACTGTAAGGGTGAAAATTGTTTCTCATGATTGGAGGTATAAATGAACACATATCAAAATCTAGTGAAGAAAAAAAAAACATGAAAAAATAAAAAAAATAATAATGAAATGCAAACAAATAACAAACATATAAAACAATAAGCAGTTATCACATTTTTGAATATAATGATTAATCACTTTTTTGGATAATAATCACTTTTTTTGGATAATTATCACTTTTTTGGATAATAATCACTTTTTTGGATAATAATTACTTTTTTTGGATAATAATCACTCTTTTGGATAATAATTACTTTTTTTGGATAATAATCACTCTTTTGGATAATATTCACTCTTTTTTTTGGATAATAATCACTCTTTTGGATAATAATCACTTTTTTTGGATAATAATCACCTTTTTTGGATAATTATCAATGTTTTTGGATAATTATCACTTTTTTGGACAATTATTACTTTTTTGAGGGATAAAGAGGCAAATTTTAGGCATTAAAAGCACTTCACCTAATGGACTTGTCCAGTTTCCATTTATGGTCGGAACAGTCCATTATCAATTTTGGGGATATCAAGATGAATATTTCAAGTTCAACAGCCAACAGTATGGAGCACTCCATAGAGATACAGGCTGGCCTGGTTTTATACTGGTGGCAAAAGCTAAAATGACTTATAGTTCTAGCAGGTAAAGAGTAAACAAACCCAACTCAGAAATCCTTACTACCCTACCATATGTCTGATAATGGACTTGCCCAGTTTTGAATCTGGAACAGTCCATTATTGGTGAATTAGGCAGCCGTCTATTTATAGCCTGGTTATGCTATATTCGTGTCATTGGCAAGTAAAAATAATCTAAGAACTAGAAACATATCTATGGTCTTAAAGTGGATTGGTCTACAATGGGCACATATTTCGTATTTCAAATATTGAAATCATATCAGACAGCATATTATAGACCAATCCACTTTAAGATCAAGAGATGCATTTTCAAACTTAGCAAATTCAGATTTCATGCATGTAACATACACTTTCACAACAATGAAACTTTACATACACAATACATTTTGACAATCCATTCTAGATCTGAGAAAAAAATACTAGTCAAAAATCTACATAAGAATAACAAAATGCAGCCAAAAATGCTAGAAACTTCTTTAAAAACTTTGGCAAAATTGAGCCAGATAATTAAGCAACATATCCTAGGAATATGTTAAGCATATCTTTTCCAACAAAATACTCTTATTTTGGCTAATTTCATCACCACTTTTTGAATACTCTTGAAAAGTCCCTTGAATGTATAAATAAGTCAAACTGCTACTAAATTGCTATTGAGGCCAAAACAGAATTATAACTAGGTTCCTGTTACTCGAATGGCACTACTTTTTTGTCCCTATGTAAAAAGTAACTTTATTTTGTCAAAATTCTAATTTGAATTCTTATAAACTGATTTCTCAGCTGTTAATCAGTCTTTCTTCTGTGTGAACTTTTTTATTTTATGCAAAAAAAAAAAAGTACGAAAATCTCCCAATATATGCAAGGAAATATACCTAGAACAATGTTTCTGATTTTTCACATGGTTACAGTAATTTTCTTTTCTGCGGCTCTTCTTAATGTATCAAGCACACTGTGAAAATGTGTCTAGGAGGTGTCAATTTTGTGAGTTCAGGCTTCAGAACCCTGTATTTCCTTTGTCTTGCACCACAACATTATGATATTATCCCTTTAAAAATGATAAAAAATGTATCACGAATTCTAGCCTCACTTCGGAGGTGCCATAGGTTTTGATGGTAAGCTGGGAACCGTCGGTAAAGACCGTCGCATTTTCGGTTGTGATGATATGGCGAGTGCAGCTCGTGCCGTGGAGGGACGCTGTGAGGAGGGTGGCATTAGTCCACTTCTAATCAAAGGACTAGCAGGGTCTTTTGTCAAACTATCTCTGCAAAGAAAAGTAACAATACAGAGTAAGAAAAAACATAATTTGCTTTCACATGCCACTAAAAATAGACACTTTTGGTTATTTTATGCGTGGAAAAAGAAAAATTGCTTAAATTTGTTGGGATCTGATAGGAAATTAAAAACACCAATATAAAGTATCAGTCTTTATCATCCCACTCCTTAGATGTAACAACAAGGAACCCACCAATCCCATCCCCCCCCCCCGCCACACACACACCCCCTTTATTGTATGAAAAGGGAAAAGAAGTTGATAATCATGAAAATAACGACGATTTTACTTCCACATATTTAAGTCTGCATTATCATTTCAACTAAATTTAAAACAAAATTGCCAAACCTTTTTCCTATGATGGGAACTCCTGATGAAGATGGTGGTCTAGGAAGGCCTGTAGAATTCACACGCAGACCGCTCGTACTCCTCAATTCACTTCTCGAATTGGCAACAGGGTTCGTCCCAAGAAAACTACCTAATGGACTTTGGGCGCATACCTGGCTTTGAGTGTCTATATGTTTCCTTACAATATCCCTCTGACTTGGAGGTGGGATAGATGCTTTTTGTCTGTCTTTTATTTCAGATATTCTGAATTTATTTTCTGCGGAACTAGCGCGATAAAGAGTATCACTGTCGTCATCTTCGGATAAACTTTTTCGTCTGTTCACATGAGTTGATGTAACTTTATGGTCAATGTCATGATTGTTTGTTTTAGATATTGACGTATTTTTTGTAGGAAAGTTTTCTTGTGATGAAGAAACTGGTACAAATGTTGAAACTGTAAAATACAGAGAAAATATGATGTTTATTATGTGAATCAAAATCTATAAAATGAACATTCAACGTCGTATAACTACAGTAACTAATATGCCTGGAACACATGACGTCTGAATAAGTTTAAAAATTTTATTTAAAAAACCTACTTGTTTCAGGTATGGACCAACCTATTTCAAATGACGAATTTATAAGACTACTAAATTCATAGAAATTCAAATAAATTACGATTTATTGACAATATATCCTAATAAAGATAACTGACAATAAGTTTATAATGTAACCAATAGACACAAAGGATCATAGTAAAATTACAAGAGCTGCACTGATGGTCATCTTTTTTGTAATACCACTGGAAATAAATAATAAGGATCTTTCGATTGAAATCTTAACTTTTTTTTTCTTTCTGTGTCCCTATTGCTATTTATAAGTTATACATTATAACTTAAAACAAATAGAAGGCAAATACTTGTCTTAAATCTTTAATTATTGAAAATTAATCACACTATTAAAAAGTTGTTGTTATTTTTTTTTAAGAAGAAGAAAAGAAAACTCACACATAGACCAAACCACATAAAGCCTGCTCCAAAATTTGCAAAACTATCACCAAGTACAAGAAGACATTTTATCTGATTTAAATTTACCATTACCACTGCATATGTAGAATTTAAATTAGACATAGTGTGCATATGAAAGACACAGTGCAAAGTCTATTTACATAACACATATGCCAACTTTGACATATGTGTAAGAATAAGTTGATAGAAGAAATTTAAGAAAGGCAAAATGAAACAGTCAAACATAGAATTATTTATTATTAAGATTCAACCAGCTATTGTACTGAATGCAATGTTCAGTTTTCAGGTCATGGTGATTGTGACCTTGATCTCTGACCTTATGACCTTCAATACAATCAAGATATCCCCTAAATATATTTCCAAATAGTATAAAATGGAATAACTGGACATCAAAATCTTCTTCAGTTATAGTATGAAAATGCAAAAATACCAAACACACCTGAGGGCAAATTCTAATGTCAAATTCCTTTATCCTGCCACACCATCCCCCCCCCCCCCAAAAAAAAAAAAAAAAAAAAAATGACATTCAGTACTCAGCTAGCACTATGGTAAAGCCCTATAGGACTGCACATTTTATAAATTTGATTTTCATTGGATATCATTACTTTATATTATTTTTATATATGACTGTAATCTTTATACATGACTGAAATCTTTATATGTGACTGTAACCCTTATATGTGACTGTATTCTTTATATTTGACTGTAATCTTTATATGTGACTTTATTTCATGCTTTCCAGTGTTTTATTGTAATATATCAGATGATTATATTCTGATAAACCACTAGTGAAATTTATAAAATATAATTTTCACTGTAGCCGGACTATATCTGAATGCGGATGAAAAGAAAATCATAACTAAATGGAATAACAGGCAGAAATAAATGCCATCATACGTAAATTTTGCTTCTTTAGGAAAAGAAAGTCGATGTCACCATACATCATGTTAAAAATGTAACAAAATTAGAGAAATTTAACAGAACTATATTTCAAAATTGATGATGTGACGTCATGATGTGATGACGTCACAAAGGAGAATGCGCGACGTTACGCGGCAAAATCAGTAAAAAATACTTAAAATCACTTAAAAAGCATGAAATAAAAAGAAAATTTATTTGTTTTACATATAAGATTGAAATATATTTAATTCGTGAACACCAGCTATTATATTTTCACTCGTGGCTACGCCACTCGTGAAAATATTGCATCTGATGTTCACTCAGTGAAATTATATTTCAATCTTACATGCAAAACAAACAAATAGCCTCTATGTAATCTTTATACATGACTGTAATTTTTATATGTGACTGTAACCTTTATATGTGACTGTATTCTTTACATGCGACTGTAATCTTTATACATGACTGTAATCTTTATATGTGACTGTAATCTTTATATGTAACTGTACTCTTGATATGTGACTGTACTCTTGATATGTGACTGTACTCTTTATATGTGACTGTAATCTTTATACATTACTGTTATCTTTATATGTGACTATAATCTTTATATGTGACTATTATCTTAACATGTGACTGTACTCTTTATATGCAACTGTAATCTTTGTATGTGACTATTATCTTAACATGTGACTGTAATCTTTATATGCGACTGTAATCTTTATATGTGACTATTATCTTAACATGTGACTGTAATCTTTATATGTGACTGTACTCTTTATATGTGACTGTAATCTTTATATATGACTGTAATCTTTATATGTGACTATTATCTTAACATGTGACTGTACTCTTTATATGCAACTGTAATCTTTATATGTGACTATCATCTTAACATGTGACTGTAATCTTTATATGCGACTGTAATCTTTATATGTGACTATTATCTTAACATGTGACTGTTATCTTTGTACATGACTGCTGTAAAATTATTAATTTAATTTCTTTTTTCCCTAAATGATGGTGCTGTATAAAAAAATTATCATAAAGATTTTTCACAGGTTATATGACTTTTTATAAACTGTTGTTTGCAATATAACTCTGTAAGTTGTAAGGTCAGGTCATATGCGCTCACAATGTTTATACTGGGTGATATAACCAGTCAAAAATCTATATAACCATTGAAATTTATCATTCATGAAAAAAACCCCACTCTATTACAATGCAAGAAAAATCTTATAATACAAGTATTCTACAGAAAGCCACAAACCATGCACTAGCAAGAGAGAAAGATCTTCAAAAGTCTCAGACAGACTGCAATAACTAAATTGTAGGTTGACCGCACAACTGCAGTAACTTGTATGAAATAAAGAAGGACATACAACAGTTTTGCGATCAACCCTCAATTTAATGAAGAATTGCTCATACTTGACAGGAAAAATACAGATGCAAACATTCAAGTTTTTTTGGTCGAGTTTAAATTTTAAGTCATATTGTCACTATAAAGGTTACATGGCAACCTTCCAGCTTTATTGGTGGAGGATGACCTCAGGTGACCCTTTTACACAGCAGAGGACATCTGGAAAAAATCCACTGACATTCTGTAAGCTTGCTGGATAGCGACTTCACATGGAAGAATCCAAATTCCCTGACGGGATTCGAACCCAAAGAAGTGTGGGTAAAATGGTTTAAAGTCAGGAACCTTAACCACATGGCAATAAATGCAAATATCAACCTGCATACGCTTCAAAAGTACAACAAATATTTCTGAGACATTTGAAGATGTTATAAAAGAAGTAAAAAGAAAGAGAAAGAGAGCATGCATGAACCTGAGGGAAGAATTTTACAATTTTCATCTCCTTCAATGTTATTCTCATCCCGGACTTTATGTATCAGCTCTTCATCTTTAAAGGGAGACAACTCCTCTTCATCGGACTCAACCTCAGAGTCGCCTGACAGGCTAACGGCATCATCATGATCAATTTTAAGCACCTGCGGGGCTTTAGCTACTCTTATTTTCGCCATTCTCCTGCAGAAAGAAAAACACAAAAGATAATCGGCATGAAATAACAAAAAGGAAGTATAAGATTTTCTCCCTAAATTCTTTAAATGGACTTGTCCAGTTTCTGTTTTTGGCTTGGTCTAAAATCAACTTTTTGGATACCAAGATGAAATTTTCAGCGGTTCCATCAGGAAATGGATCTGTGTTCTATGGTGGCATTTCACAAGACAATGAAAATATTAGGGAATTTTCCAGCTTTAGTTGTTAAAATGTTTTGTTTGGGTTTAACTGGGTACCAACACAATTTAGGTTCTATGGCACCGAAACAGGAGAGATGATTTTGGCTAACCTCGGATGTTACAAACTTAAAGAAACACAATAGGGGTTAAAACCACCTCACCTGCTGGATTTAATAGATACATAGACTCCAATAATTTGAACCTATTCAGTCGCCTCTCAATTCTGATGCCTCAACCCTTAAAGGCAACACCTCAGCTACAAGGGGAAATAAGGAAAAGGTCTCCTGCTTAAATTGGGAAAAATTATGAAGCATTCTGGAAGTTCAAGGAATGTTAAAAAGTTGAAAAGTTTTATTCACATTTGTGTATGATCACATAATCTGCCATTTCTTTAAGAATAATGTCAAAACAGTTCAATTTTTTTAAATATTGAAACAGTATGAGGCATCAGAACTTCTTTTTATTTTTTTGGAAAAAAAAAAGATATTATTTTGGATTGGGGACCGGACTTTATAAAGGATGCAGATCAAAGGTCAAAAATGACCAAAGTTAACATCTGAAAACTTGAATGGGAATCATGCAAGCAATCATAATGGAAAATTTGAATCACACTTGGCCATAGCTATTGGCAGGACTGAATATAAATGATGTTGGATCATCTTCTTTTTTTTAAAGTTCACCTTTGACCTTTTGTCCTAGTAAGCTTTTAGAAGACAAAATGTTTTTATAGGCAAGTGATATTCATGTAGTAAATGTTCAGAGGTGAACTTTGTTCCAAGGATTTTGTTAATTTGCATAATAATGGCAGTAATTTTTCAGAAGTGGTTTTTGCATGAATGTGGTCAGTAAAACAATGGTTGACATGGCAACATATTAATGTATGTTCAGAGGAAACAGTCAACATCAATTTGATTGTGAAACTTTTTATATCTGGTTTTGAACCATAAGTTAAAAATGCGTAGGAAACTGTTTCTTAAAAGTGGCCTTTAATACAGATTTCATTTAACTATATAAAAAGTTCATACATAAAACTTCAGAATGAATAAAGAAGATCTAAAAATAGAACAAACTTTTCATGTTCTTGTTTCCATGCCTTCAACTCATCAACAATTTCCGATCTGTCCCTACTTTCTTCTGGTAAAGCATCATATGTGTGCTCTGCCTTATGCTGAAACTAAATATAGATTCAATAATCACCATCTATGACTGGGTACAAAACCTGTAAGTGTCATTATCTTAGAGCAAAATAGCTTTATATGTTCACCCTTCAATACAGTGATGTTTTGATAATCCAGATACTACTTTTCCCAATAAAATTTTTGATTGACAAATTTGTCAGATATTATCTCCAATTTTTATATAGACAGGTAAATTAATGAATGGCTATGATCAATTATCGAATGGCTCCGGTCAACTATTGAATGGCTATGATCAATTATTGAATGGCTCTGGTCAACTATCGAATGGCTCCGATCAATTATCGAATCATTCTATTACAATTATTTTATTGTCTACAAATTATGAAAATTCACCCAAAAAATATTCAAAAGCAGGTGGCCATCTCTAATACAAAGCTCTTGTTACATAATGGACGCATTTCATAGCAATGATGACAAAAATGGTCAGAAAAAAATCATGCAAAGGACATTTATAAACATATATTGTACTGAAATCATGTAAACAGATATAAAAGTGAATTATACACAAGAGGAGTAATTATCAATATATCGGTGTATCGCTGATATTTATCATCCGATATTGATGTATCATCTTTAAATATGCTTTGCAATTAATCAATGACAGCTCTACAAATTGCAACAAGTGATTTATTGCAAAAAGATATGAAATGATAATCATATGATATAATGTGAATAATGCACAAGAAAGGTGATGTCACATTTTGACGCGTATACAATAAATTATCGTGACATACGTGACATGAAAACTCTCATTCCTGGAAAGTGATGTGACAGTGACATTACATGATATCATTAGAACCTCAGCAAACAAATAATAATTGTGGTAATCTCATTAAATATACTGACAATATAATATAAATAGGTCATTCACGACAGATGTTAAAGCAACAAGCCACCAGATAAGTGATCAATTTTTTTATAAACAAGAATTGTAGGTAGGACAGCAGGCTTGACTTAGTGCTTGATAGTAAATCAAGAGCCTGCATTACTCAGAATAGTGAAGTTCAAAAAAGGGCCATAATTCTGTCAAAATCAATGTAAGAGTTATAGGCCTTGGATAGAGACCTCCTATTATGCTTCCAAATAAGTGTGTGAAGTTACAACCCATTCCCTACAGTAGTTTTGGAAATACCACCTTGCATGCATAAAATTAATCAAAGTGTGACATCGATGCCAATGTGATTACTATAGCTATCCCTATTCTTCGAATAGTGAATATAAAAATAAGGAAATTAACATTTTTGTTTTGGTCATTTATGTGGATTTAAGCTATTTATGCCAGCTTACATTACATTGATTTTTATATCCACTTTACAATATTAATATTGTTACTACAAATACACTTTTCTTTAACTTTTCATAGAAATAATAATTATCCTAAATCTTAAGAGGCATGTTGCTTTAAAAACTGTTACCTTCTTAAATTCCTCCCACACCTGTATGTTTCATAAAGAAATGAATAAAATTGTAAAAATTCTTCACAATGCAAGTTTCTTTTCTCATTTCATCTCAATAACAAGTCTCTAATTTAGTGTCCTCTTCCATTTACAAAATTATCTAGTTTTCATGAATAGTAAATATTATATATCACCTATCCAGGCATCAAAAATTGATAATGTTTAAGTTTTAAGTGTCATGTTGATAATATGTATCTCTAAATAAATTAATATCTTTGTCAGTAAATCCAAAAATCATATTTATAAATGTCAATGTCAAATATCGGCTTTACTTTAGTTTTAAATCACATTTTAAAAGGCCTTATGTTGACTATAGCTTTCCTTGTGAAGTCAGGCCTCAGGTGTACTTTCTAGCAATTATTTTCAAGGATGAGCGGGCATCTGGGTAGAACCACCAATGTTCCTTAAGCTAGCCAGATAACTTCTTCACGAGTCACCGGTGGGATTCACACCCAAAGCAGTGGAAGGCTTTTGGCTTGCAGTCAGCTGCCTTAACAACATGGTAATAGTCAAGTATTTGAAAGTAATAGAGACAAAATCAGGATTATCTGATTCTAATTACATAGGGGCTTTTTTCACATGTTTGTTTGGTTGGTTTTACTGCCCATCAACACAGTTAAGGCAAAGAATCACATACAAGTGTAAAACTGCTGCCGGGAATGCTGAATATCCAAATTTTGGTAATAAAAAGTAAAAATATTTATCATCCACCCTACCTTAGGTTCAAAGGTTATCTCTGGGGCTCCATTGTCAAGCTCCCCCGCAGCATCTGGGTTTAGCCGTCTCCTTGACAACAGAGCTTTTGATGGGTTCCCACAAATGACCTTGCCCATTGTAAGATCACTTGCATCAGTAGTCTCTACCACTTTATGAAAAAAAAGAGTAAAAAAATACATTTTTCTGAATAAATCTATTTGCATTATTCTATACAATATCACTTTAACAATGCTGAAAACACTGCCTTACTAAAAGGAAAATCTATTTTTAGTATCAACGACACTGAACCTGATTCAATAATCTGAAACCTCATGCAATGACAGAAGCCATGTATTGACATGTAGTTAATCAATAAAGTTACTTTGAGAAACTGTGTAATTAATGACAGAAGAATGGAAGAGCAAAATGTCCACTTCCTGCTTTAGTGGAAAAATTCTGGTAGCATAACAATAAACTCAATAACATTTTAAAATTTTGAAGACATTTGCAGACAGAACATTGTACAATTGTAACATGCTTGCATATTAAATACAAAGTGTTTCTTTGAAAAGTTTAGTATGCACAAAAATCCAAATAAAAAAACCCCACAACATTATATTTATAACTTGACATGCATTCTCATTACCTCTACCTGTAAAAAAATCATACTGTAAAACATGTGGCTTTTTATCAGTTACTTCTAACTTATGATTTTGTTGACCTTCTTCATAATTTTTTTCTAAACAATTTGAGTACCTTAATATGCAAATTAAATCAATTCTTTTGTTATTTCTAAACTACATGTTAATTTTAATGTCAGATCTTATATCTCGAAGAGAAGTTGTTGTTTCCTTGTGGAGTCTATCCAAAAATAACAGGCTATATTACCTTTTCCTCCAGAGGAAGGTCGCCCTGACCCTGATGTTGGACGCATTCCAATGGCTGTAGCCGGTCTAGCTCCAGAAGATGCCGGCCTCACTCCAGCTGTCATGGGTCTGAACCCCGATGAAGGTCTCAGAGCAGAGCCCGGTCTATAGCCTGTGTTAGGTCTAAGAGCAGCAGTGCTCGGTCTGTTACCACTTGGTGGCCGACTAGAATCTACAACACAAGATTACATATAAATAATACATTATTATATATAATTATAAACAAGAAATATAAAAATGAAATTACCATACTCAGTTAATTATTAAGAGTATATTGACAGGATTTAGTATCCGACCTGAGTGCACTTGGTAAGGTAAGTATATCACACAATATGCATAAGCAAACTCAAAAGTACACAAAAACTTTCCAGAAATAATAGAAATCCTCATATTTTTCCAACAGTCACAAGCATAAATTTCAGACTTCAATTTTCAATAAATATGTGACTTCTTATATATCATTGGAACTAATAAAAGGGAGTTTTTTTAATGTTTTGTTAATACATGGCAAACTTTAAAGTTACCAGATATTGCAGCGTCCTCATCCTCGTCAAGAGTCATTTCCTTCGTGAGTTCCTCGAGGTATGCCCAGTCCGCGTCGAATACGTTATGCTTCTGGAACGAGCCCACGCCCTCTATTAAAAGCTCATCGTCAAGGTATTTTAAATGAGGTATCGCTTTCTTAACTGCTTGACGGTAGTCATAATCAACCTGAAAATAATAATAAGAGTTAATTGTAATCCCTATATGTATTTATTCTTATTTTCCGAATGTATATAACAAAACAAATCTTCTTTTCCCTGTACGGTACCTCTTTACAAAAAATTTCAAAACAATACATATTATTGGAATTCAAAATTACTTTATATTCATTTAACCCTTACCATACTAAATTTGTTAAAAATCTTGTTGGTTGTTTTAGAGACTTTGTATAAAGAACTTAAAGAGAATGACGGACAGATAGGCAATGGACATAGAGTGATGAAATATGCTAAACCCTAAGCAATATGTGCAGCTCTGATAAGCTAAAAACAACAACAACAAACTCAATCACAACAACAACAAAGGCAATCAGTGATCACATGTGTCACCTCATGATAGCCAATTTCATCATGTTGAAGCAACTGTGTAGCAGGAGACACAAATAACATTCACAGGGCAAAACACGTTTTTTAGTCAAGGGCTATAACTCTGCCAAAAATCATTTAAGCAGGAAACCTGTGTAATATGTACTACTCTGAAGAGGCAACGCAAAAACGAAAACAATAAACAACTTACAGCCGAGTCATCGTCCGGGGATGATGTTATACATAGAGGATTGCCGTCGAGTGTTAGATTTGTAAGTTTACCGCATATCGCCAAATACTGCACTTGCATAATATCATCTAAATTATTCCTGCAATAGAAACGCCAATACATTACCATTTACTAGAAGATGATGACAAAAGCATACATGTTACATGTTTTGTAACTTCAAAGCATTTTTTGTTTTGGTTTTGATGTCAGTTTGATACCTTATTTTTGGTTCTATAGTGACAGTCTAGTTAACTATTAACCAGCATTTCCAGATTCAGCATAACATGAATATATGAATTCTTATGAAAAAAATATTTCTTAATCTTACCAATTGTTCTTAACTCAACAAGTGTCATTGCCTACAAATAAAGGACTGTGCATAGTACAATTTTTTGGGGAAAAGCAGAAATATTTAAGCTGGAATGTTAACAGGTGGCGGTGGTTTCGGTAGTTTAATCTCCAGATCACGGCAGTAAGCCAATCTGAATTCACAAGAGCACAGTTCAGCCACCACATCGTTTCAGGGCAGGCTGTCAAGCAATTTACTAGCACTAAAGCTTTCACTTTCGCAAGAGACTGATAACTTCTGTACATGCCAAAGCAGAGGTACTGTGTGAATGACCATAGAAAGGATTTCATGATCTCACAACTAAAATTAACTGCACGTCCTGGAATCTAACTCAGGTCGCCTGATTCACAGTCTAACCTATTGAGCTGACTGGACCGCTGCAGAATGTGATCATTGCCATGTTGCCACTTAATTGGTCATATAGAATTTATTTTTAGTTCCTACAGTGTACCTGTAGGAAGCTATAAGCTTATAGACACACTTTTGAATCTGTTCCTGGAACAACATGTATCCACTAGTAAGCTATGAATGTAAAAATTGTTTGTGGGAATAGCGGCCTGCCAATGAAAGGGTTTGAACCCCTGCTGCCAACAATCCTAAGATAACTAGTCCAACACGTTCTCAACTCGGCCATGCCACCATTTGAATGGATTTACTTCACTTAAAGGCCCATTATGCCTCAGATATGCTTTTATTTTCATTTCTCTCAAGCTTTTTATTTTTTGTGTACTTCTATAATCCAAAAAGTTACTTATTGGCCAATTACTGGAGACTGCTTTTTGATAACAAGAGCTGTCGGTAGGACAGCAATGCTCAACTATTCTTAGAGCTTGATAGTAAAAAAAAATGCTTGATACAATTACCTCCTCCTGTTTACAGGTTGGGGTAATGATGGTGAACAAGTGTGCAAAGTTTCAAAGCCATATATATGTCAATGGACTTTGAAAATATTTGAACTATTACAAAAACTTTAACGTAAATTCTAAGTCGAAAAAGGGGCATTATTATGTCAAAATGCTTGATACAGTTACCTCCTCCTGTCTACAGGTTGGGGTAATGATGGTGAACAAGTGTGCAAAGTTTCAAAGCCATATGTCAATGGACTTTGAAAATATTTGAACTATTACAAAAACTTTAACGTAAATTCTAAGTCGAAAAAGGGGCATTATTCTGTCAAAATGCTTGATTAAGTTACCGCCTCCTGTCTACAGGTTGGGGTAATGATGGTAAACAAGTGTGCAAAGTTTCAAAGCCATATGTCAATGGACTTTGAAAATATTTGAACTATTACAAAAACTTTAACGTAAATTCTAAGTCGAAAAAGGGGCATAATTCTGTCAAAATGCTTGATACAGTTACTTCCTCCTGTATACAGGTTGGGGTAATGATGGTGAACAAGTGTGCAAAGTTTCAAAGCCATATGTCAATGGACTTTGAAAATATTTGAACTATTACAAAAACTTAAACATAAGTGGTTACGCCGACGCAGACGCCAACACTGACGCCGACGCTCGGGTGACTACAATAGCTCTACTTATTCTTATCGAATAGTCGAGCTAAAAAGTTCAATTATAGTAAATTCATATTTTATATGGAAGTCAAAATACTATATTGTATACATTTTGCTACTTTAATGACAAATAATTTCACATCCATTACTACTTTTTTTCAGGCAACAAGTATCTAACATTTCTCTTAATCTATTTTTTACACATTATAAAATCCATGTTTGCCTTTCCTAAAAAAGTAAAAATTTATTTGTTTCTGAGGCATGATGTGTCTTTAAGTAGGAAAATTAACATACCCTTCCAAATCTAAAATTTCAATTTGGTCTAGCATGCTCAGTGCACTTATATCGCATATTTCATTATAAGACAAATAGAGTTCTCGTAGATTACACATTGAAGAAATACCATCAAGTTCAGTCAATGAACATCTGGATGCCCAAAGAACATGCAGACTTCTTAACGACGAACCTAAATCCCTGAAAGAAAATAAAACAATGATTAAGGTTAATTATGTATCACAGGCTCACAACCCTTGATTTTACATTTCTAGGCACTGTATATGTCTTATATGGGCTTAATAACCACCAATTTGAAGTCATTACAAAATGAGGTCAAAATATGCAAAAATATCCCTGTGTTAGCAAGGCAGTAGAAATAATAAATTAAGGTGAAAATGCTGCAAATCAGTCATAAAAGGCACACAACATAGAAATAATTACTTTTATCTTGAATCTTTTTACTTTTCTTAAAATCTCAGTACTTAAAAAAAAAAAAATTGTACTTTAAAAAAAATAAAATTTCTCAGGTTTGATTTTCTTGATATATTGGTAGGCATGCAGCTTTAAAATGATATACCAATACTTACTTTAACTTTACTCCTTTCACACATTTATTTTCATGGCAAATTAGGAACTTTTTAGTAAGAAAATCATATGCAAAAATGGAAATCCCTATTAACACTCTCATGCCATCATAAATTTACAGTCAACATACCTTATTCTAGGTATAGTACTATTTGAAACTTTGAGTTGGGTAAGATTCTGCAAAAGTTGTCCGAAGTTGCCAAGACTTGTATCAGTGGTATTCACTTTCATTTCTAAATGCCGAATATCATCTAAATTGTCTACACCCGTGAGTAGCATCTGAAAGAATAGCAAAAATGATGCATGTGTTACGTACAAGGTACCTTATATTGATTTAGTTTATTTTATTTTTCTAAATTTAAGCCACATCAACACTTCAAAGGTCATAAGAGATGACCTTAAATAAAAAAATAACCTTAACAATGAGACAGGCGTGATTTAAAGTAAATATGAATAGATTTCATGAAAACATTTTCAGAAATTTATAAGTTCATCAAGCAAGAATTTGCATTCCAGTCTCACAAATAGACTGAAGCAAAAATGAACTGTTTTAGGTTTATAAATGTTAAATTTTATGATACTAACCAGTTTTCGAGGAGAGAGGAACTGTTCTAATAATAGATCTGTTTCCTCGATCACAATGGGTTCCGGATTAATACATGCTTCCTTGAACTCTGTGATCTGTACACCTCGAGCCCCAAGGGCACTCTGCGGTCTTTCTATACCAGGCTCCATCTTTAAACTGTAATGTATACAAACATCAACATTTTAGAGCAGGCTAAAAAAATTCTCTAAAAGTCAGTCTGCTAGAAAATTTGAAAATCTGTAATTCTGTTTGCAGCATAGCAAATTTGAAATTGAAAATATCAGAATTAGGATTTGATACATTCAATGATATAAAATCTGGATAAAGTTTGATCCCTCAGAGGCATTAATTACAACAAAAATGACATGAAAATTTTAGATTCGGTTTGATTCTGTACATGAGGGATAGATAATGAAAAGGTGCAACAGCATTTGACACCTGCTGTGAAGTACAGAAATCTATTCCTCTGAAGCATTAACACAACAAAATTAAATGAAAATTGATATAAAGTTACTCATACACTTACTTGTGTTGAAGCCTGGTCTCCTGGGCAACAGCCATCTGAGATTTTATTTTTTTCCACTCAATTTATTGTTTGAAAACTAAAAACAAATAAAATCAATATACATAAGTATCAAGTATTAAACTTAATATGACAGAGAATCTGGGTCAACTCGGCCCCCAAATCATCTCAGCCCTGTATCAACTTAGCATGGGTCAACTCAGCCCATGGTACATGTAATGATTACTTTCATTACTTTTATATATTTTCATCATAACTTTCATTGGTTAACATTTTCACGCTAACAGACCTCTACTGAATACTTAAAAGTTTTATCGATGAAAGTATGAACTTGTTCGTGAATTTGTAGAGAAAGGGAGAATTTACAATGCATGTCACATGTGCATGTTTTGCGTACTTCAGATGTTTTTTGTAAAAAATATCGTTCAAACAGCATTGGTCGCATTACAGAACAGTGTCAAATACAATTACATTTATTGTCATAAAAATTCAATCTAAAAACTTTATTTATGGATCAATATTAAACATATTGTCTTAACAAAGATAATTTCAAACAACATATACACTGCCAACTTTTTCAATTTCTGTTTGTAAGTGATCTTATCACTGACTAATTTTGCAGTAATTTACTCCTTAAAAAGTTTACTAACTATACAATCTATATCCTAATAGGGCCTTGTTGGCCTTTACCATGACAGACACTAGCTAATCTAGATTAAACATTTAAAATGACATTAACTCATACACTGATGAATTTCTTTAAAAAATGGACATGTGACGTCCAGGTGCAATTTTTGAAACTTTCCATTACAAGTTCTTGGGATATCAAGATGAAAATATAAGCTATAAGTCAGTCAAGCCTAAGTCCCAGTGAGGCGTTTCACATTATTGAAAACAGAATATAAACACTAACTCATCAATGAGTTACACAACGTCACAAGACACACTAGACAGACACTTGATTACCTGACATTATCTCGTAAATAAGGCGTAACATTATACAAATATATCAATGAAAACAAATGTCAATCATATCTTATTCTGTATAATCACCATTACCTTTATCTAAGCACCACTTTTAAAATATTCAGTATCATGAGTATTCCATGACAACCTTCATAACAGGTGATAGTTCACGAAACTCTAAATCAAAAGAATCTTTGGAACATACAGCACTGGATGATATTTTTTACAAATCTTTTATCAAGGATCTTATATAAATGACTCTCAATTATATAGCTTCTAACTGCATTAGAAGAAAATCAAATGATTAATTTCGTTGCAACGGACGCATTTTCGCCATATTGGAATTTCTACATGTAAGCGCATGCGTACAGCAGTTAGTATTGCGTAAATCGCGAAATGACTAAAATATACGAAACACGATAAATTAGGGGCAAATATTAATCCATCCTTATAAGTGATCATTTACATTTTACAAACGTGTTAATGTAAAAAAAGTTTAATAGTGTTATTATTAAGGGACTAAAAAGTTTCCCATTCAGTACAAGGTATCACAAGGCACAGTAATATGATTAATTAAGCCTACTTTTAAATTTGACATTGGTCATTTGAAAATTATACATCATATTTTTCTATGGTTTTTTTTTAAAATAATATATTTAATATAATATCCGTACAACATATAACACACAAAAAAAAGAAACATTGACAACTACTTTTTAAAGATTTTATAGTGACTGCTTTCAAGATTCAAATGCCAGTGTCTGTGATGTGTTTATTTAAAGTCACCGATATGACAGCAGTCTTCTTCTTATTCTCAGTAATAATAAGAAATATATTATTTTTTGGCACTAAGATTGCTTTGATTTTTTTCTTTAAAGATATTGTTTTAAATACATACATGTTCTTTAACTTAAAGTGAAGTTATATATGCTCATTTTTTGTGTTGTCAAGTTGAATTAAATAATTATCCTTGCCGAGAAAGTCTTAATAAGGGTATTAATTAATAAATAATATTAGATGATGAAAATGCAAACTGAAACCACGTTATATAGTAGGTGTTGATATTGTTGATACTGTTATTTTAAATTATAATTAATTAATCAATCTAAGATTAATGAGATTGATACTACCAACGGTAAAAGGCCTTTCAAGATTTTTTTCACCCAATAAATTCTACGGTGATAGCCTCAGGGAATAGAGTTACGCTCACACAACCCACGTTGATAGGCTTTTCAGAGGGTTATTCACTCAATAAAACCTACGGTGATAACCTCAGGGAGTACAATAATGCTCACATATGCCACAGTGATAGGCTTTTCAGAAGGTTATTCACTCAATAAAACCTACGGTGATAACCTCAGCGAGTACAATAATGCTCACATATGCCACAGTGATAGGCTTTTCAGAAGGTTCTTCACGCAATGAAACTACGTAGATAGCCTCAGGGAGTACAATAATGCTCACATATGCCACAGTGATAGGCTTTTCAGAAGGTTCTTCACGCAATGAAACTACGTAGATAACCTCAGGGAATACAATAATGCTCACCTATGCCACAGTGTTTGACTTTTCAGAAGGTTCTTCACGCAATGAAACCTACGGTGATAACCTCAGGCAATACAGTAGCGTTCACACAATCCACGGTGATAGGCTTTTCAGAATGAAACCTACGGTGATAACCTCAGGGAATATAGTAACGCTCACACAAACCACGGTGATAAGCTTTTCAGAAGGTTCTTCACGCAATAAAACCTATACGGTGATAGCCTCAGGGAATACAATATCGCTCACAAAACTGACAGTGAGAGACCTTTTAGAGGGCTCTTATCACATAAAACCCGCGGTGATACCCTCAGGGAATACAGTAAAGCTCATACAACCGCAATGAAATTAATTTATTTCTTGTATCATTAAACATTTTCACATTTCATAAACCATTATTTTGCAATTATAAATGTTGATATCATGTGTAATTTATGTATTATATCTTGTATTTGTATACGTAATATGGTGATGAGCTTTTTATGCTTAAACCAAGAAATAAAATTTCTGTTCTTTTCTGATGATAAGCGTTTCAGAGGGTTCTTCACGCAATAAAACCTACGGCGATAGCCTCAAGGATTACAGTAAAGCTCACACAACCAACAGTGATAGGCGTTTTAGAGGGCTCTTATCGCATAAAACTCCTAATGATAGCGTAAGGGAATACAGTAAAGCTCACAAAACCCATAGGGATAGGTCTCTTAGAGGGTTCTCATGGCAATAAAACCAACAGTGATAACCTCAGGGAATACAGTTAATCTCACACAACCCAGAGGGGATTCTTCACTAAAAAACCTACGGTGATAGCCTCGGGGAAAACAGTGAAGCTCACACAACCCGCTGTGATAGGCATTTTAGAGGGTTTTTATCACAATCTACGGTAATAGCCTCAGGTAATGCAGTAAAGCTCAAACAACCGAGAATGATAGACCTATTAGTGGATTCTTAATGCATAAAAACCCCAGTGAAAACCTTTAGGAATACGGTACAGATCACACAACTTACGGTGATAGGCATTTCAGAGGGTTCTTCACGCACAAAAAACTACGGAGAGAGAATTAGACAATACATTCCAGCTGAAACAACCCACGATGAAAGGCCTTTTAGAGGGTTTTCATCGCAATAAAACTCACGGTGATAGCCTCAGGGAATACAGTAAAGCTCACAGAACCCACGTAGATAGGTCTTTAAAAGGGTTCTTATCACAATAAAAACCCTCGATGATAGTCGCAGGTAATGCAGTTAAGTTCACACAACCTACGGTAATAGGCATTTCAGAGGGTACTTATCGCAATAAAGCCACGGTGATACTAATATAGCCTCAGGGAATACAGTAAAGGATAGGCCTTTAAGGGGATTCTTATCGCATAAATACCCACGGCGAAACACTCAAAAATAGAGTAAAGTTCAAACAACCCATTTAATAGGCCTTTTATAGAAGTTTTTCGCAATAATACTAATAATGATAACTTCAGGGAATACAGTAAATCTGACACAAGCCACGGTTAGAGGTCTCTCGGAGGGTTCTTCACGCAATAAAATCTACAGAGATAGTTTAAGGGAATAACGAAAAGTTCACGCAACCCACGGTGATTAGCATTTTAGAGAGCCCTCATCGCATAAAACCCACGTTGATAGCCTCATGGAATGCAGTAAACCTCACACAAACCCACGGGGATAGGCTTATAACAGGGTTCTCATAGCAAAAAACAAAAACACACGGTGATAGCCGAATGAATATAGATAAACTCATAGAACTTAATGTGATAGGCCTTTCAAAGGGTTCTTACCGCATTCCAACGCACGGTGATACCAGAAGGGCATATAATTAAGGTCACACAACTAAGGGTATCAATATGCTTTTGAGTGGGTTCTTATCTTGATAACAACCACGGCAATAGCCTCTGAGAGGATTCCTTTCGTAATAAAAACCATGGTGATAGCCCCAGGGAATACAGTTTGGCTCACAAAATCCACAGTGATATGACCATTAGACCGTAGTCGTACGCGACTCACGTACGGCTTGAACTTATAACTATAGTCTATAGCTATACGGGCCCATACGGCTAGCCACTGCCTTATATGATACAATCTACAGGAGTAACAAAATTTTGTCTTTAAAACGCTGTTGTTTTAATTTAAATTACTGATGAAAAAGTCGCCTAATGTTATCTTAAACAGAGGATTTTTTATGGTCCCAGGTCCTGAATATTTTTGTATATCTGTTATAAATTTCAATTTACATTTTACGTACTTACCGCTTCAAGTCATCCCAAAGTTCCCCTTTCCGAGTGTCATAACTTAAAAACACGTCTTTTAAAGCCGTAAAGTATGAGAATAGAAAGAGAATATTTCCCATTTATTTCGCATTTACGACCTCTTATTTAGAAGTTCAGCACTATAACAAAGCCACTAGAAAACCTTCGTACACATTTACCGGTTATTTATCAAAATAAACTACATTGTATGATAAACCAATGGTTAACCTCTCACATTTCATCCAGTTGTTATGAAGATGTTTATAATTAGTACTGAAAAAATATAGTCTTTCGTTATTGCTTTTTTTGCCCTACGCAGGATTCAATGTATTTAAGGTATGAACATCCTAACGGAACTGAAAAAATGACAACATAGGTCAGATATATACCTTAAAGGACACTTGTATGCAAAATTTAAACAAACTTTATCGTACGAAAATCGAGTATTACCACTTTTCTGAATTTAATCTTGGATGTTAGAAGGGCCCTTTTTCAGAAACAAGGAACCTTTAAAATAATCTGCAATATCATCCTTATGAAAAATGTTTTCCAATTGATTTTTGGTAAGAAACACAATGCAACAATCCGCAAAAGCAAAATAATTGTTTATACAAAAAATTTATGAAATATGTTTAAAAATGTTGCCCGACCCCACCAATTTTTAACACGTGTTTGACCAATTTCCTGCTTAGAGAGCCTAATTAAACAAGTCCCGTAAATTTAACAAAGTGAGTGCCAGTTTTCAAAGTTACCCTGGTAACTGGTTGCTCTGGTAAAATATCAAATACATTTACCGTCTAGTTTTGATTTTAATGCACTTTGAAAATACCAGGTACCATATTTATCATTAAATTTAACATTATTCAGCCAAGAAATACATATATTAATCAAATATTCAAAATTAAACACTTTTTTCTTCCCAAAAGGAATATGAGAGATACATAAATAATGTTACAAGAAAAAAAAGAAAAGAAAAAAAGTTGACCCTTCTATATAGGGCTTGAACCTACGCCCCTAAGTTTATATGTATTTTACAGTAGTTCTAGCTTATTTGAATGTATTATGATGGTCATACCTTAAGATTGTTTGTAATAAAGAAAATTTTACTCATTGTTTACTGGCATGCGCCATGTTTTAAAGCAAGCTGCATATCAAAGAGTCAAAGAGCAAAGTATTTATCTAAATATCTTGAAATGGAAAGTGTTAGATCATAAAGTTGTAAAATTGTGTAAACATTCATGTTAAACAGAATTTGTGGTTAAAATGCAATTTTTTGAATGAAAATTTTAATTCTGTTCTAAAATTACAGCATAAAATACTTAAGGGTTCTTTAAATGACATAACTGAAAGATGGACAAGACACAATTTAATTAAGTCGCATTCAGTGCTTTCAGCACTTTGGTCTACATTGCAGTGTATTTTCTATTGAATTTAAGGACAAGTTTCGCATGGAACTTTAAACGTTTCATTTCGCAAAAAAGCCCGTTTATTTGCTTTAAATGTAAATGAAAATCGGGGGATTGGTACGTGTATTAGCAGCTCTTGAAAATTTCGGAATTCAGTCTCGGTTTTAGGAAAACTCTACAAGAAGATTATCACACCATCTGATATACCTCAGAAATGCCGCGTACCCTTGACTAAATTTCCAGTGTATCTTAAATTAACATAAAAATATGACTTAAAATCAAGTAGTATTCTCTTAAACGATAAATAAAAAAGTCACGTGGGTTGGCTACCTAAGAAAAGGTGTTAAAATTTAATTGCATTGCAGTACTTCTTTTGTTAGCCGTTGAACTTATAATGTATATAGCACGTTTAAAAACAGTTATTATTCAGAGCGGGCGCTATGGTGCAGTGGTAACACTGTCTGCCTACCAATCAAGGGGTCGTGAGTTCGATCCCCCGCTTCTCCACTAAAAGAATGAAATGACTACGAGACTCACAGACTAAGACATAGAGCTCTATAGAACCTACAAACATAGATAAAATAGATTAAAGGTTTAAAATATACGGTTACAGACTAAACTGACTAGAATGTAATTCAAAAGACCTAACGAAAAAGGGGACAAAAGACAAACAAATACTTAACGGAGCATGCTACAATGACATCGGCAACAACAGAAAAAAGACACAATGAAATCGATAACAACACATGGACACAGCAGTAAAAAGACACAATGACATCGATAACAAGAAATGTACAGAACAGGGAAAACCCCAATGACATCGACAACAAAAGAGAAAGACACAATGACGACAAGAAATGAACAGAGCAGACAACAACAGAAAAATACACAATGATATCGAAAACAACAGAAAAAGACACAATGACATCGACAACAACACTTGAACAGAACAGAAAAAAGACACAATGACATCGACACCAACAGAAAAATACACAATGATATCGACACCAACAGGAAAACACAATGATATCGACACCAACAGAAAAAGACACAATGACATCGACAACAACACTTGAACAGAACCGAAAAAAGACACAATGACATTGACACCAACAGAAAAATACACAATGATATCGACACCAACAGGAAAACACAATGATATCGACACCAACAGAAAAAGACACAATGACATCGATAACAACACTTGAACAGAACAGAAAAAAGACACAATGACATCGACACCAACAGGAAAACACAATGACATCAACACCAACAGAAAAATACACAATGACATCGACAACAACACTTGAACAGAACAGAAAAAAGACACAATGACATCGACACCAACAGAAAAAGACACAATGACATCGACACCAACAGAAAAAGACACAATGACATCGATAACAACACTTGAACAGAACAGAAAAAGACACAATGACATCGACACCAACAGGAAAACACAATGACATCAACACCAACAGAAAAATACACAATGACATCGACAACAACACTTGAACAGAACAGAAAAAAGACACAATGACATCGACACCAACAGAAAAAGACACAATGACATCGACACCAACACTTGAACAGAACAGAAAAAAGACACAATGACATCGACACCAACAGAAAAATACACAATGACATCGACAACAACACTTGAACAGAACAGAAAAAAGACACAATGACATCGACACCAACAGAAAAAGACACAATGATATCGACACCAACAGAAAAAGACACAATGACATCGACAATAACACTTGAACAGAACAGAAAAAGGACACAATGACATCGACACCAACAGAAAAATACACAATGACATCGATAACAACACTTGAACAGAACAGAAAAAAGACACAATGACATCGACACCAACAGAAAGAGACACAATGACATCGACAACAACACTTGAACAGAACAGAAAAAAGACACAATGACATCGACACCAACAGAAAAATACACAATGACATCGATAACAACACTTGAACAGAACAGAAAAAGACACAATGACATCGACACCAACAGGAAAACACAATGACATCAACACCAACAGAAAAATACACAATGACATCGACAACAACACTTGAACAGAACAGAAAAAAGACACAATGACATCGACACCAACAGAAAAATACACAATGACATCGATAACAACACTTGAACAGAACAGAAAAAAGACACAATGACATCGACACCAACAGAAAAAGACACAATGACATCGACAACAACAGAAAAAGACACAATGACATCGACAACAACAGAAAAAGACACAATGACATCGATAACAACACTTGAACAGAACAGAAAAAAGACACAATGACATCGACACCAACAGAAAAAGACACAATGACATCGACACCAACAGAAAAAGACACAATGACACCGACACCAACAGAAAAAGACACAATGACACCGACACCAACAGAAAAAGACACAATGACATCGACAACAACACTTGAACAGAATACAACAATGATATCAACGAGAGGATACATAACGGAAAAGGCACATACTTCTGACATCAGTAAACAAGGTACATTGACATCAACGACCAAACTTGAACAGAACGTAAAAAAAACAACAACTTAAAGAAACATTCTAAAAAACATTCTACAAGCCACTGTAGACAAAAAACGATACACACTACAGAATGGTGTATCAACGTAATAAGTTAATGTTTACAAACAGTCCTCTACGGAGTAGACTACAGGACACCGAATAGCGGAACGGTAAACACAAAATGACAAGACACTTAACAAGAAAAAAACTAGATCAGATAGCAAAGCGGAACAGAATGGAACAAAACCACGGCAAAAGCCACAATGTCATCAACGTTACAGAAACAGAACAAAACAGAAAAAAGCCAAGAAGACACATAAAACAGAACAATAGAACAGAAAACGAGGAACGATAAAAGTATGCTTACATTTCTTGATAACTACGGAAGAAACAACAAGGACTTTAACAGGACACCAAAATAACAACAACAACAACAAAAACACACAGAAAATTGAAATCTATGGATTTGTTGCTGATTATGTTTAATTTGAATAAAAAATGTATAAACTATTCATTTGATATTTTATTTTACAGAGGATACATCCCCCGAGATGACTTGGCAATTTCATTTAACAGAGTATAAATCCCCCCGAGATGACTTGCTAATTTATTTAACAGAGTATACATCCTCCGAGATGACTTTGTAATTCTATTTTGCAGAGTATACATCCCACGAGAATACTTGGTAATTTTATTTTACAGAGTATAAATCCCCCCGAGATGACTTGGTAATTTTATTTAACAGAGTATACATCCCTGGAGATGACTTGGTAATTTTATTTTATAGAGGATACATCCCTCGAGATGACTTGGTAATTTTATTTTACAGAGTATAAATCCCCCGAGATGACTTGGTAATTTTATTTTACAGAGTATAAATCCCCCGAGATGACTTGGTAATTTTATTTAACAGAGTATACATCCCTGGAGATGACTTGGTAATTTTATTTTATAGAGGATACATCCCCCGAGATGACTTGGTAATTTTATTTTACAGAGTATACATCCCTGGAGATGACTTGGTAATTTTATTTTATAGAGGATACATCCCCCGAGATGACTTGGTAATTTTATTTTACAGAATATACACCCCCCGAGATGACTTGGTAATTTTATTTTACAGAGTATACATCCCCCGAGATGACTTTTGTAATTCTATTTTGCAGAGTATACATCCCCCGAGAATACTTGGTAATTTTATTTTTATTTTACAGAGTATAAATCCCCCGAGATGACTTGGTAATTTTATTTTATTGAGTATAAATCCCCCGAGACGACTTGGTAATTTTATTTAACAGAGTATACATCCCTCGAGATGACTTGGTAATTTTATTTTCCAGAGGATACATCCCCCGAGATGACTTGGTAATTTTATTTTACAGAGGATACAGCCCTCGAGATGACTTGGTAATTTTATTTTTCAGAGGATACATCCCTCGAGATGACTTGGTAATTTTATTTTGCAGAGTATACATCCCCCGAGATGACTTGGTAATTTTTTATGTCGTCTGAATATGTTAGAGGGCCATCGCGAAGCTTATTATTGCCGCAGAGATCAGACTGGGGAGGGGGGTTGGGGGTAAAACTAGCGCTCACGTAGTTTTAGATATCCATTTCTCAGCCGATGGAAATTCGACTACTATATATTGATAAGCATTGTAAGCAAACCAATAATATAAACGTCAGTTTGCATGAACATCTTCACAAAAAGAAATCAATACAAACAATATAATCATATCTTTATATATTTGCTTGCACAAAACATTTGTTATAAATATATTTTCCATTTACAAATATAAAGTTAAAAAATAAACATTAATAAAAAAATAATTTGAAACAATAAAGGTACTTGTTAGGTTTTAAATACATGTATATGGGGGAATGAAGTCTTTTTGAATCAGTAATGGTCATACAACAAACATTCGGGACACCTCGTCGATTATAAATAATCATCCATATCCGATGTTTGACGGAAAGGGCCGAAAAATTTCGATTATGCATTTAAAGTAATAAACTATAGGTAGAAAAAGTACTAAATACAGTTTGTTCAAATTACACATGAAATTGAATACGATACATCTTCAAAGAATTCTTCAAAGAATTTGTCCATCTTTGTTTACCTTGGACAGAACCATTCGTCATATTAGGTAAAAAATTCAAATATGTAGTGACTAAATAGCGAACGGTGCAGATAATGAACAGGCACGTGCCAGCTTATCTTGTTCTGCACGGGATACATGGGCAAATTCTGTTACCGTCCACAGAATAAGGGCATTATCCCTGTTCACGTTTTTCACACATGACTTATAATCAGCAAAATTGATTACTAGTTGTAAAATAAATACAAAGGAAATCAAATTGCTTGAAATGACATCATAAGAGAATAATGCTTTACAACTATAATGTCTTGTTTGAATTTTGAATCCAGTGCATGTATAATTCCCTAACTTAGTATCAATAGTATTTATGAATTTTTAAGGATAAATCTTGCATGTAACAATAGCCGAAATAAAAGTCATAAAAATATCTAAAGAAAAGCAGCTTTAAAACAAATAAGATCATATGTGCGGAGTGATATGCGATTTTGCATTCGGAACACCTTGCCGATTAGCAATAATCATCTTTGTCCAAAGTTTGACGGGAAAGGCCGGGGAGTTGCTTTTATTGTTTGGCCGGGGAGTTGCTATAATTGTTTAAGTAGTTTCTGCCATAGAAACAAATCTACATTTAAATATCTTTCTTCATGTCGAGATGTAATGTAAATATTATGTTCATATATTCCTGGTTACGTTTATTATACACAAACACTTTTTTTAATAAACGTGTGCTTTACAAACAATGTATATCTTGTAGAAAACTGAAAATGTTTATCACAAAAAATGTTACAATGAGTAGTGGATTTCATCCTCTATGTAAGAGCCGTTTCTTCTGGGACTATAATTTGTATTTGGTTTATGAACACTGAAATGTTAAGAAAAAAAGGAGTTAGAGTTTCATCTATTTTCAAATTATTCTTTTGTTCAACTTTGATTCTACGTTTTTGATAATCTATAAATAGAAACACAGCTTGAAATGTATATTAAATTAAAAAAATTGCCCTACTTTTATTTGTCCTATGAGAAGGCCCAAATTTGAAAATTTATGACAAACGTCACGTCTATCCGGATAAACACTGCACGTCCGCATCGACTTAATTAGTTTAATTTTAAGCTATTTAGTGTTAATCAGGGGGAAAGAATGGTACATGTATCTTTAACAAAATTTGAATTACCTTAAATTTAGAAAATACGATTTGCACTATAAAACAAAACATCAAAGTTCCGCCAGATAAAACTGTTCTTGATGGCACCCCTGTAAAATGAAAAAACACCATTTAATCGCATTTATAATAATAATAATAATGATGATGATGATGATGATGATGATGATGGTGATGATGATAATAATAATTATAATAATAAAAAGGTGTAAAGAACCAAAGATAAAAAAGATACAAAATTATGACATCAAGTCATGGAAATATAATTGCGAATCGTTAGACGGTTTTGCTACAGTATTCAAATTTGGAAGAGTGTAATAATTATGTCGTTTACCAAACTTAAAATAAAGATATAAAAATTAACAAATTCTTGTTTCTTTTAACAGTGCAAAATTGTATCTGCAATCACATACATTGAAATTCCATAAATTGTCGCATGAATTAATCTTTTGTCTATTACTCAAGTCATTTTTCTTATATTATTAGGAAACTTAAATTTTAAGTTTAATGATTCTGCATTTTAAAGCGGCCTTCAGCTTTTCTGAAGGTTAAAAATATGTTTTAAATAAATCGTTTCATATAAATGCCAAATCAAAAGAATTGAGGTTTGAAATGAAAGATGTCATCGATAAAATTCATAAACAATGAGGAAATCCCTTCGATACCTCTAATTTACTAGTCATCTCTCTATATGTAAATTAGTAAAGTGGACGATTCGTTTCCCAATTTTCTATTTTTAGAAACAAAGGTCACTGCGCGCTATAAATAGCTCTCGGGACGCCGTCCTGAAGAAAAATTATGCTCGCCCATATGGTTTCTTTCCGGTGGCGAGAGTAAACAAACCCGAAAACACACACGTCCTGAAGAAGGCTTAACAGTGATAATTATGATGGACTTTGCCTACGTGAAATACTTAGTTTGAAACAGTACATAATTGTTTTCCAACAAACAATTAAAGCTGAAAGCCGCCTTAAATATATATGACATAAGTGATGACAATTTAAGCAAATTTCAATAATTTGACCTTGACGGTCAAGGTTAATTAAAGGTCAAGAGTCTGTAAATTTTGTAATGTTTGATTTCTAAGAAAAAAATACCTCCAGTAAGTTGCCCATTGGATCTGCACGTGTCTTGCTCAATGACGGTATCGTAACCATAGGAACACGTGCATTTGTTGTCTATGCATATTGCATAACTTACTTCTTTGCACTCCTCGGTAATATCACAGTACGTTTGTAGCACTGTTTAAAAATAAGAAACAAAATTAAGAAAGGAAAAGAAAAGAAAAATAGTCAACTGATTGCCGTTTTTTTTCAAGTAAAATTGTTGCAAAATCACGTGGTGCTTCTCCGTCATTCCTTAGTTCTAAATGACTTTGTAATTATATAATAAGACATTTTCACGTCATGCACGGCTGAAAGAGATTTACCGTAACCACAGAGACACCCTTTGCCGTAAAGATAATATAAAATTTGAACTGAAAATCGCAAAAAAATGCCACGTCGCAAAATTAACCAGATATACGGCACACAGCAATACCAATTATTATGGTGGCCGATTTGTGCCATGTCTTTTTTTTTGCTCCTCGGGACGCCAGGCGGAAACACGTTAATACTTCAAAATGACCACATTGTCGCACTTCTTCTCCGCTTTGCGCCAGACAAAAATACGACAAAGTGGTTACTTGATCAATTTGTAGTACTTTGTTGAGAAAATACGACATGGCACGAATCAGGCACCATAAATTATAAATACTACGAAATGATAAGTTTATATACATAATATTAACATAGGAACTTATTCTAAAAAACTTTTAATTATCTAAAAGAAATTCCTTAAACCGGCCCCATTCCCTTCCCCACCCCCAAACAACAAAATAAACTTAAACAACTAACAACTTCCCCACCTTTCGGTACACAATCATAATTCACGCTTTTCATTCCTTGAGGACATGCACATTTACTGTTCTGACAGCTTGAACCCTTGATGCCCACACATTCTGCGGAGTTTACGCAGTTATCACCGATCCCTGAAATAGTCGAGTGCAAAAATAAAAGAAAAACACCTCAATTCAACGGACGTATATATATATTACTGATTAACAACTTCAAATAACTTGCATCTTATAACTACTAACATGTACTGATTAACAACTTATAGTAACTAGCAACTTATAATTACTAACTTAAACTGATTAACAACTCAAAATAAGTAGCAACTTATAATTACTAACTTATACTGATTACAACTTATGATAACTAGCAACTTATATTAACTCACATGTACTGTACTGATTTACAACTTAAAATAACACTTGTACTGATTTACAACTTAAAATTACAAGCAACTTATAATAACTAACTTATACGGATCAACAACTTACGATTACTACATGTAGCAACTTATAATTACTCTTTTACTGATTAACAACTTATAATGAATAGCGACTTATTATTACACTTATACTGATTAACAACTTATTATAACTAGCAACTTATTATTACTAATTCAAACTGATTAACAGCTTAATATAACTAGCAACTTATAATTACTAACTAATACGGACTAACTACTTATAATAACTAGCAACTTATAAATATTACCAATTGTTTACCTCTTATTTCACAGTACTTGTGCGTCGTGTTGGACATCTGTTTGTATGCGGACATACACTCGCACATGTTTGTGTAAATTCTATCACACAGAGCGTGCGGTGTTCCTCTGCAATCATCGTTGTATTTGCAACTGTCACCAATACCTACAAATGATGACGTCATAAATGAAAAATACAGACAATGAAAATATTTTTAGTCACACATGAGATTTTATTTGCACGAATAGAACTGTTGTTGTTTACCCTTAAACTGCTAAATATCTTAAATAGACTTGTCCAGCCCTTATTTTTGGAACTGTCCATTTTATCAGGATGAAAATTGTAAGTAGGTAGAGTGGCAGCCTTCGCAGACTTTAAGCACTTTAAGCACGCGCAAGCTTGTCTGGTTCCATACTGACTGAAAAGGCTACTCACTTTCGGTTCCCTCAGGGGATGGGCTAAATCAAGATAATGCAGTTTTGGAGAACATACAGTCATTCAAACTGAACATTAAATCTATACATTAAATCTTACAAGTAGATCTTCTAAATTGATTTTAATTTCGCGTCGTAATTATTTGCGCAGTTCGTGTTCAAATATTTTTTCTATACAATCACAAATGTCGCGTGCTCTTAACAAAGCAGCCGGGCGACAAACGCGGAATACAGTAAAAGATAGATTCATAATACTCGCCCGTAAATCAATATCACCGTGTATATCCAGTAACGCTGGAATGTGAAAATAAAGCACGATTCGTGCAATAAGTAACGCAGAATTATGCAATAAATGGTGGAAACTATGTTCTTTATTATGATATTTAATTATTATGGAGTATCGAATTCAATTAAGAAATACAGCACTTTTTGTTATCACATCTGACGTCATACGACGTGTCACATTCCTGTCTGAACACTGCATATATTATATATAAACACAATTTAAATTCTCCTCTGGAAAATGAGAAATATGGAACTATGTTACAACTGCATGTATATTTATCCGCTTACCTTTAACCTCACATTGAGTTGTTGACAGTTGTTTTTGCCATGCTGGGCATGCGCATTTCTTAGATGCGTTACAAACTGCATTCGGAACACCTCTACAGTCTACGTCCATAATGCACTCTCCTCCTAGTACTAATTTGTATTAGATGATAAAAGAAAGAATAAGGATATATGTCAAAATTGACAAAAACAATGATTTATATATTTTCTGGTTTCTTTTCTTGTGACAATGCAGCCAACTATGTAGTTTTGCAATAGATTTTTTGGACAGATTTTAATGAAGTTCGATTGCGCCGACGCCAGAATAAGTCGGAAAGCGCAAACATTATTCAAATAGCCGGATCTTGAGACCGAGAAATTTAAAGCATGCGGTTTTAACTGACAGAAAGATTGTTGTATGTTAAAGGGGAATTCGCAAATTACACCAGAGGTGTATCTGTGTTTTTGGATAGATTCTATGACATTGATCTTAAATACCTATTTGCTGGCATCGGCTTTCCTTCCTCGTGTATCCGGTTGGACAAACACATTTCTTTGTATTTCCGGTATCACATACGGCTAGAGCAATAGGAGTACAGTCGGCATTATTGGCGCAAACTATGTCGTACACTGAAACGCAATAATAAAGCCTTGCTAAAGATGAACTTATTTACAAAGTCGATTATTTTTTATTTTTATGCAATAACAGCTTCTTTTCAAAGCCATTTTTCAAAAATAATAAATAGTAACGATCTCATATTTATCAATATATTTATTGTAAACGATAAAGCGCTTTCATAACGATCTTGATTTCGGGCTGAAGACGGCCATGTCAGTCAGTGACATTTAAATATAGAGCAAAATAGATCAGGGGTAAACCGGCTTACGCGAAAAAAAAAGTTCATTTTGCAAATAGCTCAAGGTATTTACCTTCCAATTCACATCGCTTATCACGTTCAATATATCCATCAGCGCATGTACATTTTTTGTCCAAATTGCTGCAAATCGACTTCGTGATCCCTCGACAATATTCGTCCCTTATACACGTCTCTCCGAGCTCTAAAACAGTAAATTGTATAGATTTTATAAACTTTACAATTTTTAAAATTTAATAACATGCAAAAATGGTGTTTGGCCTTTCGTTAAGAAATGGACTAAACTTAACAGTTTGAATCTGTTTATATTGAAAACTTACAACATACGAATCAGCAACATGCTTCTCTCCCTTAGAATAATACCGGCAAAAAAAACACAAAAAACAAAACAACAAAAAACAACATATTGTATAATCTAAATCAAATATGGGGATAACTTAAAAGTAAGAAAGAAAGACAACCTACCACGTGTTAAACATTGCCCGCCTATTTCTTTATACGCGACAGAGCACACACATATCTGCCTGGCCGAGTCACAAACAGCATTTTGAACACCTCTGCAGTTATCGGTGGTCGAGCAGACATCCGAAAGACCTACAAACATTATTAGTAAGACATACTTGATTTTTTTTTCGATTAACATATAATATGAACACAATAGAGACGTGCAGAATTAAATATATTCACTGATAAAATATGATGCAAATCCATACATTCGTGCAAAAGGGAGAAATCATTTTAAATGTATACAGTTGGATCCAACCTCTCCGCCCATATTTACTAATACCTTAGAAAATATTCATTAACGTGATAAATATCAATGTCAATATTCGTTTTATATTTGATTACGAAATCTTAGCACCTTTTCTGCAATGTAGACGTTTTCCCCTTAATAATTACTGCTCCCAGAAAGATGAGTCATCACCATGTGTCCTTGCAGTCCCAGGTGGATCCCTTTCGACAGCTTCATAACATTTCTCGCATTTGTGTGTAATTCATTTAAACACTAATCACTCTTGTCAATTCAAATAATGAAAAGATGGACAAAAATGAAAAAAAAAAAACATATTGTTTTACCTTTAAATGTGCATGTGTCCGCAGATCGTTTGTACGCCCCCATGCATGTACATAGTTCGGTGGCAAGATCGCATTTCACACCCACATTTTGTTGAGGGTTACAGTCTGTGTCTTGTGTGCATTCGTCCGTCAATCCTGGTATTCAAATGTTTATCTATTAACATTTCATTTCAAAATAGTGCAACAAAAACAAATTCTTTTTTTAAATATCTGAGTAAATACATTTATTATAAAAAAAAACGAGTATTAATTGAAGAAAACAACTCTCCCTCCCCGGTAGACACATTAAAAGACATAAACTTAATGAAGCAACAATTTTGTAAATTTTGTCAGTTACATGATGAAGAGGACAAATATCATTATAAAAATGTTAAAACCATACACTACTCATGAAGCTTATGCTTAACAAAACACGGTGATTAAATATTTTCATTTTGTTCCCGGAGAAGGATTACTGATAATTAAATGGACTGATTTGACACCTCCTATACAATATTTTTGTACAAGCCATTCTGCCATGAATTACATGTACATGTAATAGTGTATACAAGCAATGTGACATTCACCTCGCACTTAATTCAATATACCATTTGACATTGACATGGCATTAAATACCCGGTACAATAAACAAGCCATCTGACATTGACCTTACACTGAACAGAATAACAGGCCATTTGACATTGTCAGGGTACTTAACATAAAATGTAATGTACAAGCCATCTAACATTGACCTCGCACTAAAAAGAATAACAGGCCATTTGGCATTGTCAGGGTACCAAACAGAATGTACACGCCATCTGACATTGACCGCGCACAAAATAGAATAACAAACCATTTGACATTTGCATTGCACTAAAACGTATAACAAACCATTTGACATGGACCATTTTTCTCACTGACTCACAAAACAAACCTTTCATTTGACATTGTCCATTTATCGCCTTGTACGCGCTCGTACAGTCACATTTGTTATTAGCATTGCAGACAGAGTTCGGAACACCTTTGCAGTCATCTATGGCACTACATGTGTCGCTGAGACCTATAACGATTTCAAATATCTAAAAATGGTAAACAGTAGTATCGAAATACAAAAAAAACATATTCACTTGATTTGTAGAATGCTTTTTTTTACAGCCAATGAAAGTTTTCGTATTTTGTTTAAAGGGTTGAAATGCAAAACTAATACCTTATTTATATTGATCGAGTGTATCCTTTAACATATTTTGAGAAGTAGCTACCTTTCCATTCACATTGGTATAATAACAGTCCTCAGACATTTGGATAAACATTTGTATACATGTATAAATTATAACTTCTTCGGAAAAAAGAAAAAAAAAACAACTTTCTTTAATACATGATTAAGAACAATTAAGTTTTTAAATAAAATACATAAACAAAAATTGTCTCTCTGTCGAAAAATTACTACTATTCCGATAAAACCCCGCTAATCCGAACACCCTTCTAAACCGGACATGTATCTCGGTAGGAAATCGCCTGCTTTACAATGTTCAACAGTATTTGCCCAGTTTTCTCTCCTAATGTTAACTGGAGTGAACAAGTAATTGTGTATCAACTGTCCCTCAAAAAATAAAAAAATATATCAAAATATCTTAAACGAACCTTTCCAAATACATTGGTTATTTTGGCCATCTTTTGGTTTATAGGAGTTTGAACATACGCATGTTGATGTAGTTGGATTACAGATTGAGTTTGTCACAGCTTTGCAGTCATTAGTGACGCCACATCCATCTCCAAGAACTGATATTGTAAATGAAACAATATAGATAATAACATAAATTGAGTATAATTTTGTCGGAGAGTTACTTGCAATACTATAAGAAGAAGACCAGTTTTCCAACATTAAAACAAGATTCCTTCCCACAGGCGAGCATCCAGGTCAAACCTGCCTCCACCGTTTTTATACATGTGGAATTAAGTTTACGGTGTTGCAAAGTTAATGACGTGCGGTAAATCATCTGTAACACCTCGAATATACTCTAACTCAATGTTTCTTGGCTAACGTAAAAATTAATTAAATAACAAATGAAACAGAACAAGAACAGATTGCGCTAAGATCGGGGCAAATACATAAACATTACCTTTTGGAACACAGGTATTTCCTTGACTTTTATATGCGGGCAGGCAGTTGCACACAGTGCTTCCAGGATTGCAGAACGAATCTGGGACATCTTTACAAGTATCTGCGTTGCACGGATCACCTGGATCTAACAATGTATGTTATGATAATTATTATAATAATGATGATGATGATGAAATTGTGAATGTTAAAAGTTATGATGACAAAAAGGATAAAGATTCTCAAAATATTTACACCTGATGCCAATTTTGAAGATGACGGCTAAATGTGTATGAATACCAGGGATTATTTAAGGGAAGTGATTTACGCGCTGAAATTTTAAAACAAATTTGTTTATAGTTTCATTCTGAAATTTTGCATATAACGTTAAAAAATGTATCATACGTATAAAATATTGAAAAAAAAGCAAAACAACTCCTCTTCTGTCGTTAAAATATTTACAAACCTTTGAGAGTACATTCAATCCCTTGTTGTTTATATAAAGCTGAACAGATGCATATTTTGGTACCCCCGAGGTCACACACTGACTCCTTCACAGCAGTACATTCACTGTTGGACTCACAGGGATCTCCAAGAACTGTTTAAAACATATTTCTATTTTTAGAAAAGTAATCTATATTTAGACAACAATGCTATTTTTAGACGATGATTTTTTTTGCACATAAAGTTCTGTTATACTGTCATTAAATATATATATTTTGAATATTTCTATCTTTCGAAATAAAATATTTTAAGAAAATATGATAAAATCACTTTTTAGGAAATATACATGTATTAACTTTAAAAACTATTCTATGTCAACATGCAGTTCTAATCTTATGTCCGCAATTTAAATTTGCAGGACAATTATGAATTAGGGACAAAGTTCAATATCAATTTTTTACCTCCTCCCTTTTCCCTCTATCCCATCACCCTAGCACCAACTAAGCTATTTTTAATTTACAAAAAACCTTAAGCATTGACCATGTAGATGAACGATTATATTACTTTAATTGATTACTTTTTGTTATATACATGTATTATCAAATATGTTTTAAATATTTAAAATGGAATACAAACTACAATTTTGGTGGTGGTGTTGGTAGTTTTTAAGCCATATTAAATTTACTAGAAGAATAGTTACATTCATTTCTAAAGTTTATAGTTTCTTAATTGAAACATTGTAGGCATAAAGTTGTATTTTAAAACCGGATATCCTCTCAGAGAACCACACAATCACGTGACCTTGTGTGAAAAGATCAATTAATGCCGGAAATGGGGGAAAATTAGTTGTTGGTGAAAGATGGTCTCTTAAGACATTGCAATCTCTTTAGACAGTTCAAAGATCACTTGTGAATGGTGTACTATAGCCTTAGCCTAATGACGGAAAAATAAAGATTAATCATGGTCTGATCATGTTCTGCACTGTTCGCTTCTCATTAAGCTCTTTTTTTTTTTTAAGTTTCCCTTAAATATAACCCAGCAAATTGTGCGCTTTAGGGTTTTTTATAGTATAGACGATGGTCTGTGAAATATCAGTTTGTAAAGTCAGACGAACAACCATAAATAATGAAAAGATTTGTCCAAATTGAAAGCCCTTGAAAAATGACTAAATTGATGGATCGTGGATATACCTTTAGAAAAGATTTCTGCATGGGATTTATACTGACCAGATGGTGGTATGAACTAACCTTTAGGGACGCATAACCCGTTCGCTTTCTTGTATCCGGATAAACAAACACAACTTTCGGTGACGCAACGAGAGTTCGGAATGTTTCTGCATGTATCGGTCGTACATATTGTTGTATCTACGGAGAAAAGACGAGGAAAAAGAAAGAACAAAATGAAATGTTTGCATTGAAGGAAGTTATGGTGACGAAATGTCAATAACTACTAAGTCATACAAAGATCGAACGAAACTTTAAATACAGAACTATGTACGTTCAACAAATGTAAAATCATAAACTAAATAGCATAGCTTGTTATTGTCCAGCACGGGCGTACACACAAATTTCTTTAGCTAAATGCAGCCAGTAGAAACTAGTTATACAAAATTTTTAGTGAAAGAAGTCTGCAATTAATTCATATTTGCAATTCAACACAGTTTCTAACCATTTCTTACCTAGAATACACCTGTCTCCTTGTTGAATATAGGTCGAGCGGCACGTGCATTTTCCCGACGCACATGTTGAATCTGAGACGCTGACGCAGTCGGATGATGCGCCGCATGTATCCCCTAAACCTGAAAAATATACAAGAGGATTTTGTTCCTCCTTAAAGCTGCATTTTATAAATTTCATAAAAACAGAAATAACTACATTTGTTTAAAAAAGGGGTCCATATCGACTTTTATCTTAGTCATCAGACGACAAATTAAGCTTGATAAGCTTAAAAGTCAGCAACCTCATTTTGGCGAAATCGAAAGTACATTTCCTATTTACATGTGAAACTCCGCCTTTAGGACCGTTTATGTATAAAGTAGTTATTGCTTAGTCTTTGCAGTTATGATAATATTAAATGACCAAAGTGCATTGCCACCAGGAGAGAAAATTTAGCATATTTGTGGCTACTGCTAGATTAAAGCACACAATTTGTACACCTGAATACACTGTCATGAATAAGTAAGAAAAAATTACAAATATGGGGGCGTGCTCCTTTAATCTTGAGGAGCTGTTTTAGGACATCTCGATTGAAGATCACGTGGAAACGCCTTGTACTAAATTTATATTTAAGGGTATTTCATTCATCAATTTCTCGTAAAAGATTTGCAAACATCGTCACTTTCCGCATTTAAAATTTGAATTCAAAATCATGCGGTGAAAAAAAACAACCCGACCTGCTGCTGGTTATTCGGAGGTTAATTGAGTATGTGTAAACAGTATCATCAATGTTCAAACACGGAAAGTGCCGAATCATGCCGGAATTTTACGATGTCATGCTTGTCTCTATCACATGTTTTCCCGTGTGGGTGTAGGTTGTTTAGGACGTTTCATATTACACCAAATGGTAACCTACGTATCTATTACTTGACAATTGCACGTTACAAGCAGATTATATAACGTTATGTTACATTCAATATCATTATTATCGTCGGCAAACCTGTATTTATTACAAAACATACACCATTCTTATTACATATACTCCTATATAGTATGATATATTGTCAAAATCTGTCAATTTTCATTGGATACGGAAAGAGCCGAAGCTAGCCGAATTTATATGAAAAAAAAATGTCTAGTCATTCCCACTTACCCTTCGATACGCATTGACCACTTACTCTCTTGTATGCAGATGTACACAAACAAACCCCAGCATCACAGTACGAATTCGGAATATTTCTGCATGTATCAACGGTACACACAGTGGGATCTAAAAACAATAGACCAATAACAACGTTACGTTATTACTGAAATGCAAACTGGCTTACGTCAAAACATTGACACATGTTATAATAATTATACAGCTTGAATCTGTAAATTCTCGACCAGGAGTTGTCGGCAATTTCTTCCAATTTATTTTAAAGCTGTCCCGATTTACAGTCATCGTGGATTCTAATATTTTAACATGGTCATTTTAAAAATAATTGAGTTTTATATTATGTTTATATTATTTATCAATTCTAAGGATTATGGGCCCTATTGAATCGGTAAACATATGATACCGATATATACTCGAAGCTGCATCGGCTTCCTACGATAGTTATCGTGATACCTATATTAAGTACATTTTTGTCGCGTCTCAAGACGGGTTTTTTTTACTATGACGTCATTATTTGAGAGAACACCAATATGGCGGTTCGCATATATTGACTTGTCCGTGTCAATATTCTAAAGCAAGTCTGCATCTCCATGGTGTTCTCTCCGTTACTTCCAATTAAAGATTGAATAAACGCGAGTCGTTGATTAAAAAGAAATGCATTATTTTGCCCTTTCCTTCCAGAATTTCTACACTATTTAATTGTATCATTTTGTTAACGAGTTCTCTGATAAAATGAACGGTTCCTAAATTCTGAACAGGACTAGTCGATTACCAAATCGGGGTAATTGTAACGGTTTATTGGTGCCTACCTCTTACACATTGACCATTTTGCTCAAGGTACGTATCTCTACATTGACACTTCTTTAAGGTTTGACTACATGTCGATTGTGCAACTCCTGCAGTACAGTCGGTGTCTTGTTCACAACTGTCTTCGAGAACTGCGGTGAAAATATAAAAGAGCACTGGCATGTAAAAATGTGAAATAAACTTTTTTTACAATTGACATGTCATCGTCAGATACAGACGGTCAAGGTTAAAAAAGATTTGTGCAATTTTCAACTCGTCGAATTCAAATTACATAAATCATTAAAAAAATATGGTTTTCAAATAGCACAATGGCTTCGGTAATTGCCAGTAGGTTCCGAATGCCAATAGCGCTGAAGAATGTACATGTATTCTAGTAAAATTGATTTTTGTCTGTTTCATCTAGACGTTTGAGTCTTTGTCACCCACAAACTCTTTTCTTCAATGAGCGGCAGCCATTACACATTTTTATGGTGGTAGATTTGGAACGCTTTTTTGCGTCGTGTTGTCACTAGCGACAGCACGACAAAGCGCTAAAAGGCGCGTTGTCGGACATTCGTCTTGTCTTCCTGCCGCTAACGATGTACGCCAAACGGCGCGTTGTCGTGCGGCGTGTTGACGCGAGGTCACATTGTCGCTTTGTTCAAATCGAAGGATTTGCTTATAAGCCAAGTGGCAGGGCGACATCGCGACAACGCGCGCACGACAACGCGCCATTTGACGTGCCAGGACGACAAGAAGACAGCGCGACAACGCGCCGTTTGGCGCTTTGACGTGTTGTCGCTAGTGACAAGACGAAAAGGCGATAACGATATAGGTTGCGTTGTCGCTATCAACGCAACGCGCAATGTACCAAATCAGCCAACTTGGATATGTTCTATTGACGTTTGTGAACGTCTTAGTGAAACTGACTAAAAATTACTCTGACAGTATACGAAGCAGGTATTGGAGACTAATATTAATTCAATAAATATTGTGTCATGAAATTTGTTTAATTATTATCAGACATTTTTGGAAAGCTGTAAAGCTTTGGTTAGTATTACAAAGCGGTTGGATGATGTTGTTTACTTCAATTCTAACCTTTCAGTTCACATCTTCCGTTCACTTCTTTCACCTCTTGTGTACAATAGCACCTGGAAGTGGCCTGGTTACATCGAGAATATTGGAACCGAGAACAATCAGTGTTGGTATTGCAGACGACATCAGAAACTGTCCAAAAATAGAACAAAACATGTATACACCGTATGTCTATTTGTAGTAACAGGCATTTTATTTAAGGTTTCTGTTAGTTTCTTGTAAAATAAATATAATCAAACATAATATAAATAAGAATCGGCCATTCTCGGATAATATCGTTATAGTGCCGAATGAGCTTATTTCATATTTATAGAAGTTGATGTCGCAGACTTGTAATCTCGACATTGTGGGTTCGACTTCCGGGCTGGCTAACTAAATTTACTAATAGGTCTTTCGGATGAGACTTTCAATCGAGGTCTTGTGTATTAGTGCTTAAACACTTGGCACGCTAAAGAACCAGGTGAAGCTTCCGGAATTTGGGCATTTTTCTGTATCTGTATCATGCACTGTCCTTCAAAATTCTAAAATGACTAATAAAAACATCTTAGAATAATACTCTTCTGCAGAACTCGCCCATATGGGCAACCGATGGCGAGTATAAATAAACTCAAATACACACATCAGTGCATGCATTCTAATATTTGTTTATTTAATTTTTCTTTGGATTAAATGCACATAATGCCTCAGAAATCAATACTTTATTTTCAATCCTAAAGAAATGTCATACATGTGTTTAATAATGTTTTAATAATTGATTAATAGCATATTATATGTTTTAACAAGTGAGGAAGTAGCGCTGAACATGTTAATGTGTCGTGTCGTTAAGGTAGCAAAATGTAAACAAATTAGTACATAAAATACTAATTCACTGTAATTATACCAATTGCCAACATGACAAAATCAGCAAAAGATGGCAAATGAGTATTTACTTTGAAACAGTAACAAAATATCTAAAATAAAATAGTTTTTGAGAAATAAAAGTGTTAAAAGTATTTTTGTGGTGATTCAATGGTAGTTTCCTGTGCTTGTGTGAGTACTGTCCTGTGTGTCGGGTGTTTGAGTAGTGCCAGTATATAATGTTCGTAGTATACTGCGCGTGTGTGAGTAGTGTGTCCTGTGTGTTTGGACATTTTTTTGGTATTGTTGTGTGTGTCACTAATTATCTGTAGTCTATGTGTTTCAGTATTATTCTGTGTTTGATAGGTGTCCCGCGTGCAAGTGTTCCTAGTTTAGCGCGCATGTGTGAGTCCTGTATGTCAGGCAGTGTGTGAGTAGTGTTTTGTGTGTCCGGCCACTTTGTGAGAAGTGTCCTGCGAGTCAATGTGTGAGTAGTGTCTTGTGTGTCAGTTCAGTGTGAGTAGTGTCCTGTGTGTCACTGTGTGAATAGTGCCTTGTGTGTCAGTGCGTGAGTAGTGTCCTGTGTGTCAGTGTATATGTGCGAAATGTTCTGGGTGTTAGTGTGTGGGTAGTGTCCTGTGTCAGTAGTGTACTGTGTGAGTTTTGTCCTGTCTGTCAGTGTATGTGTCCTGTCTGTCAGTGTGTGAGTAGAGTCCTTTGTGTAAGAGTAGTGTCATTTCTGTCAGTGTGTGAGTAGTGTCCTGTCTGTCAGTGTGTGAGTTGTGTCCTATCTGTCAGTGTGTCAGTTGTGTCCTGTCTGTCAGTGTGTGAGTAGTGGCCTTTCTGTTAGTGTGTCAGTTGTGTCCTGTCTGTCATTGTGTGAGTAGTGTCCTGTCTGTCAGTGTGTGAGTTGTGTCCTATCTGTCAGTGTGTCAGTTGTGTCCTGTCTGTCAGTGTGTGAGTAGTGTACTGTCTGTCAGTGTGTCAGTTGTGTCCTGTCTGTCAGTGTGATAGTAGGGTACTGTCTGTCAGTGTGTGAGTAGCGCCCTGTCTGCCAGTGTATGAGTTGTATCCCATTTGTCATTGTGTCAGTAGTGTCCTGTCTGTCAGTGTGATAGTAGTGTACTGTCTGTCAGTGTGATAGTAGGGTACTGTCTGTCAGTGTGATAGTAGTGTGTGTACTGTCTGTCAGTGTGTGAGTAGTGTCCTGTCTGTCAGTGTGTGAGTAGTGTCCTGTCTGTCAGTGTGTGAGTAGTGTCCTGTCTGTCTGTCAGTGTGTGAGTAGTGTATTGTCTGTCAGTGTGTGAGTAGTGTATTGTCTGTCAGTGATTTGTTTTAATTAATTTATGTTATTGTTTATTATTTTTCATACGAAACATTGTTAGTATTTTTAGTGGAGTAGCGGGGGATCGAACTCGCAACCCCTAGACTTGTAGTCAGACAGTGTTACCACTGCACCACAGCGCCCGCTCTGATTTACAACTATTTAAAAAGTGCATTTATACATCATCACATAAGTAAACATGAGCTAAGTTATACAATTGAACTTTCACACCTATATAGTTAATATAGCGGTAAGGTCTATAGTGTTTTACAATGACTGACATTCGTGTCCTTGCTTGAGGGGATGTGATCAAGGACTATACAAAGGGAAAATAAGTAAGACTGTTGATAGAACCATACCAGAAAAAGCCATGTTACGTTAAATAGAATCACAGTTCTACTATTGACAATAAGTAAAAAAAGGTATAAACAACATATCTTGCAGATCAAATAAATATTTTCATAACTTTGTCATTATGTCATTATGATATAATACTTATTATGCATGTATATTTGTTTAAATATTGTAAATGTAATTATTGTAAAAATTGTTTAAATGTAATTATTTAATATATCTAAAATGAGCGTATGTCAAACAGAAAAGAAAAGTTTTAGGACAAAATCGTAATGAAATACTAAGTATACATATAATTTTGATTGTTTTATGATGTTTTTCATCATCATTATTATTATCACCATTATCACCATAAAGTTGTCAGAATATACAAAAAGCTCTTACTGTGTTAGTCACGCAAAATAGTTTTCTTTTTATTTAAATCTTAGTAAATTTTATCTAAAGTATATTTTTTCTCAGAAAAAAGTAATAGATATATGACAAGATAAATAAATTCTACCAAATGGTATCACCCCGTCTCCCTACGTCGACCAAGGGACTCAGTTGGTTATTCGCGTGAATCACCAACTACCAACCAGAAGGTAGTTGGTAATTAGAACTGTGCATGATTACCCATAAAAAGTACACTTTCCGGAAATAAATAATCATATTAGAAAAAAAATAAAATAAAATAAACGTAACGGAAATATGAAAAGAAAGATGTGTTCTCCAACACACTATCTTCTTATGTCCACCAGAGGACTCAATTGGTTATTAATTCGAACATTGCATGTTTTCCATAACATTTTTCGGGATAAATATAGCGGATATATAACAAGAAAGATGTTTGTTTTCAAAATGGAAACACACTGTCTCCTTATGTCGTCCATGGTTATTTGTGTGTATCCTAAACTATCTACCAGAAGGTAGTTGGTAATTCGAGCTTTTGGTAGGTAGATGGGAATTCGCGCGAATCAACAACTAGGTTCCCTACTTTATTCTGTGTTTGAAATGTATGGTGTGTTGTAACATTTAATGCTGGTGAAAGTGGACTGAATTACCAACTAACACCTGTTAAATAGTTTGGAATTACGAATAACCAACAACCAGCTAGTAGGTATAGTTGGTTATTCGAAGATCCTACTACCAACTACCCACAAAATTGACGCTCATTTTTTATTTTATACCCCTCATCCGACCAGTCCTCAAGTAAAAATGAGAGTATCGTTTCACTTGCAATTATGAAATAAATATTTGATCTAAAATAATCAACAAAAAAGAGGATGTACATTGTCTATCAAAACTCAAAATGTACTCACCTTGTTCAACAACGCATGCATTTGATTTAGCAACATAGCCAGTGGTGCATGCGCATTTTCTTTCTGTATTACAAATGGACGATGTTACAAACTTGCAGTCTGCCAGCGCCGTACAACTGTCGCCTAAACCTACAATTTTGTATCAGTTACTTCCCTTTAATATGTTTGATATAATCTAATATCACTTTAAAGCAGCATCCAGATAAATGCTAATTTTCATGAAAATTTTAAAGATGTATTAAAACGTCAACTGGGTCTGTACAGGCACGGATACACGCACCAGCAAAATGTGCCTAAATTTGACATATGAATTGTTTTTACAATGGAAACCGACTGGGGACTTAAGCAACCCGTCTGAGGACTTTGGCAAAGTATTAAGAACTAGAAAAACTAATAAAATCGTTCTTTTGCAATACTTAGAGTGTACCAGGTTACAGAGAAATTGTGATACCAGTTAAAGCAAAATATTGACATAAGCATATTTTGTATCAAAATTAGCAAAAATATATTGACAAAATGATGGGTAATATTTGAATGAAAATCCGATTATTAACAAACTTTTGTATAACGTGTAAGTAGCAGAGTGGTGAAAAATGTAAGTTACATACTAAAGGTTTAGGTAAATGAGTTTTCGCCTGTGTATTATTATTGAATATTGAACGGAACACCATTGCATACGCCAGACGTTGCGTCAGACCAATGCACTCTTTATCGCTTACGTCATATACGTTAATCCGTAGACGAAGTGGGCGCAACAGAAACAGAAAAAGTTGTCATTTAACTAGCCTTAAAACATTGATAAAACCCATTTTCCTTTAAATCCCTACGCTATTTACAAGTAAACAAAAACTCTGATAATTATCAAACGTCTAACAAAAGTAAAAATGCTTGTGTAGTCAATACATTTTGGCAATTTATAATATCAAATTTTCAAATAAATTTTGGTCAAGTAAGTATGCAATATTCCCAAGAAATCAAGTGCACAACTTCTTTGACCACTAAGTATATATTATTATATTATCAATGGCTTATAATTTCCCAAAAATATTCTCTTATAGAAAACAAACCTTTTTCTGAACAAGATGGGTTCGCCGGATCATTAAATATTCTGTCGGAAGGACATTCACAATTTCCGTCGGCGTCGGCATTTCTATTACAAATTGAGTACTTAATAGCCGTATCGCAAACTTGATCATTTGCACACTCCCTTGGCAATTCTGAAAAATAATGCATAGTGTACATTAAAACTAAAAGGTTGATTCGTTCTTTCCATAGAAATGTATGTATTAATTTCCCTATCCCTTAGTTAACACTAAATCTAGGTCAATTCGTTTAAGTATCTGTCACTTTGTCCTCTGTGCAATTGCATTTCCCGTAACAGGTTAGACAACTCTGGTATTTATATATCTTTAAGAATCATTTCCCCTTTCATCATTGAAGTTTGATAAGTAAATTGCTATTTGAATTATTTGAAGCCTAATAATTTCTTATTCAACAATATCTACACCACTCAAGAAACAAAGAACAATAACTGTGTCACATATTCCTACTAATTACGTCCCTTTGTTTTCTATTTGGTTTTTAACGTAGTAACATGCAGAAAATGTCTTCAAATTTTTATGTGTTTAAAATGTCACAAAATCTTTTCTGGTAATTTTGTTATAGTTTTAAACATGAGTTCACTCACGCATTTTTAAAGTTGATGCTTGTGTCACGTGACCTTTTTTAAATTTTAATTAAATAACGCATTTTATAGATAAATATAGTTGGACAAAAACACATAGAATTAAGTTTCCTATTTACGGAATTTTACTTTACTAATATTCTCATACTGTTAACTTGTCTAAAGAATTATAATAACACTTCCATCAGCATGTTATATCTATTTCTCTCAAGATTTAATTTCCTTTTTTACGGTAATTTGTCTATCGACTCTGCACAACGGGAAGAGCATCGGATTTGTAAACAACGGGCGACTGGCACGATCCTCGAGCGAGGCGGAATTTCCCCGTGACAATTTTTCTTTGACAATGAATCTAACGGTCAATTATTTCTTACTACTGATTCAGAAATCATATTATTGCGTGTGACCGGGCTGCAATCTTTAAAATAAATCGTCCTTTAAATCTATTGGCTGCTTTAAATAGATTATTTAAATGTATTGTATTCATACGCACTCTATATATTGTTATGCTCAGTATAAACAGAAGACAATGCCATGCTACACAAGGTTCTCGTAAATGGGACCTCGCATACTGATAAGTATAATAACTTGAATAAGCTTTTCAGTTTAGCCGGTTAGGTAGATTTACCGCCGAAAAATCGGCGTTCAAATCAGATAAACAAAGAAACAAATAATACAGCTCAGAAACTATTGAAACACCACGTGTTACTTTTTCCATCATGCGTGCGTTTGAAACCCTATGCACAGTAGCGCAACCCTGGTTTACAATTTTGAGACTTTCAGCATTTGGCACCTTGTTTTTTAAAAAGTTTTTTTTTACATCTTTAGATATGGCTTACCAGTAACTGGACAGTTGTTTAATTCAACAAACGTTAACATTTCAGATGTTTGTTTTACCCAATATCTGATCCTTTTTTGTACAACAGTGCACCTACAAAATAAATAAATAATTAAAGAAAGAAAGAAAGAAAGAAAGCAATAAAGAAATAAATAAAGAAATAAATAAATTCATGATTTTAATATAATGATAAAAGAATTGTTTAGATTATATAAGATGGACAAATTCCTGGCAGATATTTAGCCCAGTAAGGGTTTGACAAATAGTTTTTCAAAATGAAAGATGGCGTAATTACACTTACACTATATAAACATTGTTTGTCTTCGTCTCGTCTGGTATCCATTTGAAGAACACAGAAGACACATCGTTGCTATCTGCGTGTGACAAGGCTGCAATCTTTAAAATAAATCGTCCTTTAAATCTATTTGCTGATATAAATAGATTATTTAAATGTTTTGTATTCATACGCACTCTATATGTTGTTATGCTCAGTATAAACAGAAGACAATGTCATCAACACAAAGTGAATGTGCAGTATAAATAGGTCGTAAAGGTAGCAAAATGTAAACAAAGTAGTGTTTTGACTTCCATTATACAACATACTAATTAATAACTATTATTATTATTATAAATATTTAAGAGGGTATTATTTCGTTCTTTTTTATTTAATCACGGAAGAAAAAAACAATGGAAAATGTTTACCAAAATCTCAATTTGTTGCAATTGCAACTGTACAGCGCGCAGTAATACATGAATTAACTACTCGAATGTGCGTGATGCAATTAAATATACAATTTAACAAAGCCATCTTGAACTGTCTTGAGAAAACATAACCAGATAATTTCTGATAATGAAATGAAAAGCTGAATGCCACTGAAAATCATCTGAGAAAGTAGTCCCAAAAATAAATATTCAAATATGCCACTGAAAATCATCTGAGAAAGTAGTCCCAAAAATAAATATTCAAATATGGAGTTTTGACTCCGCCCACTTTCATATTTCATGTTTCATATTTGTTTTTTTTTAAACAAATATGACATATATTTAACTGACAAAGCACCAATATTTCAATGGTAAAGTTAAATATGAGCCGCATCACGACAAAACCAACATAATGCGTTTGCGACCAGCATGGATCCAGACCAGCCTGCGCATCCGCGCAATCTGATCAGGATCCATGCTGTTCGCTTACAAACCCTATTACAAGTAGAGAAACTGATAGCGAACAGCATGAATCCTGATCAGACTGCGCGGTAGCGCAGGCTGGTCTGGATTCATGCTGGTCGCAAACGCATAACGTTGGTTTTGTCATGACACGGCTCATATATATATATATAATATTCTATGTCGTCATTTTTATCTACAGTAACTCCTCATGTATAAACTGCTCCTACCTCATCACCGCAAACATTTGTTGTATTTTTTACCCCCTCTATTCTCTCCAGCTTTCCAACCGTCTCGTAAGTGTTTATTATTGGTCGAGCCTGACAGAAAAATCCTTTAAAAGGAACGCCGGTTTTTGCAGTTATTGACACTGTAATAAAAATATGTAATAATTTTATGCAATTATTATTATTGTCAGTAATTGTGAGTACTTTGAAACATCTGTTTAGAACTTCAAATCACTACGGGGTTTGCTGAAAGCTCAAACGTTACTCGAAACTTAAAGATATACAATGTACTATGCTCATCCATGAGTAAAATATTTTAATCACAGAAAATTTATTGAAATCTGTTAAATTCTTACCGAATATGTTTACCTTGAATGCTTGAGTAAAGGAACGAATTAACTATATGTATGGGAAGCTGTGTTATCCATTACAAGACAAATGAGCCGCGTCACGACAAAACCAACATAGTGGGTTTGCGACCAGCATGGATCCAGACCAGCCTGCGCATCCTCGCAGTCTGATCAGGATCCATGCTGTTCCCTATCAGTTTCTCTACTTGTAATCGGGTTTGTAAGCGAACAGCATGGATCCTGATCAGACTGCACGGATGCGCATGCTGGTCTGGATCCATGCTGGTCGCAAACGCATTAAGTTGGTTTTGTTGTGAGTTGAATTTTAAACATGACATAACTACTTTATATGAGGTTAAAGGCCCATTATGCCTTATATATGATTTGATTTTTATTTACCAAAAGTTTTATTTTTGTATTTGGTTTTCTTTTATAGTTTCCAAACAGTTACTTATTGGCCAATATCCTGGACTATATTTTTGTTCTGTTGCTTTGTGTCATTTACTACTCTAATAGTGATTTAGTTCCATGTATGGAAGTCAAAATACTACTTTGTTTACATTTGGCTACTTTTATTACAAATAACGTCATTTCTTCAGGTAACAAGCATCTTACATGCTCTAAGACCATTTTTAAACGTTTTAAATTTCATGTTTTCTCTTTCTAAGAAAGTAAAGTATTACTTGTTTCATAGGAACAATGTGTCTATAAAAAATGTATTACTTGTTTCATAGGAACAATGTGTCTACAAAAAATATCTTTCTTTTAAATTTACAAAGAGACTCATATCAATATTTTTTCATATCAAATTTGAGCATAGTATAATTATATGAAAGGTTCAAAATGACGTTTTTCCTAGTCAAGCTATTTGAATGAATAACTGCATCATAATTTGAAATGTCTTGAAATGTTACAACCATTTAAAAGAGGTCTGTATCGTTTCTTCTATAACTTGGAAATAATTTTGATTGAAAGATATGTATTTTGCAACGGTACACGTGTTTAAAACATTATCACGCGTATCGGGCGGAATCACGTGTTTCGACATACTTGTATATAGTTGTCGTGGTAATTTATTTTAGTTCGATTGTGTTGGAAGCAATTAGCTTATTCTAACACTCAAGACTCCGTTCCTGGAACCAACCACTACTTAGCAATCAGTGTAAAATTTTTTGCTCACTGAAACAACGGCTTGCCCCTAACGGGGTTTGAACCCACGCGGCCAGCGAATCTTAGATTTTCTAGTCCGAAGAATAAACCACTCGGTCACACGCCACTGGTTTGATCCTCGTGCGATGGGAAATTTCTCGGTAACTATTGATCTTTGACATTGACACTAATGATCATTTGAGCCGCGTCACGACAAAACCAACATAATGCGTTTGCGACCAGCATGGATCCAGACCAGCCTGCGCATCCGCGCAGTCTGATCAGGATTCATGCTGTTCGCTTACCAACTCTATTACAAGTAGCAAAACTGATAGCGAACAGCATGGATCCTGATCAGACTGCGCGGTCTGGATCCATGCTGGTCGCAAACGCATTATGTTGGTTTTGTCGTGGCGCGGCTCATTTGTCAGTCAGCGCTGATCCAGAAACCATGTGGTCACTTGCTAATACATTTGTTATAACTGGTAAGTTAACAAAGGAAAGCCATCGTCAAGATATGTTCAAAGATGTGTTAAAATCGACATAAAAACCAGAAAAAATAAACAACACACAACAAAGTTAACATGGGTAGCTATTTTCATCTGTACAGTTACCTTTGCGTGTAAATTTATCTTGTGAAGATCAAAAATTTTATCTGATAGTACAAGTAAAATCTCGACAGAAGGGTAAATCGGATACCTCTGCCTCGGGCTTTCAGAATAACAAACTTGTGAAAGTTAATTTTATGGTAGTAGACAATCGAATAACATCAAGTGTAAAACAAATAAATACAACTTTAAGCTGGGCTTCAAATTACTTTTACACAACCACATCGTAGGGACACATATTTTTTGTAATGACCAAATAGACCTGCATGCCTCTACATTCATGCTAATTTTCATGAAAATTGTACAAAGTATCAAAGTACTTAAAGTACTGGTAAAGCGCACACCAGAATGGGCTCTTTTACATGTTTTAGTTAATTAAAAGCGTTTTAAGCTACACATTTAATGTTTCAGCTTATCAAAAGCGTTTAGCGTTTCTTTCTACCCATTTACATATTTTAGTTAATTAAAAGGGTTTCCTGCTACCCATTTATATGTTTTAGTGAATTAAAAGGGTTTCGTGCTACTCATTTACATGTTTTAGTTAATTAAAAGGGTTTAATTCTACCCATTTACATATTTTTGTTTATTAAAAGGGTTTCATTCTACCCATTTACATGTTTAAGTTAATTAAAATGGTTTCGTGCTACTCATTTACATGTTTTAGTTAATTAAAAGAGTTTCATTCTACCCATTTACATGTTTAGTTAATTAAAGGCTTTTCGCGCTATTCGATCATATAAATATTTTTCGGTTAATTGAAGGCCTTAAGCGCTACTCATATACATATTTTACTTAAATCAAAGACATTTCGTTCTACTCGATCATAAACAATTTTCGGTTAATTAAAGACGTTTCGCACTACTCACATACATATTTAAGTTATCGTAACTAGTCGTCACGCTTATCATAGACGTTTGAATATACTCTTTCTAATTTAAGGCGTACCAGTCTAAATTTTGACTAATCTAAGGTGTTTCGCAATACTCAATTTTAATACGTAGTTCGGTCGTTTTCAGACGTTACATGGGTGTACTTGATTGGATTTATACCTGTAATTCGGCTCGTCTTGCAATAAGTCCGACTGGATGTAGAAATTGTGTATTCAAATGGATCTGTGCTTGGAAGTAGTCCATGAAGAGGCGTCATGTTATCGCAGGCACTTTTTAACGGACCGGTTGGGTAGCCAAATATCGCAGGTAGCAGAAATGTTAAACATGTTGCGCAAACTATATTTCTTCTTGAAACAGTCATGGTATCGAACCTTGAAGTGCAGCTGAAACAAAAATAATAATAATAAAAAAAATAATAATATCAAAAATAATAATAAATGTGAAATAGGTCCAACTTGTTTTCTTTTTTTCCTTTTCATTTCTTTCTAACTTTTTGGCCCGAAAAAGCGTATTGGTAAAAAAAGGTCTTCTCATATGTGATTTGAAAGTATACATTTACAATATCAAATAACAAGAACTTGATAAATAGTCGCTGTGTTATAATTTCCGCCTTTTTTATTTAAAGCAGACGAACAAAAATGTAAAGATTTTTTTGCGCACACAGCAAAAGAGACATAAAACACGCGCACTGTCGATCTTAATCTTTCCATATACTTTTTATGATAGTGATTATGCAAGAATAATGATTCATATCATTCGGGATACCTCGCTGATTACCCAATATAAATAGTCCTTATCCATATCAAAAGGACCGAAAAGTTGCGATTGATTTTTAAATAAATATGTTTTGTACGTTTGTTCGATTAATTCTCTTATTCAAGCCGTAGGAATCAGAATGCGGTACCATAGTGGTGAAGATGTCGGATATGGGTCTGCCTTAACACTCTTCGACCATTTCCGTAAATCTTCGGACAATCACCGATATGTTCCGATTGTAAATTGCCTATGCCACGAGCAATAAAGCCATGTCAGTCTGCAACCCCGCGTAATCTGTCTAGTCACGAAACTGTTCGCTGCATAATGTGACCGAGTGGTTAAGGTCGTTTATTTCGAGCCACTTGCCCTTCATCGCCTGGGATTCGAATCCCGTCAGGGATTTTGTATTTTTTCATGTAAAGAATCTACCCATACAGCTAGCTTACGGAACGTCGGTGGTTCTTTTCAAGCACTTGAGGTTTTTCTTCCGCTAGTAAAGCTTGAAAGTCAAGTCGCCATAATATTATGCCCTTTACTTAAACAACGCCCCCCCCCCCCCAAAAAAAAAAAACAAAAAAAAAAAAACAAAAAAAAAAACAAAAAAAAACAAATAAAAAACAAAATAAAAACAACAAAACAAACAACAACAACAAAACAATAAGCAAACACCCATAAAACAAAAACAACAAAAAAAACATCAAAACCCTAACGTTAATAAATTAATGAACAGTTTCAAATTCAATCCAAAACAAGTTCATTATTATATACTAATTTAAACATGAAAAGTGTTTCTAAATAAAATATTTACCAGTTTATTTGTTTTATATGATCGATAAAACATCAAAAATGACGGAATGCTTTTTAGCCGGGCATTATTTGTACCCATTAACAGTAGTCGAGCCGTTCTTCATACATGTAACTAACCTTAACCATAAGGCTGCTTTGACAACCAATTTTCTTTCTATGCGACCAGTGCAGACCCAGATCAGACGGCACATCCGTGACGTCTGATCTTAGTCTGCACTGTCCACTATTCAGTCAGTACATAATTTGAAAAAATCCACTTAAATGATGAATGGTTTAGTCCAAATATAAGTTTTGACAAGTCCATTTCTGGCATTTAGCATGGAATAGGTTTGTTGATATAATACATAAAACTATCAATAATTTATACATAATACATGTATTTCTAATAGGGGAATATAATAAAACGTCAGGACGCAATTTTGCAATCGATCGAATGCAATGATTACAGCAGACGATATTTAAATGTACATGTATGTCTATATATTAAAACAAATATACATGTCAATATAAAAGCAGCATTTCTAGTACTGTAAATAAACTGAAGTCTATTTGTTGTGTGTGTCTTTTGTTAAATTTCAATATCATTTTATAAATATTTTTGTAAAGAATGGGGAAAACCGCTCTTGTATGTTTAACGCTTTCTGTTATTTAGTTGTTAATTAAGGAAGTTTACTTTTAAGAATGTACCCAAGCGAAATCGGAGTAGTTCACAACGATTACGGTTAAACTAAATGTCCACTGAATGTTCGATACTTTTAAAAAAACACCAACAAACTAACATATCTTTACATGCAATAAATGGCCAAAGCAATGTTTTCGTGAAAACTAAAATATAAAATAAATAAATAAATAGAATGGGTGCAGCTGTGACCAAGTGGTAAAGGCGTGACTGCTGACTGCCTCTCAACCCAGTGATCGTGGGTTTGAAACATATTGGGGCCCCGACCATGTGACTCAAATCAAAACAAGTACTGGTTAGTTCCAGGAAGCAAACCCGGGAGTGGCTTAAATATACAAGCTTTCTTTATAATTTACCATAAAAATAATAATAAAAAAATACCCCCGCAAAAATCTACCTAGTTCCGGAAGTTTAACCTACAAAATCTTTCTACGAAAAGTTGCTAAATTTTAATAGATGCATGTTTTGTTCTGGTATTGATTTGTTTGGGTCTTATTTTACATTTCGTCTATTCAACCAAAAAACTAATCTATAAAGTTCACTTACGACGGTAACAGGCACAATTTTATACGTCGGTCACTAGTTCCAGCCAAGTGCGAGCCCTTACGTCATAAAATCCTAACAGCTGTTCGCGGCCATAATTAAAATCCAACAAAAATCATTACATATTAAAACCTTGCACTTAGATAGACACGCGCCAAAGTCAAGTTAAAAGTTTACAGTAATTTGGTTTTAAATCTTTTTTTGCGATACGTCTTTGTAGTGGTTATTCAACCATTCTATAAAATTTGTGTTTAACTTTGCAATTATGAAAAGAATGCAACGTGTTTGATATAGTAAAAACATGTATACCTTGTTTTAAAGCATTGTTAACGAAGACAAAAATTGATTTATGTGTTCAGCTGACATAAATTATGGGTCTTCCTGCCTTGTATATGCATATTTTTACTTTAACCAGCCGGATTGTAAAGGTCGCTAACTTTAAACACCTTTAGCCTTCGCCGCTGTGTGTTCGAGTCCCATAATTGACGTTGAATAATTTTATTTTATACAAATGTCCACCCTGGTTACTTGAAACGTCGTTGGGTTTTCTTCGGTACCAAATAGTGCTTGAAATAACAACTAGAAGATCTTGTAGTGTTTGGAAATTTGCCGTACGAGATTTTCATGAAAATAACTAGATAAGAAAAAACAGAGAGCATTCCGTATACAAGCTGAAAAATGCATACTGGTAGCAAGAAGAAATGAACGTGTTTTAAAATAGGAGAGCACTAAAACAACTGTTCTTGCATATTAAAAGAAAAACATGCGTTCAGATGTCAACTTACAAAATCATTTTATAGTGAAGTAACGAACCCTGTTATTATAGTGTGTTTAAACCCCTTATGGATTCTCGCGTCATTTTTTCGGACGAACTTACCCCTGGCAAAATCCTTATTCGCAGATGCCTTTTTTGGAAGTGTGAAATGTGCCTTTAAATTGAAACATTGACAAGATTGACTTGCTGTCAACTAGAATTTTGACTGCATTTAGCAAACATTTATATCCGCATCCATGACTTTGCAACTTTTGTTGTTAACGCCTAAAGTCATTAGATGTCCTGACCTTGGGACACCTAATCGGGACTTTTTGGTATTACATTTTACATTAAAGACCCATCACGATACAGTTTGCTTACTACACGTGTTGCGATGATTCAGCGGTATGTACAGTGTGTGTGAGTAAACGATTGGCTGACGATTTCATATAACGCCCTTTCCTGGTTCTTTAAACATAAATAGCTTTTCCGACAGGATTTTAGTCATAATTTATGATGTAATTTAAACTGAAATTTTGAAATATATATTATGCAGTTCGTAAGATATAAAATAACCACAAATGTATCTTTAAAGTAACGCTTGAATGAACAATTACAATTTACACAAAGCGTTAAAGGCGAGCAATAACGCAAATGCATTTATTTTTTATTGCAAACAAATTATTTCATTGCTTTAATATTACAATCGTTTACTTTTAACTTAGTTCACGCGCAGTCTTATATCAGACAAGATATCAAATAAGATATCAAATAAGTGAACATTATGTCTCTCTACGGTGGCACAAAGGTGACATTTGTGCGTTTTCATTTATTTTATTTATCTCGTGCGTTAGAGAAGTCGTGGCCAAGAGATACTAAAGTGGTGGGCACGAGATACTATGTTGTGGCCACGAATTACTTAAGTGGCGGGCACGATATACTATGTCGTGGCCACGAGTTACTAAGTCGGGACCACGAGAAAATTAAGTGGTGCGCACGAGATAATATGTCGTGACCACGATTTACTAAGCAGGGACCAGAAGATAATTAAGTGGTGCGCACGAGATACTATGTCGTGACCACGAGTTACTAAGCACGGACCAGGAGATTATTAAGTGGTGCGCACGAGACACTATGTCGTGGCCACGAGTTACTAAGTCGCGGCCACGAGTAACTAAGTGGTGTATAATTTTAAATTCATTATCTGGCCGTGTTTGCTATATAATAATATAACATTACAACTGTTTATACTGACCCATATTACCTAGAAAAAATAATGATATAAGTAATGATTCATATGTAACTAAAACCAGATTTTCAAATTTGTTCAGTGTTGGATCAAGCAATAACTGTGGGTTTATTTTACAATAAATACAGGTTTGCAGATGATAATAATGGTATTGTATGTTTCAATGGTGATATGACTTGCTCATATAAAGTGCAATTGCAAGCAAGTGGTAAAAAGGGTAGCTAAAGACCAAACTTCAATAAAATATTTCAACCTAGTTTGTTGCATCTAAAAGTGATCTGACATTGCCCCGGCAAACCGATTTTAACAGATATAGGCATAAGACAAAATTTCGTTGTCCGAGGAAGTAAACCAAATTTGTTTCTTTTTTGTTAGAAAATTTTGTTTTTAATGAATTTGGAACAAGTATACTTAAAATAACATACTTAATATTTAATGAGCAAGACTGTATTGCAACCTTACCTGTCGGCTGTGTGGACAACGCCATGTTTGTTCCAGCGGTTAATATTAGAAACGGCATCGCTTTCAAAATTGTGAAAGCTCGCCGATGATTGGCTGTTTGAAAAATCACGTGATGGCGATTACCTATTGCTGATCGTCAGATCATAATGCGTAGCGTTATTTTGGAGCTGATTTTATTCAAATTAATCTCAGTTTTTGTTCTTAATAAACATTTTATTTATTTTTTAGGAAAAAAGTAACCATTACATTAAATTGAAGTCATTGTTCACGCTGTGTTTGATGTAACATAACACTAGATAAAATGAATTAAAACAGATTCTCGCGAGCGAAGCCCATAGATACGAAAAAACAATTGTTACACGCATATTACATAAGTGCTTATGGCTCACGAAAGAATAAGAAATATGAGCCGTGTCACGACAAAACCAACATAATTGGTTTGCGACCAGCATTGATCCAGACCAGCCTGCGTATCCGCGCAGTCTGATCAGGATCCATGCTGTTCGCTTACAAAACATATAACAAGTATAGAGAAACTGATAGCGAACATCATGGATCCTGATCAGACTGCGCGGGTGCGCAGACTGGTCTGGATCCATACTGGTCGCAAACGCACTATGTTGGTTTTGTCGTGACACGGCTCATATTATACTTAGCTTATATCAAACATATTGTATACACCGTCAAATGACATATGATATACTAAAGCAATTCGGTTTGGATTTCATTTTAATCGAAAAAGTGGCTAGGATGTGCTCCAATTTACAGGGCAGTTTCCGTACTATTTCACAAAACTTACATCATAGCGTGACAGTAGAAAAAAGTATGAATTAGTCAGTAATTGAATAATATTCTGCTCACCTCGGCATTTATGCTTTTAATATATTTAATGTTTGAAATTATTTTTTAACTAAAATTACCAAAAACAAAGAGGCCAAAATATGCAAAAACAGCCCTTACTGTGTCAGTAACACAATAGAAATATGGTCATTAATACTACAAAATCGCACAGACACTTGGGGTTTGGAGCTCAAAACGCCTTTAAAATCCAAATAAAATGCATATTTGTCAATCCCAGCACATGTACTGATCATGTATATAAAAAAAACTTAATATAAGCCGTTTTGAAAAAAAATCATATTTCAACATCTATAATATTATTATTTTTTTGATAATTTATATATGATCAGTACATGTGCTGGGATTGACAAATATGCATTTTATTTGGATTTTAAAGGCGTTTTGAGCTCCAAACCCCAAGTGTCTGTGCAAAATCGAACTGATCGCTTATAGAATGTATATTATCAATTGAATTATTTTGCTTTTTTTAAATTTTAGTACATTTCTCTCGACTTTGAAATTCTTGAGACAGACTCATCTGGGGGCATGCAGCTTTAATACATCAAGTTATTTACAGTTCAATCCCATCTTACCACAATATATAGGTGTTTGTATCTGCAAATCAAGAACATCTACTGATAAAATATTTTACGCTTCAGTGTCGACTTTGTTCAACTACATTGCACATTAAACCATATAATACACCAGGAAATAACCAGGAAAGTAAAAACCAGTTACCCTTAAAATAACATACTTCGGTTTAAACATATTTTATTTAGAATATTTATACTAGTGTAAATAACAACATAACAATAATTATAGATTTTAGCCGAAAGCAGAAGCTTATAGAAGCCATTATCTAACATACTTCATGGAACTCACAGGCACTAGACACAATTAATTTACCCATATATGCTCATAATACTATATATAAAGAATATATCTTTATATATAGTATTATGAGCATATATAGGGGTAAATTAATTGTGTCTAGTGCCTGTGATAGAACTCAATATGGATAATATTTTACCCCTGGTAATAATATGAATCAAATTTCAATCATGATATTAAGTGTAGTAACACATTTGATATAATAACGTTTAATTGGATTTTTAATGTTTGATAAATAAAGTGAAACGAAATGAAGCATTTTCAATAAACCCGTAGGCTGCTGGCGGCAACTTTATTTATCATCCTTGCAGACCAAGATCAACCGGCGCATCCGTGACGTCTCGTCATAATCGGTACAAATCGCCAATCTGTCAATAAATATTCAATAAATTTTCCCTAAAAATGATGAATGGTTCTTTCTAGATTGAAAGATGGACAAGTCCATTAAAGATATTTAGTGGGGTGAGGGTTAAAGCAACATGCCTAAAATTATTGCTTTTCATATTCAGTATGTAACCAGTAGATTCAAATAAAGAGTGCACTTATTGTCCTGAGTGCAGTCAACTATTCTGTCATATTTGGATGAATTTTAAATAACTTGAATATGATAACGACGTGTCACGTGAAAGAACCAGGTCCTAAGCTTTGAAGGTAACGGGCACACGTATATATCTTCCTTGAGAAACTTTACACTTATTGCTCAGTACTGGTTGTATCTTGACATTTGTTTTCATATAGCCACAATACAGTACAGACGAGAAAATCATTATTTAGATTGTGATCTTTATGTGCAACATTTTTTCTGTTCTTTTTAAGGTTCCAATTGTTTAATATCAGATATGTCCATTTTATTTCCGCAAATGACGGGTGAACTACAGGTTTATAGCCTATTATTTAGACACTTTATAGTCATTTTATGTTGTATATGTATTTATATTGATGTTTTACAACTGAAAATTCACGTTGCATACCCACATCATGTTGTTATCAAAGTATGTCGATAATTCGGTGCATTGTACATATCCATTTTTGCTTATTTTCAGATGCGCGCGCATTCGTGCATGATAGAGTAATATAAAATGATAATAAAATTTATAACAGATTTATTAACAGATAAATGACGATTTGGTTCGACGGTTAGGTTACTTGCCGGCTTCACTGGTGAAGCAAGTCTTAAGCGGGAACCTGAAAAAGAATTGTTGACCTTTTGCAAGCCTTCCGAATAGCTTGCAATAAAAATGATACAGTCAACACAAGTTAACGTGTCTGGTGCTCGCAATAAACCATACATTTTCAACTGTAAAGACTGGAAATAAATGATACAAAGATTCCGTCGGGGTTAAAAAATCGCATAATGAATAAAAAATTGTACCTTTACCAGTACCGGTCGCTTAGGTCATATTCAAATAATATGGAATGGCCTTTAAAATATACGATTCGTGCTGCGTAAAATTGACTTTACGCCCTCGTTTATATAATAAAATATGCAAAACATAGTCATCATGTTATATAAACTTATACGTGACATTTTAATGTATTTTTTATGTTGATAAGAGCTGTCAATGTACTTTACTAGCATGCACAAATATTCGCGTGACCTTGACATTGTGGATGCTATGCGTGAAGTGATTTTAATTTTCAAACAATATATCAAAGTAGCTTATCTCAAAATACTACTACAACGAGAGGTGTTCTATTTAATATCCCATCTGCGTTAAATATCTTATTTCTCCGGCATCAACCATATTTTCTATAAATAGAATATCAAGTTCAACTTCCGGTGTTATCGAAAAATGGCGGGTATATAATATGAGGTTTAATGCTTAATTCGTTTTAAAAGTCGTTTATTTGAAAAAAAAACAAAAAAAAACCACCACCACCACAATTACACCCCCCCGCCGAAAAGCACACACAACCACAGAAAATGCACATACGTTATTTAATGTTTTGTAAAGTGATTGAAATACAAAAAATAATTATAGTTTTGTACAGAGGAAGGCTTAAATATAAGATTTCAAAAGAGATAGAAATTACTACCAAATTTATCAGCACGCTTTTACGATTTTCGTCTATTACATCAATTTTTTTCATTATAACTTGATTGATCGAGCTAGATTACACGGACAAGGTTATTCACAAACAAAATCACTTTATGTACATTTACACCAAGTTTGATTTGACAATTTGTTTTTGTATGGTGGCTGATTTGGAACACGTCTGTGCACCGTGTTGTCGCTAGCGACAGCACGACTAATGACGCGTTGTCGCACTGTCGTCATGTCGCTTACGAAGCACACGAAACGGCGAGCGTTTGGTGTGCTTTGCTGGCGACAGGACGACAAGATGTCAGTGCGTAAACGCGCCATTTGGTGCGTTTCGCTAGCGACAAAACGAAATCCCTTTAACTGTTAATAGACTAGTCCAAATTCAAAGTAGAACGGGTCCATTAAGCTTATTTAACTGAGTGAAACTTAATTCTTAGAAAGGCAGCATTTAGCTGGAATACACTTATATGTACTACCTCGTGGTAACTCTCATTGGACTCAATGGCCGCTGTGCAATGACCTTCTGATTAGGTCAAAATTAATCTCACGTCTTGGCTTATGATGTGTAAAAGGAGGTTAATTATTATAATAACTTGCTTCAAAACTAACGTTTAAAGAGCATTACTGGACATGTCCGGGACCGTTCTCTATTGCGTACGCTACTTTTTGGCCTAGATGGGCGGATAGACCTTCAGTTAGCATAGAATAAATATGAGCTGCGTCACGACAAAACCAACATAATGGGTTTGCGATCAGCATGGATCAGCGCAGTCTGATCAGGATCCATGCTGTGCGCTACCAGTTTCACTACTTGTTATAAAGTTTGTAAGCGAACAGCATGGATCCTGATCAGACTGCGCGGATGCGCAGGCTGGTCTGGATCCATGTTGGTCGCAAACGCATTATGTTGGTTTTGTCGTGACGTGGCTCATATATACCTATAAACACCTCACCTATATTTCACAATAATACCTTTACAAAAAGAGTTGCAGGAAAATGCCGACAAGTTGCGATTTATTTTGGAACTTGGTGCAACCATCTATAGTTTTTTTTATAGTTTGTTTGTTTGATTGATTGTGTTTTACGTCACACCGACAGAGTATAGGTCATAGCAACCATCTTGATTTACTAAATCAATGTCACAGTGGAATAGAATATTTGCTCTTAATAGCAATGTAGATGACTCTTTTAATATCCTCTGATGTTTTGAAATGTTATAATGATCGTAACTTTTCGGTCCTTTCCGTCATTATTCGGTAAGAATCGGGAATAATCGTGATTCCAAAGATGCAAAGGAAATTTGGTATCAGCAACTTCTCTACCATGTACAAAATAGAAACAAACTTTGTTTTTACATTTTTTTTTATTAACCATTTTACATATTTTATAATTATGAATAAAACAATCTCGTTTTACTGTACTTAAGCTAAATATTACAGCATATATATGTATATTAAGTAAAATAAATATTACGTAAAATGTAGTTAAAAGGTATAAAAAAATAAGACAATGAATGTATATTACAAATAAAAACAAGTTTGACCAAGAAAGATGAGCAGATAAAAATATTTACAGGAAAGTTATGTTTGACCTATATATGGTTAAACAGCACGGTTTTAAACGTGCTGCCCGGTTTGAAATATGATTGCACGGTTTGAAATATTATGCTTGTGGCGTATGAATAAACACTTATTTCAAATACTATGATAGTCGCACGGTTTGAAATATATGCAAGGTGTTACACTACGTTTTATTTACATTTATATGACAGTCGCACAGTTTTATGGTTTGAAATTTTATTGGTACGAGTTTCACACTGTTTAAAACAGAACTTAAAAAAATTAATGTGCGCGGTATATTCTGAAACATTACTTTGCTAATGAAAACACCGAAAAGTACACAACATAACTTTACTTATAATTTAGCCAGCATAATTTAAGTATTAAAACATAATGATTAAGTACCATACATTCTGAAGAGCATAAAAGCACTGTACGATTCGCAGCAAAACTTTGGGAATAAATATGGCAGCCGCACAGTTTTCACTTGTAAGAGTGTCGCACGGTTTAAGATATAATTTTGCTAAAAAGAACACCGTCCGATTCGCAACATAACTTTAGTTATATGGCAGCAGCACGATTTAAAACATAATTTTGGTAATAAAAGCACCGTACGGTTCACAACAAAACTTTACTTATGATCCCCGCCGAACGGTTTGCAGTTAGACACTTTGTTGTAAAAATTACTTTAATTGTTTGCTAATTCTTAGAAAATATATGATGAACTGACAGTTGCACTATTTTGACCTTCATGCTAAACTAACTAAATTATGATATTTGATGTACTTACATATGCACAATAATAAGAACATCACACAATTTGAAGATATAAATAGAGGATATTGAATGAGTGTAAGTTCAATACTGAATTTATTGCACGAGTTGAATAAAATTATATTATGCGAGCCTCTGGCGAGCATAATATTATTTTATTCAACGAGTGCAATAAATTCAGTAATGAACTTACACGAATTTAATATTCTATTTATCACACACCCAAAATAAAGACCGTTTAAAGTGAAATAAGAGTCATTTTTCATTGACGCGCCTATAGTATAATGCCATCATTTAGCGCGTCTTTACACTATGTTTGTATAACGCTAATGACGTCACGTCAAAATATATGCACGGCCGTGCAATACCATATTTACGGAGTCGTAAAATCGGCACGGGTGTGTGATAAACTAAATTAATAAACGGATGATGATTTGAACAAACTGAAAGTTAACGACGCGGGAAATCTGAAATTTGTACAAAAATGAGTACGGCAAAGCAAGAGAATATAAACTTAATTCAATACCGTAAAGCCTTATCCTAAAATGATTTCCTTTTGAATTTAGACTACCTATAAATTGACTGTCAGATTTTGTCACTACAACTATACATGTATATAACTTCTAAATTTCTATTTACAATTTCTACTAACTTTTTGATAGCCAACTTCCTATCAAATTTAAAAACGATAAAACATATTAAAGTATAAAAACCTTGTAGAAAAAATAAAGTAAACATGTAGAGTATTGGAGAAAACGCATGGAATGTTGTCAGTTATTTTTTCCTAGTTTTAATCGGACGGAATGCTGCCATTTTTGTCCTAGATTTGTACGCAGGGAATATTGTCGATCAGTTTGTCCTAGTTATAAACGCATAAAATGTGGTCAGTTATTTTGTCCTGGATTTGTACGCATGGAGTGTTGTCGATTATTTTGATTGTCCTTGTTTTATGCGCATGGAATATTGTCAGTTAATATGTCCATGATTCATACGCATGGAATGTTGTCGATTATTTTGCCATAGTTGTGTATGCAAGCAGCATGGAATATTATCAGTTATTTTGTCCTAGTTTTATGCGCATAGGGTATTGAACGCATGGAATTTTGAAGATTAATTTGTTTTAGTTTTGTATATAATTAAGGCACATTCGTTGCCGATTATATTGTCCTAGTTCTGCACGCATAAAAAATTGATAATATATCACATAATCAGTTTATGTTCCGTCAAACATTGTCAATATGCACATAAACAAATATTAAAGAATACACATGAAAAAAATAACCAAGGAAATAAAAAAAATCTTGGCTACTGTGAGTAAACATCAGAAAATAAAAGTATAAAATAATTTTGACTACATAATAAAGCTAAATATGTCTATATACCTGTAAAGAGTAATGATTGTTGAATATTTTTATTTATATAATGCCTTTATATATATAATGTTTGGCACCATTATACACTATATCAAACCCCTTACAAAATACATCATTTATATCATACTATAGGTGCATTTATGTTTACAAATATACGTCATATACTCAGTTGCAAAAGAAAGTGTCCTTTGATTACTTTTTTGTTGGATTCAACGTCGCACCAACACCGTGTATGCCATATGGCAACTTTCTAGGTTGACTGGAAGAAAAGTAAGACCTAAAGTGCCCTGCCGTGCATTATTTCAGGCAAGAACGTGTACCTGAGTTGAATCACCGAAGTTGCGCAAGCTCGCTGAATAGCTTTCTTACATGAAAGAATCCAACGTCTGTGTCGGGATTCGAACCGACAGCGGTGAGGGGCACGTGGTTTAAAGTCCATGACCTGGTATCAAAATTTGCCAATATGTATTTACCATACAATTTACCACGTGCACGCTTTCTTTTGTAATTAAGTGTATACAAAACAACAGTTATTATAACATTTAAATATAATACATAGGAAAACAAAACAATTCTTTAAAATATATCTTTTATACTCAACAATAAACAATTTTGATTTTTTTTTCTCTGTCAATGACAGGGGAATAAATGCTACACTTCAAAAAACTTAAACAGCTAAGAAATAACGTACATACAGTAAGCGTCTTATAAACAATGATGTGATCAGACCTGATCATATAAACGCTTGCAACATTTTCATTCAAAGACAATGATGCAGCCGAACATTTTCAATTATGGCATTTAATATACTGAACAATGATTAAAAACTTTACATGTATACTTTAATCACAGAGGAAGTTAAGTCTATTATTTTCGTATATGATTATGGTGAAAAAAATGTCAACAGGATTCATGTTAGAATGAGTTAAATGAAACGAAATAAATCAATCTAGACACATTAAAACCTAGACGAAACTGATATGAACCGGGAATAGCAAATATAGAACGTAGTCCCGATTGTCATATCCGATTACTATACAACTTACAGAAAATTTATGCGAGTTCTTAGTATTTTGATTCATAACTCATAATAAATCTTCAAGCGAAAATGTAAATGTCCGTTGTTTCTTGATTGTCTGAACACGCTGATGTCCTTTTGCCATGTTGTATATATGTACACACACCCGTTTGTTTTGCTACGAAATGTTTTCTTCACATTTTGCATTTTAGTGTCCGACTTATTATTCGAAGAATCTGAAAAGAAAAGTGCTACTCGATTAAAAAAAATAAAAAAGAAAATAAAGAATTATATTCAATATAAACTGTCAACTTGCACGAACAAGGCTAGATATAGTGTGACAGTTCCTGTCAAATGGACAAACAGTTTCTGTCAAAAGAAAAAACAGTTTCTGACAAAAGGACAAGCAGTTTCTTATAAACGAACAAAAAAAGTTTCTGATAAAAGGGGAAAAATGTTTCTGACATAATGAGAATGTAAATATTAAAAAATAAAAACAAAAACAACAACAACAACATTCTGATAAAAAATATATAGAAAAAAACGACACTATTTTTTTTCTCTGTTTTATTGTCAATTTAAAGGAAACCAACCAAACTGATGCTGGTATAACTTGACATTGCAAATATTTATGGACTCATTTTATTTCATTTATCTATACAAATGTAAATACTGGTGTAAATCTTACTTTTCTCTGTCAATGAAGTAGGAATAAATAAATATCAGTGAATTTAACAAACCGCCAAAACGTGTATATCATATAGGGCGGATCTAAACTGTAACATGCTACAGTAAACTTAGAGAAATTCATTTAAGTTAACAAGCGTTTGACATATTTTTTTATTTTATTTTGAACATGATTTATATTAAATGTATCATTTAAGTATCAAAGATTTATGTTGAAAATGTAGCTATTTCGTATATGTTTGTCACGCATAGTTGACTTTTAAACTAATTGACAATTCACCTGTATTAACAAACACTCTGCCCTATACCAAATTAAAGTCTTATAAAAGGTGTTTCTTTTTCATAAACCTAATTTGTGAATTCTTAGTGTTTGAATCAGACATTTCCAGCCTTACACGTGAACACACTAATTATAGCTTCAATTACATATCGATATATCATATTAAAATAGAGAACAGTCCTAATCCGTGAATTTCTATAATCAAAATAGAGAACAGTCCTAATCCGTGAATTTCTATAATCAAAATAGAGAACAGTCCTAATCCGTGAATTTCTATAATCAAAATAGAGAACAGTCCTAATCCGTGAATTTCTATAATCAAAATAGAGAACAGTCCTAATCCGTGTATTTCTATAATCAAAATAGAGAGCAGTCCTAATCCATGAATTTCTATAATCAAAATAGAGAACAGTCCTAATCCGTGTATTTCTATAATCAAAATAAAGAACAGTCCTAATCTGTGAATTTCTATAATCAAAATAAAGAACAGTCCTAATCCGTGAATTTCTATAATCAAAATAGAGAACAGTCCTAATCCGTGAATTTCTAGAACAGTCCTAATCCGTGAATTTCTATAATCAAAATAGAGAACAGTCCTAATCCGTGAATTTCTATAATCAAAATAGAGAACAGTCCTAATCCGTGAATTTCTATAATCAAAATAGAGAACAGTCCTAATCCGTGAATTTCTATAATCAAAATAGAGAACAGTCCTAATCCGTGAATTTCTATAATCAAAATAAAGAACAGTCCTAATCCGTAAATTTCTATAATCAAAATAGAGAACAGTCCTAATCCGTGAATTTCTATAATCAAAATAGAGAACAGTCCTAATCCGTGAATTTCTATAATCAAAATAGAGAACAGTCCTAATCTGTGAATTTCTATAATCAAAATAGACAACAGTCCTAATCCGTGAATTTCTATAACATGTATTTGAATAAAACATTGCCAACCTTAAAGGCCTATTGTGCTTGAGAAATGCTTTTATTTTTCCAAAATTTTTAACTCAGCTGTGCCTCAGGGGTATTCTACCCGTTATCGGGTGGACATATCCTCTTTCACCCAAACAGCCATATGTTATTTATATAATATTTACTTTTGGTCATCATATTTCATAACTATGCCAAGTGAAAACTTATTTCCACGACACAGTTTTCATTCAGCAGACGTTTTTATAATGTAACATTTTACCTGAGTAGTGCCAGTGTCAAACATACAACCATCATCGCCAATGACGTCATCGAATTTGGTAATGCTCCTGAAACATAAAGTGTATCATATTCAAGAGCTTGTTTGTTTCTATAAAGAAAATACAACGCATTACCTCATTTGGTTAAAATGAATTCAACATTATCCACGAAAACTCACTCGAATTTTTTTTAATTCTGAGACCCATGGCCGTCACATAGCCAGTACGTAACCAAACTCCGACACAGTGGTTTCCTTTTGCTTCGCTAAACAGAGGGTAGCCAATCAAATCACTGTGTGGAGTTTGGCCAGGTACCTGGCGGAACCGAAAACGATCAGCTTTTGCAACCACTTTAGGGACACTGGCCAGTCTGCACGACCGTAATAAACAGAAATACTTTAAGGTTCAAATGGACCGGCCCAAATTCAAAACAGGACCGTTTCATTATATAAATTCGCCAGGTAGATAGGATAAATTGAACCATTGTCTTACCCTGGACATTTTAATGGTAGACCTGCAATACTACATATTGTGTCCTAAGATGGAAAGCGAAAATAAAACTTAAATTGCAACAACTTTGCATAAAATCAATATAAAACCTCCACAACTGTCCAATACAAATACAAAATTGTCAAAAATATAAAATGTAAAGTATTACAAACAAAACTGAAAAAGTGTGTGTGACGGCGTGACTGAATGGTTAACGTGTCTGACTAGTGATCGACCGCGCAGATTCAAACCCCGTCAGGGGCACGCCTTTGTTTCCTTGAGCAAGAAACTTTACACTTATTGCTTAGTACTACAATGTACTAGTTGATTTCAGAAACAAATTCGACAGTGTTTCAGTAAGCTTATAGCTTCCAGAACAATTGAACTAAAATAAATTTGTATAAACTAAATGTTTGAAATGATCAAATAAGGCTGAAAAATGTCTTACCACCAGTGTAGCCTTCAATCGCAACACATATATCGTTGTTTATATTACCCTCGTAACCGTCCAAGCACTTGCATCTATCTGTATTGATCACGTCACACACTGCGTTACCGATTCCAAAACAATCAGCGTTGCTCGAGCAACGAGAGTTCAAAACTGATCAAATAAAACAGAAATTGCGTAATTGATTTAGGGTCATACCGACAGCTGTTATGGTCATACGAATGTTATCCAGTTTACTTGTAGATGAAGATCTTGTATAATATCATTTCATATCATGTCTTATCATATCATATCATATCATGTATTAACATATCATATCATGTCTTATCATATCATATCATATCATATCATATCATATCATATCAAGTCTTAACATATCATATAATATCATGTCTTATCATATCATATCATGTCTTATCATATCATGTCTTATCTATCATATCATTTCACGTCATATCATGTCTTATCATGTCATATCATAACAATACATTATTTCATATAATTACATATAATATTATATCATTTAATAACATCACATTATATCACATCATAACATATCATACTATATGATATCATAAAATATCATAACATATAATATCATATCATATCATATTGTATCCTTTCATATCATATCGTAACATATCTTACTATATAAGATCATTCACCATATCATATCACGTCATATTATATCTGTCATTTCATATCAAGTCACGTAATATTAGATCATGTCATATCAATCAATATCATATAATGTGATGTCATGTATAATGTCAAATCACGTCACATCATAGCATATCATTTATTTACATATCACGTCATATTATATCATGTCATTACATATCACGTAATTTATATCATGTCATTTCATATAAAGTCATATCATATCATGTCATGTTTCTCTGTAGAAAATCACTTTTAATAATACACATCAACGTACCTCTTGGCGAGCAGGTCCGGGATTTGAACTTATAGTTTGCTGGACAAACACATGTATCAGTACCGCCGACGTCACATCTGCCATTCACGATGGCGCCACATTCTGCCCCTATGTTACATGTATCCCCAATCTCTGAAAACATTTTGAATGTTTGTTTTACAGTTATTTTCAGGACAAATCGTCAACAACAGGAAGACGCATAAAACCCAAAAGCTAATATTTTAAGCCGCAGATAGCCACTCGCTCATTTATTCCGTTTAAAATTAGCAGATGACATGCTTTTTGCAATAACACATTTCCTAAACGGTAGTAAAAATAAAAAAATTAGCCGAAAGAAGGTTACTATACAACGGTCAATGAGCACATAGACGTACAGTAACAGTGACACAAATGGAAGAGGTTAGCCCTGATAAAGGCAGTTTTTTGCCGTCACTGCATACTAGGATCTGCCTACTATAAGCTCAGAGCGTGTTCTTGGTGAAACGAAGACCAATATACCAACGTCCTGGGAATCTCCATGGCGTGCACGTATCAAGGGGTGAGCTGGGATATAAACATTGTTTTAAAAGTTATAGCGTCGGCGTACCAACAACCAGCTAATCAGAGAGAAACGCATTTCAAAGCTATTACATGTATTAATAAATTATTGACGTAAAACCTCGAATTATTACCTCTCACAACACAGTCAACATGTGTAACATTTCTCTTCACCTTGTAAGCTGTCATACACACGCACGTTTGTGTATTGTCCGTGTCACATACCGCCATTGAGATCCCTTCACAATCGGCATTGTACCTACAGCTATCGCCAACAACTGAAAGAAAACAAATGATTAGTCTTTGTCACCAAAAGAAGGTTTGATGTGTCAAAAAGGGCCATAACCCTGCCAAAAAAGGATCAAATAACAAAACCCCGAACATATTCGCAAAAGTATTTAATGTCAATATTCTGTGAAAGTTTGGTTTAAATCACTTGAGAAATGTATGAATGTTGCGCAGAGAAAATAATTTACTGCTGCCCGCCAGCTGCCATAAAAACACAAAAATGTCTAAAAAACATAAAACAACCGGAAATAACTGGAAATAATCAAACAGAACTGAAGTAACCGGATAAAACTGGAAATAAACGGATACAGCTGACTGGAATAAGCGGGAACTGTTGGTTACTGTACCTTTTGGTGAGCATTCATTTGCGGACGTCTGCTTTGTCCAAGGTGGGCATACACATTTATTCGAGTTTCCCATGTCACAAACTGACCTCGTTGCCGCCCTGCAATCAACGTTGACAATGCAGCTGTCACCAAGCACTGTAATAAAGTTGCAATAACACAGTTAAAATAAAAGTCAAATATTCCTTCTTTGAATGCTATACTTTTTTTTTTAAATCAGAACCAATTCGTATAAAATATATATATAGTATAGTGCTGAAATTTATAAATCAACTTCAAAGTTCAAGGTTTTCATTAGAAGCGGTCAAATAAAATCATACAGACATATGTTCATTACATAAATAAAGGGTGATATAACATAAAGTTTACTTGAGACAAATGGCGTCAACCAAGGCGGTAACATTTAACCCATCTTAACATAAAACAAAATAACCACGAGTGTTCTGATTTCGCCAAAAAGATTGCTGTTGTTTTTAACATTTCTTCAGTCAAAAGCTCGTGTAAATCCGGTATACATAGGCACTTTCCGTATCATATACATATGAAATATGCATTGACATGACTCGGAGCAACAAAACAGTTTTATTGACTGGACGCTTTCAAAAGAAACAAGAGGGCCATGATGGCCCTGAGGTCGCTCACCTGTATATAGGCCCCCAACCCCCAACCCCCAACGTTGCAGGGCCAATTTAACCCAAGGGCTTTTATTTGCACAAACTCGGTAGACACCCATAAGAAGATGTTTCATGCTAAACATCTAAGCTCTAGCTCATTGGGCTTTTTGAAAGAAGATTTTTTAAAGTTTTTACTATACACATATAGTTAAAACAATGACACCCCTGGGGCCGGACCAGTTTTGACCCCAGGGCTTTTATTTGAACAAACTTTGTAGACACTTACTAGAAGATGTTTCATGCTTAATATCTAAGCTCTAGCTATTTGGGTTTTTTCAAAGAAGATTTTTAAGTTTTTGCAATACACATATAAAGAAAATCAATGACCACCGGGGCGGGGCCAATTTTGACCCCAGGTCTTTTATTTAAACAAACTTTGTAGACACTCACTAAAAGATGTTTCATGCTTAATATCTTAACTCTAGCTATTTGAGTTTTTTCAAAGAAGATTTTTTAAGTTGTTGCTATACACATATAAGGAAAATCAATGACCCCCGGGGCGGTGCCAATTTTGACCCCAGGGCTTTTATTTGAACAAACTTGGTAGACACTTATTAGAACATGTTTCATGCTAAATATCTTAGCTTTAACTCTTTTGGTTCTTTAAAAGAAGATTTTTTAAGTTTTTACTATATGCATATAGGAAAAATCAATGACCCCCTGGGGTGGGGCCAATTTTGACCCCAGGGCTTTTATTTGAACAAACTTGGTAGACACCTATTAGAACATGTTTGATGCTCAATATCTTAGCCATAGCTCTTTGAGTTCTTTAAAAGAAGATTTTTTAAGTTTTTACTATATGTATATAGGGAAAATCAATGACCCCCGGGGCGGGGCCAATTTTAACCCCAGGGCTTTTATTTGAACAGACTTGGTAGACACTTATTAGAACATGTTTGATGCTCAATATCTTAGCCATAGCTCTTTGAGTTCTTTAAAAGAAGATTTTTTAAGTTTTTACTATATGCATATAGGGAAAATCGATGACCCCCCGGGGCGGGGCCAATTTTGACCCTAGGGCTTTTATTTGAACAAACTTGGTAGACACCCATTAGAAAATGTTTCATGCTAAATATCTTAGCTGTAGCTCTTTTGGTTCTTTAAAAGAAGATATTTTAAGTTTTTACTATATGTATATAGGGAAAATCAATGACCCCCCGGGGCGGGGCCAATTTTTACCCAAGGGCTTTTATTTGAACAAACTTGGTAGACACTCACTAGAAGATGTTTCATGCCAAATATCTAAGCTCTAGCTCTTATGGTTTTTTAAAAGAAGATTTTTTACGTTTTTACTATATGTATATAGGGAAAATCAATGACCCCGTGGGCGGGGCCAATTTTGACCCAAGGGCTTTTATTTGAACAAACTTGGTAGACATTTATTAGAACATGTTTCATGCTAAATATCTTAGCTTTAACTCTTTTGGTTCTTTAAAAGAAGATTTTTTAAGTTTTTACTATATGCATATAGGGAAAATCAATGACCCCCCGGGGCGGGGCCAATTTTGACCCCAGGGCTTTTATTTGAACAAACTTGGTATACACCCATTAGAACATGTTTCATGCTAAATATCTTAGCTGTAGCTCTTTTGGTTCTTTAAAAGAAGATTTTTTAAGTTTTTACTATATGTATATAGGGAAAATCAATGACCCCCCGAGGCGGGGCCAATTTTGACCCCAGGGCTTTTACTTGAACAAACTTGGTAGACACTCACTAGAAGATGTTTCATGCCAAATATCTAAGCTCTAGCTCTTACGGTTTTTTAAAAGAAGATATTTAAAGTTTTTTCTTTCGGTTGCCATGGCAACCAGAGTTCTGCATGGAATTAAATTCTTTGAACAATTTTTAAAGGTGACCACCAAAGGAACATTCCTGTGAAGTTTGGATGAAATTGGCCTAGTGGTTAATGAGGAGATGTCATTTAAAGTAAAAGTTTACGGACGGACGGACGGACGACGGACGGACGCCGGACGAAAAGCGATCACAAAAGCTCACCCTGTCACTTTGTGACAGGTGAGCTAAAAATAAAGTACGTGCAATAACGACGTTTATTGCACTGATGCGGCCATTTAATGGTCGTATTACACTACGTTTTTTTTCCAAAAGATATTCCATATACATGTTTTATCTACCTTTAGGTAAACACCGGTTGTTATCCAATTTATAACCGGAAGGACAGGCACATGTGCTCGTCGTCGTATCACAAAAAGCTGTTGGAATAGCTCGACAGTCACTAGTGGTGGTACACACGATTTCTGAAATAAAATACCATCAAGAGGTGGAAGGAGAATGCAAAATTTTTGTACAGAAACAGATTTATCCGCGTACACTGTCGATCAGCTTTGTGCAAAGCAAACATCATTTGTTAGTTTGGAATAAAAAAACCCCATAATTTCCCCTCAAAGGAATTGAAATAGGAACCTTTCACGTACCCCTTTACTTTGAAAAAGAAACACAGCAAAACACAACAACAACACAGAGCACAATAATTATACCCAACTGGAAAGTAAAGTGCTTACCCTTTGCTACTAGTATAGCGGAAGATTAGTTTGAATATTCGTGACCAGTCTGACAAGAATTGATAACTTAAACATTTTCATCCTGGTTTACCTTAAATCAGGAATGGACAGTTCCAAAATGGAAGATGGACAAGACCATTTCAGAAATTCAGCAGATCAAGGACAGAAACTACAACATGGCGTTCTTGACAATGGGTAGAAGACTGGAAAGAATTATTTTTACAAATGTTTAAACATGTAAATACCTTGGCGGACGCATACTCCATTTTGTCGCAAGTACCCGGATGAACAAATGCATGTTCTTGTTCCTAAGGCGTCACAATAAGTGTTTGATTGTAGATTACAGTCGTTGTTACTTGAGCATACGTCATCGAGTCCTGTAAGAGACATTATTTTTCACAGAAATAAGCATTTTTTTGTGCATTTGAAAAATGTACTGTAGTTCTGTTACTTCTTCACTGTAACACCATTTGGCATAGTGAAGTCGTATGGAATAAAAAAATCAATGGAATGGCACGAAAGTGTCGCATTGAATGTTTTATGATAGCCGCCCTATGAACACATCTGCGGACGTTTCTAAATTCAAAATTGCACCATGTTTATGTTTAAATGTTGAATTCTGCTTAAGCCGGTGCAAGGGGTGTGAACGGTAGTTTGCCCTTGACAGTATCGTCCATGAATAGGACCAATCAAACTGAGCCTGCAAAATTTTCAATTTCGCTGTTTTGGACTTTCTTAAGGGATTTTTATTTTCTCTACTTTACTTTGAGAATTGTTATTGTTGAAAAAACAACAACAGGTAATTGCTTGTATATTCTAACATATTATCAAACAAAAAATAATATTTAGTAGTAATATCAGCACTCATCGGCAATTCATACGGCCGCATGAAAACAATACAACCCCCTATTGCAAGAAACAGTCATTAAAGAACAATAACAACAATGCCACTAGTGAATTTTACCAAAAAATCGGTTAAAATTAAAATAAACTTGTAATCACAACAGAGGCTTATGGCATCACAACGATTTGAGCAATTAAATCTTTAGATATGTATCTATCCAAGAAGAAAATATTAGTATATCAACACCGGAAATGTACCTCGGATGACACACGCCCCTTCTACTTGTTTGTAGCCAATAGAACACGCGCACTTGCTATCAAGGGCGCTACAAAACGCATGCGGGATGTTTCCACAATCGTCGCTGTTTCTACACCTGTCGCCAAGTCGAAGACCTAAAGTAAAAGTGCGTTTGTTTTACCCATTTGTAAAGTATTGTCTTAAGTACGAGATGCAAATTAGTTTAAAGAAGGAAATATTATTTAAAGATTTTTTGCAAATTTAAAATGACAAATAAAGAAATATTTGTGAAAAAGAATGTATCATCAAGAATAATCTTGCATCTTATTGGTTTTTGCTGGTAAAATTATTCTTTGATTTGCAAAAACTATTTTACAAGTCCATTGCACGTGTTTAGCAAATTAGCAGTATAAATATTAATGTTGAATATACATTAAACATTTTTTTCTATGTAAAAACCACACTAACTAATACATCTGTTTTACTGACAGATAGGTTAGTGTCACGCAATAAATCTGACCACTATTCAAAAAAAAAAAAACTCTTTTTTTTAAATATCCGATAAAAAATCCTACTCGACAAATATACAAATTGAGGTTAGTGATAAATACTAAAATTTATCCATTATTTATTTTATTTACCTACTTATTACTTGCCTTATCAGATAACTTTTTACATACCCCAAAAGTTTAACTATTTAAGCACTTACTTTTCAAGTAACATTGTCCATTTCTTGGCTCATATAGTTCTCGACAAACACAGACGGACGAACTTCTGTCACAGATTGCCCATGAAACTATCGTGCAGTCAGAATCTATTCTACACGTGTCACCGAGTCCTGCAATTATCATGTTGACATACTATAACGCACATGCTCTATCCAATAAGTATGTTTTGTTGGATTTTAGGTCACACCTAAACTGTTCATTCAAGTCATACGGCGAATTGACAATTTAACTGGTAGAAGACCTCAGGAGTCCCTCCATGCACAAGCAGGCACCTGAGTAGAACCACCGACATTTCACAAGCTAGTTACATGAAAAAAATCCTGATGGGACTCGAACCAACAGCGATGGGGGCAATGGATTTGAAGCTATGGAGGCCCTTTGACATATATTATATATACATTCTTAGATTTGTAAACTCAAGTGCTCAATCGCTTGAATTGCACGTAGGTTTATGAGTCAACAGGCAATACAATATGGAGGGTAATGGATGAAATATCGGATAGAATTGGTCAAATCTTGTTAATTGTATAAGTCCCCGTCAAGGAACGTCGACAATTATATATGTAGGTAATATACTAAAAAACATGGCGGATTGTGTGCCTCTTATATGCTCCTTATATGTATTTTGTACTAGAAATACCTCTTAGTCTACATTCGTTGGAACGCTCGATAAAATTTGATTGACATTTGCACACGTTGCCTTCACAAATTGATGACGCAACGCCCCTGCAGTTATCATTCACATCACATTTATCACCCAGTTCTAAAAATAGAAATGCATTAAAAATATCTGAAAATAGAATTACAAAATATTCTAAAAATGAAACAACATAACAGCAAAGGCCTGATGACACATGCATATTAACATTAACAAACTAACTTGAATTAATTCCAAAACAGTAGCGGTTCATGTACCTTTCATACTATAATAAAAATGTTTGCTTTATGATGGCTGATTTCTGCCATGCTGTCGCGGTTGAAGGGGCGGCAACACGTAAGAATGAAATAAGGTCTAAAAACTAAATTCTCGTTTTGTCGCACTGTTTTTATAGTTTTCTCGTTACTTTCTTTCGGCGCCCTTCAAACGCGACAAAACAAGAATTTATATTCTGTTGTTATTCCGTTTTTTGTGTTGTTGCCCCTTCAACTGCGACAAGACGAAGTAACGACATGGCTGAATTAGCAACCATAATTGATATATAATATGTAATTATTGATTAGAGATAAAAATGTGGCCTTACGTCTGACAATGCAGTTTCCATTCACGGCCTTGTACGGCGTTTGACAGATGCACGTGCTGGTATTTTGTGAGTCACACATTGCCCAGTTAACTTCAGAACAATCGTCATCCATGTTGCATGGTTTCCCTAATCCTGTGACATTATATATTTAAATGACGTCAAAGTTTGTATGCAATTTAACACGAAAATAACCTTGAAAAAAATTTTTTAATAGGAAAATAATTTCTTAACTATTGTGCAAGTTTGACTAACACCTTTGCAAATGTATCAAATACCTTTCATATAGATGTTCCTAGCGGCAATCTTATATTCACAATTATACAAATAAAAATGACATTATTGTGGCAACTTCCATGCAAAAAACAAAACAAACAAAACAAACAACAAATCAACAACATCAAAGCATTAAAGAAAAACAATTATATTGATTCTTACACAAGAGAAAAATATTGAGTTATTTATAAAAGTATATTCATAAAAAACAGGGAGAAACTTTTACTTGAATTAATTTCAGCTAAAAGAGAAATATCCGTTGTTATAAATTAAATACTAGCTTGTCAGGTGTTAAAATTTTCACCTATTCTTATACAAGCAGAGCCTCTTTGTTCATAATTGGAAGGACACGTGCATTTCCTTGGTAACGACAGACCACAAACAGCATCTGTAAGCGCCCCGCAGTCATCGTTCTCTTGACACAAATCTCCAAACCCTGGATTAAGAAATAAATATTTGTGAAAACAGCTTTTCCTTGTCATGTCACAACATGAAAATATACAAATGACCCGCACTCTTAAAATTTTACTTATTTACAAAAGTCAACTATATACACTCGTATATGTCATATAATTGGCTACACTAAGAATTAGAATTCAAAGCAATTTCTTGTTGCTTTTTGTGTCGTTTGGTAAGTCGATTCTTGGCGCTAAAATTATCCCTCTTGTCTGCCATACCCGTATATTCGGATTATTGCTTTCTGTAGATGATGCGGTCTTTTGTCGTCCATTTTGTTATCATGTCGTATTAAAGTCTCCATGCTGGTTGTCTTAAGGCAGGCGATTTACGGGAAAGCAATGGTCAAATCTTTTGAAATTATATATGTACAAACAATCATAAATCCTTAAAACTGTATTGTAGATTATCATAAATGACAGAAATTGGCCTAGTTAATTTTATAATAACCCAATGTTTCATAAATTATTTAGAAGAAATAAAAAATTCAAATTAAGGCTTGTCATCAAGTACTCACCTATACGGACACATCTGTTGTCATCTTGTCTATACGTAGAGGGACAAACACATGTTCTTGAGCTCCCCAAGTCACACACAGCGTTGGTTAGATGTACTGTACAGTCCAAGTTGGACGAACAGGTATCTCCAAAACCTTAAGGAATGGAAATTTGTAATAACTCTTAAATTCAAACAACTTCTTACTAATTAAAGCATGTATACACACAATAAGGCTGAGAATCAAAATTATTTAGAGATAAAATGCTAATGTTTTGTTACATTAAATTCTTGTTTAATATTGGCTTTTTATTTAGTTTTGAAATATGTTTCGTGGTATTGTTTACCTAGAAACATAACGTATATTTATATTAATTTTTAATATTTTAATTATATGGTTTTATCGCACTCATTTTTAAAATATTTTCACTAAACAAAAAAAATTTTTGCAGTTGGTGAAGGGTGAATTTTGTTAAGATCAGTTTAACCTTAAAAACTGGAAAATATTTTGACATGTTTTTATTTTTAATGCTTTAAACAACATTGAGTCCAAGATAATATCTGTTCCTTTTTCTTTTATTTTAAGGAGCTCATTATCGAAGGCGTTGTTCAGTCCCGAGCGGTCAACTAGGCCAGACCGACATTATGCAAACAGTTGGATCGCATGTTCTTCCTCTAATAGTACCAGCCAAACTAAGTACGGGTACAAATATGATAATTCAAAGCCTAACATGGAAGAGACTAGCAAAAACAAGTTGTTACCTATTCTTTCACAGAAATTATTGTTCCATCTATATCCTGACTGACAGATACAAGTTCTAGTGTTTGTTAAATCACATTGAGCTGAAGTTAGTCTTCCACAGTCGGCGTTAGTTCGGCAACTATCTCCATATCCTAGAGGAATTTGTTCATTCATTGATTAAATGAAATCAGTTGTTGTATTAAATCAATAACACATCAAAGAACTTTTAAGTTTTAAGCTTTCGGGATTATATCATTACAAGTGTTTGAATACCATACATATTAAAATGTAAAATTAACTATGCTCATTCTGATAATTCCTTGTTATCTATGTTATATATGTGTTGGTCATATCACTTACTTTGCTGTTAAATAGATGCTCACGATTATCAATCATGCAGGAGAGATGCTAAATTGCTCAACAAAAGCTCTTTTGTGATTTTATAGTTAAATTGAAACAAAAACTCACTAAAACATATACATGTATCTTGTACTAAAGATTTGTAGATGAAGCAAATTATGCATTAAGAATACTAGAAAAAAAAACAACAACAAAGGTAGGTGCAATATTACCTATTGCTACACACTGGCTGTTTTGTTGTCTGTAAGTAACTCGACATATACATGTGCGAGTATTCCCAGTATCACATTCAGCGTTGGATATCCCAACACAATCGGAATTAGATAAGCACTGGATGCCAAGCCCTTTAATATAAAAATAAACCTTGTATATATTATCACAACACTAAAGAATAAACAGCGACTTGTATAAAATCTTAAGTGAGCAAATTAATGAAAGGACTTTTAAGGGCTTTTTAAAACTACTTTGACAATTTTAGGGCCCACGCTTTTATATTTCGGTAAACTACATGTTTTGTATCACCTCAGCAGTTCAATTTACTCGGGATTATCACCTTTGCAAATGGACGTCACATACAAAATTTCAAAAAGAAAGAAATGTATACCATTTAAACTCCATTAAATATATAATTATAACTGACAATGCAATCAAATGTTGTATTTAAGACACTAACTAACCAAAAACTGTCATCTAACTCTTACATTGAATTCATGGGTATTGAGAATCTGAATGATACTATCAGGTCTAAAAGTGGATCCAGTTTTAAAGTCATTCTCAATATAAATGCCAACATCAGGATAATATGTCATCTGCACGAACTGTGCGATTGATACAATCCTCACTATTTTTAGCGACGTTTTAGGGTCATTTTAGTGGCAAGCTTGATGTACGAAAAGATTAAAGTCAATACTGAACTAATAAAGGGAGTTTGAATGTCTGTACGCACCATGTAAGTTAGGTTTTAACATTTAGAGACAATATTAACAATTTTTTGGCTAAACTATCTGCATGAATAGTCCTTACTGCTGCGTTAGTCACGCAGTAGATATTATTATGATAAATTCAGTGACTGCAAAAATCAGTCATTAATCGCACATAACATATATATTATCACTTGAAATATGTATGAATCGTTTTAATTTTCTGAAAATCTCAGTACATTTTGATTTAAAAATATTTTGGCTCATCTCGAGGCATGCAACTTTAATATAATTTAACAATGTTAAACAATCATGAAAGGCATAATGTGTTATCAATAGAAAAGGGCCTTAGTATCAATATATAAAAGACAAACATTTTTAATTCAACTGAGTAAGTGTCAGTTATTTCACAAAACCAATTTTTCAATAAATTCAAAGAAAAATTTCACACATGTTCCATGTTCTTTAGTAAAAAAATACGATATCATTCTATCAAATTCTGTGGGCATGTTACAAGAAAAATATATCACAAACGCAATTAAACAAATCTTATAATCGAAAAAATAAAGTACAACAACAAACCAAAAGTAGTTACCTATTCTTTCACAGATATTGTTGTTCCATCTATATCCAGTCTGACAGATACAAGTTCTAGTGTTTGTTAAATCACATTGAGCTGAAGTTAGTCTTCCACAGTCAGCGTTAGTTCTGCAACTATCTCCATATCCTAGTGACAGTTATACATGAATAATGATTGAGGCATTTATTTACTGCACGAGGTGGCTTTTACTTTAAAACTTGTGTTTATGGAACCTTTTTTCAAAATGTAATCTCAAATTACCTTTAAACCGGTATAATCATCTTAGATAAGGTCTTTTTTTAAATGTTTAACGCATTTACAATAGGGAACAATATAACACCAAATGAATTATCGAGAATGGCATCTTAAAGTTTCAAATAAGATATAATTGAAGTCAAATGAAAAACAACAGTAGAAAAATGATTCAAACCAAATAAAAGCATGACACATTTAAACAGGGGAGTGAAAAACAAAGGAACAATGTTATTAAGAATGACAAATGAAAGTACAATATTACCTATTGACACACATTGGCTGTTCTGTTGTCTATAAGTAACTTGACAAATGCACGTGCGTGTATTGGCAGTGTCACATTCAGCGTTTCCTATTCCAGCACAATCAAAGTTAGACGAGCACTGGATCCCGAGTCCTAAAATTTATAAAATTGAGGCATTTAAAATTGGTATGGGAGAATAAAAATTACTCGAACTTAATATAAAAATGTGGCCATTTTATCAAATGGTATATTAAAACTAGCTTCGATTTAAAAAATAAAGCAGATAACAAAAAAAAAACTAATGTGAAACAGTAGTTCAAAACATGTGAAGTAAATTGGTATATGATAACGAAACAAAAGCAAATATATGAGAGGAAATAAATGTCTGACAAACCTTGGGAAATTCAATCAACTCGAAGGGCATAAGTTCTTATTCATCAATCTAAAAATACTCTACTATTTCAATCTTACTATTTTTTACTTATTTAGTACATGTCAGATGTTAATGTTATACAAAAGGCTTTAGTGAAGAGGAAATATTTAAATTCTGGTGGCAAAAAGAATTTAAGTGTTACATGAATATTTATTGCAAACGCAAAAATAATTAAACAATAGTGATAATTCAAAAACTTAAACACAATTTAAAACAAGAAGATACCTATTCTTTCACAGATATTATTGTTCCATCTATATCCAGTCTGACAGATACAAGTTCTAGTGTTAGTTAAATCACATTGAGCTGAAGTTAGTCTGCCACAGTCGGCATTGGTTCTGCAGCTATCTCCATATCCTAACGACGTTTATAATAAAAATTTGAATTCATTTAAAATCTTCTTCAAAATATCAGCTTACATTGATATGATTTAAATGTGCCTATAAAGTTATGGTTTACTGTGAGGAAACCTTAACTATAGTACATGTATATAAAATATATTTATCTTAATTATCTTCATTTCAAATGATTTTTTTCTAGAATATTTGTTAAGTTTCTAGTCAATAAAATCCACTGTCTAAACTAGTAAGTAATTCTGATTTACATTGCTTACTTAAATTTGTTATGGTCGATGAATTTGGTACAATATTTCATAACAAAATAGCAAAAGACATAAAGATTTTATCTAAAGGAAATTAAAAAATTAACAAATTAACGGGCGATATTACCTATTGTCACACATTGACTGTTTTGTTGCCTATAAGTAACTTGACAAATGCACGTGCGTGTATTCGTAGTATCACATACAGCATTTCCTATTCCAGCACAATCAGAGTTAGATGAACACTGGATCCCAAGTCCTGAAATTTATGGGTGGCATTCAAAAGGTAAAGACAAAACAAAACATAATACAAACTCAATTGAAATTTACATGTGACAATTTGGTGAACTGTTTTGTCCCAAGATGAGCTTTGACTTTAAATCAAAGAAAATTTACAAATATCTGTCTCGTGCTAAACAACTTTTAAACACATGTAAAACAAAAGTTTTAACTGGGTGGTGCAAATGTGAAGATTTAAATCAAAGACAAAAACATGCTATAAGAAAATTTAAGTTTTGCCAAACACTGACTATATTCAACAACTCTCCTGTTGTACTTTTTTATTTCTTATTTCATATTCATAAATTTTATATATTTATGTATCCTAGTATTATGATTTGAGAACTTTCACATTTTTTTAGTTTTGTAGAAATTAAAAAGAAAGTTTGATCAAACTATCTTGGAAAATACAATTTTAGTACAGCATGAAATTGAATCACCAACGCATTTTTTTTTAAAACATCAATAGTGATAATTCAAAGACTTAAAAAGATATTTAAACAATTGTTATGATAATTCAAAGACTCAGACAGATATTTAAACAATTGTTACCTATTCTTTCACAGATATTGTTGCTGTTTAATCGGTATCCGGTCTGACAGATACAAGTTCTAGTATTTGTTAAATCACATTGAGCTGAAGTTAGTCTTCCACAATCGGCGTTGGTTCTACAACTTTCTCCATATCCTAAAGAGATGTTTACATAGGAATAAATACTAGCATTTAGATTAAATTAAATTTCAATATTGTTCCAGTTAAACAGGAATTCAATAATTAAACATTATTCAAGGTGTAAAATTAACATGTATTATTTTATAGATCAATTCTTAGAAAGTCAATTTATGAGAAATATAAAAGCACCTTTACACCAGTTAGTCACTCCTTTCCAGTATAGTTAGCCCTTCCCCGAAATAATAATTAATTGTGATAAGGTACCATGCAATTTTAATCGGCTACCTTTAACAAAGATTAAGTGTCACCATATTCTAACGCATTAACAAGCGGTAAGGTCAAGCACCAAATTCTTGAGAATGTCGTCTAACAGTTTAAAATAAGATAAATTATACTTATTTAGCAAAACCTTAAAAAGACATTTTTATCTGTTGGGAAAGTAAATTGAAGAATTACTGTAGCAAAATGTATCAATACTCAAAATACTCAAAATAACATGAGAAATTTAAAGTAGACGATTGACAAACGGGGGTACAATATTACCTATTGCCACACATTGGCTGTTCTGTTGTCTGTAAGTAACTTGACAAATGCACGTGCGTGTATTGGCAGTGTCACATTCAGCGTTTCCTATTCCAGCACAATCAGAGTTAGATGAACACCGGATCCCAAGTCCTAAAATTTATGGTAGGCATTCAAAATGTACAAGACATAACAAATTATAACACAAACTCAATTGAAATTTACAAGTGACAATGTGGTAGAATAACAATTACTCGAAATTAACTGAAATATTCTTTTGGCCATTTTATCAAATGGTATATCCCAAAATTAGCTTCAATTTAAAAATTAAAGCAGACAGCACACTTTTAGACTCGTGTAAAACAGTAGTTTGAAATACTTAAAGAAAATGGGTATATTTAAACGAAACAGAATAGATATTTCAAGTTGAATTAAAGGTCTGTTTGTTTGTTTGTTTGTTTGTTTGTTTGTTTCATTTTACGCCTTTTCCCAACAGTATTTCAGTCATATAGGCGGGTAGTTTCCTAACCATCGTTCCTGGAGAGTTACACCAGTACAAAACTACCTTCCTCCGTGCTAAACTACCAAAGCATCTCCCGGGGATCAAACCCACGCCAGAGAGGTAACTGGATTAGAAGTCATCGACTCTAACCCCTCGACCACGGAGGCGGTCACAATTAAAGGTCTGACAAACCTTGAGAAATTTAATCAACTCGAAAGGCAAGTGTTCTTATTCATAGATTTTACACATACTTTAGTATTCCAATCTGACTAATTTCAAACCTATTTAGTATACGTGTCATATGTTACATGTTATACAATGTAGAGAAAATATAAAAACAGAGTGCTGTCAAATTATTGAGGCAATGCAATTTAAGTGTAACATGATTTTTTATCGCAAAAGCAAATTTTTTTATCGCAAAAGAGAAAAAAAAATAAAATAAAAATAAATAAATAAATAAAATAAAAACATAAATAAGAAAAAAAATAATAAAAAAATAGTTATAATTTAAAGACTAATACACAATATAAAAACAAGCAGTTACCTATTCTTTCACAGAAATTATTGTTCCATCTATATCCTGTCTGACAGATACAAGTTCTAGTGTTTGTTAAATCACATTGAGCTGAAGTTAGTCTTCCACAGTCGGCGTTGGTTCTGCAACTATCTCCATATCCTAATGACATTTATATATATACAATTTAGACATGATATATTTATTAAAAGAATGAGACCTTAATACTGCCAGAGATGACTTGTATTTTAAAACTTGCGTTTGATTAAAGAACCTTTTCAAAATAAATAAAAAAACTAACATGTGGGTGGATTATGACTTTAAAAGTCAACTAAGTAAGTCATCTCTTTAAATAAAGGTATCCTGTAATTTAATTATCTTCATTTTACAAAGATGATCATAAATAATAATTATGCTCTTATACATTTTAAAGTGAAAACAGTCGACCAAAAATATTTTCAAGTATGGCATTTTTAGTTTCAAATAAGCCATACTTATTTGGCAAAAATCGAACTACAATAGAAAGATATTTTTATTTGTTGGGTAAGAGAAATGAAGAACAGCTGCAGTTAAATAAAGCAAAGCAAATAAAAACATGAGGATTTTAAATTAAATGAATAGCAAACGAAAGTACAATATTACCTATTGCCACACATTGGCTGTTTTGTTGTCTATAAGTAACTTGACAAATACATGTGCGTGTATTGGCAGTGTCACATTCAGCGTTTCCGATTCCAGCACAATCAAAGTCCGATGTGCATTGGATTCCAAGTCCTAAAAATTATTACATTGTTGCATTTATAGTTGGTACAGAAGAAAAAAGATTACTCAAATTTAATTGGAATATAAATGTGGAAGTTTACTAAATGTTACATCCCAGATTAACTTCGATTTGAAATTAATGCAGATAGTACAATATCAGGCTCCCTTAAAACAGTATCTTGGAATATGTGAAGCAAATGTGTATATTTAAATGGAACAAAAGCAAAGATATTAGTGGAATTAAAGGTCTGCCAAACCTTGGATATCTATACAACTCGAAGGGCAAATATTCTTATTCAAAAAATTTACACATACTAAAGTATTACAATTTGATTTTACACATACTAAAGTCTTCCAATTTGACTAATTTCCAATCTTTTTAGTAAATGTTTCATATGTTACATGTTATACAAAGGGATTAAGTGAAGAGAAAATATAAAAAAGAGTGCTATCAAATTCTGGTGGCAAAAAAATTTAAGTGTAACATGAATTTTTATCGCTGAAATGATTTTAAGACTAATACACAATATAAAAACAAATAGTGACCTATTCTTTCACAGAAATTATTGTTCCATCTATATCCTGACTGACAGATACAAGTTCTAGTGTTTGTTAAATCACATTGAGCTGAAGTTAGTCTTCCACAGTCGGCATTGGTTCTGCAACTATCTCCATATCCTAATGACATTTATATATATACAATTTAGACATGATATATTTATTTAAAAAATGAGACCTTAATTATGCTTGAGATGACTTGAACATTGATAATAATTATGCTCGTATACATTTTAAAGTGAAAGCAGTCAAGCAAAATCAATTCTCAAGTCTGGCATGTTTAGTTTCAAATAAGCCATACATATTTGGAAAAAATCGAACTACAATAAAAAATATTTTTATTTGTTGGGTAAGAGAAATGAAGAAAAGCTGTTGTTAAATGAAGCAAAGCAAATAAAAACATGAGGATTTTAAATTAAATGAATGGCAAACGAAATTACAATATTACCTATTGCCACACATTGGCTGTTTTGTTGTCTGTAAGTAACTTGACAAATACAGGTGCGTGTATTGGTAGTGTCACATTCAGCGTTTCCTATTCCAGCACAATCAAAGTCCGATGTGCATTGGATTCCAAGTCCTAAAAATTATAACATTGTTGCATTTATAGTTGGTATGGGAGAATAAACATTACTCGAACTTAATTGGAATATCAATGTGGCAATTTTATCAAATGGTATATCCCAGATTAACTTTGATTTAAATTAATGCAGACTGTACAATATCAGGCTCACTTAAAACAGTTGTTTGAAATATGTGAAGAAAATGTGTATATTTAAACGAAAAAAAGAAAAGATAAAAGTGGAATTAAAGGTCTACCAAACCTTGGGATATTTAATCAACTCGAAGGGCCAATGTTCTTATTCATAAATTTTACACATACTCTAGTATTCCAATTTGACTAATTTCAAATCTATATAGTAAACGTTTCATATGTTACATGTTATACAAAGGGGTTTAGTGTAGAGAAAATATCAAATAGAGTGCTTTCAAATTCAAGTGACAAAATATTTTAAGTGTAACATGAACTTTTATCGCAAAAGCAAAATCTTTCATCGCAAAAGCAAAAAAAATAAATCAAAAATAGTAATAATTGAAAGACTGAAACACAATTTAAAAACAAGCAGTTACCAATTCTTTCACAGAAATTATTGTTCCATCTATATCCTGACTGACATATACAAGTTCTAGTGTTTGTTAAATCACATTGAGCTGAGGTTAGTCTTCCACAGTCGGCATTACTTCTGCAACTATCTCCATATCCTAATGACATTTATATACATGATATTTTTATTTAAAGAACAAGACTCTAATACTACTGCCAGAGATGACTTGTATTTTAAAGCATGCATTTAATAAATGAACCTATTCAAAATAAAAAAAAACTTACATGTGTCTGGATCAGTACTTTAAAATTCAACTAAGTAAGTTACCTCTTTATCCGTAAAATTAGTTAAAAAATGTATCATGTAATTTCAATTATCCTCATTTTTCAAGGATGAACATTACATTTAAAAGTGGGAACAGTCAAGCAATAATAAAATCTCAAGTCTCGCAATTTTAGTTTAAAATAAGGCATACTTATTTGGCAAAAATCAAACTACAATAAAAATATATTTTTATTTGTTGTGTAAGAGAAATGAAGAACACATGTAGTAAAATGAAGCAAATCAAATAAAACATGAGGATTCTGAATTGAATGAATGGCAAACGAAAGTACAATATTACCTATTGCAACACATTGGCTGTTCTGTTGTCTGTAAGTAACTTGACAAATGCACGTGCGTGCATTCGCAGTGTCACATTCAGCGTTTCCTATTCCAGCACAATCAAAGTCTGAAGAGCACTGAATTCCAAGTCCTAAATATTATAACATTGTTGCATTTTTAGTTGGTACGGGAGAATAAAGATTACTCAAACGTAATTGGAATACAAATATTGCAACTTTATCAAATAGTGTATCCCAGATTTACTTCGATTTAAATTAATGTAGATAGTACATTAATAGGCTCACTTAAAATATGTGAAGCAAATGTGTATATTTAAACGAAACAAAAGCAAAGATATAAGTGGAATTAAAGGGCTACCAAACCTTGGGATATTTAATGAACTCGAAGGGCAAATGTTGTTATTCATAAATTTTACACATACTCTAGTATTCCAAATGGACTATTTTCAAATCTATTTAGTAAACGTTTATATGTTACATGTTACACAAAGAGCTTTATTGAAGAGAAAATATAAAATAGATTACTATCAAATTCAAATGGCAAATCCTTTTAAGTGTAACATGAATTTTTATCGTAAAAGTAAAATTTTTATCGCAAAAGCAAAAAAAAGTCAAAAGAGTAATAATTTAAAGACTAAAACACAATTCAAAAGCAAATAGTTACCTATTCTTTCACAGAAATTATTGTTCCATCTATATCCTGTCTGACAGATACAAGTTCTAGTGTTTGTTAAATCACATTGAGCTGAAGTTAGTCTTCCACAGTCGGTATTGGTTCTGCAACCATCTCCATATCCTAATGACATTTATATATATATGATATTTTTATTAAAAGAACGAGACCTTAATACTACTACCAGAGATGACTTGTATTTTAAAACATGCATTTAATAAATGAACCTATTCAAAATAAAAAAAAACTTACATGTGTCTGGATCAGTACTTTAAAATTCAACTAAGTAAATCACCTCTTTATCAGTAAATTAAGTTAACAAAAATGTATCTTATAATTTTAATTATTTTCATTTTACAAGGATGAACATTACATTTAAAAGTGGGAACAGTCAAGCAATAAAAAAAGTCTCAAGTATGGCATTTTTAGTTTCAAATAAGCCATACTTATTTGGCAAAAATCGAACTACAATAAAAAAGATATTTTTATTTCTTGGGTAAGAGAAATGAAGAGCACCTGTGGTAAAATGAAGCTAAACAAACCAAAACATAAGGAATTTAAACTAAAGGAATGGCAAACGGAGGTACAATATTACCTATTGTCACACATTGACTGTTTTGTTGCCGGTAAGTAACTTGACAAATGCACGTGCGTGTATTGGCAGTGTCACATTCAGCGTTTCCTATTCCAGCACAATCAAAGTCAGATGAGCACTGGATTCCAAGTCCTGTAAAACAAAATCACTATTAAAGAATACAAAACAAAACAAAATTATGCATTTAAAATGTACGTTTATTACATGTTAGTGCAATGATTATATTCTGTAAAAACATATATGGTAATAATGTAACTTTAGAAATGGATAATTAGTAGATATTTTTCGATAACCAAATGACGCAATTAACTGTCAAAGATATACTATGCTGATCTTTAGATAAAAATATTCGTATTGCAGAAATATATTGAATTATTAACTGAATGTGTATAATTTGAATAACTGAATGCACAAATTATGGCTGGGAAGCTACATTCCGTATAACTTATCTAGTTCAGATAGTTCTTTGTTGAAAAAGTAAACGCCATTTTTTTAAAAATAATATGTATTCATACTGCATTAAAAAAGCCTTTAGTGTACAGAATTTTACAAGTAACATATCTTCTCTTTTTTCCAATTAAACAGGTACTGTATAGCAATTATCAACATTTTCAAAATTCAAATTTACGCTAGTGCAAGTGTGCAAATGGCAATTGTAAAAAAGTTTAATATTTTTATACAAATTAGAAACATGTACAAAAGAGGCTCCGCTGGCATCAACAGCTTCAGAACATAGAATTTGAAATTCTTTCATGCTAGGTAAAATTATTTTTGCCACAGCAGCTAATAATAAGTCTGGGATAATGCATCAGTTATTTCATTCTGCAAATACATCAATTGTGTTACAAGAACACAGATGCAATATTTTCACGAGTGGCGTGGCCACGAGTGAAAATAGACTAGCTGGTGTTCACGAATGAAATATAGTTCAATTTTTTATGTAAAACAAAGAAATTTTCTTTTCACTTCATGATTTTTAAGTGATTTTAAGTATTTTTACCGATTTTGCAGTGTAACGTCGCGCATTTTCCTTCGTGACATCATCACGTCATGACGTCACATCTTAGTTTTGAAATATAGTGCTGTTAAATTTCTCTAATTTCGTTACATTTTTAACATGATGAATAATAAAATCGACTTTCTTTTCCTAAAGATGCAAAATTTACGTATGACAGCATTTATTTCTGCCTGTTATTCAATTTAGTTGTGATTTTCTATTCATTCGCATTCAGATATAGTCCGGTACAGTGAAAATTTTATGTTACAAATTTCAGTAGTGGTTTATCAGAATATAATCATCTGATATATTACAGTAAAACACTGGAAATCATGGAATACAATTTGTTACCTATTCTTTCACAGATATTATTGTTCCATCTATATCCAGTCTGACAGATACAAGTTCTAGTATTTGATAAATCACATTGAGCTGAAGTTAGTCTTCCACAGTCAGCGTTAGTTCTGCAACTATCTCCGTATCCTTAAACATGATAAAACAAGTTATTTGCAATTGCAAATAGATACTCGAAAGATAATCATATTTCTTGACCAATAATTAATTGTCTTTTCCATACTCATACTGGGCTATATATATAAGTTAGATAGTTCCCGATTTTTTTGAAAAAAATTCAACTCCCTTGCCAGAATTGGTAGACATTTGGAGAGCAATATTGTATATAATATAATTTACAAACTATATAAAAAGAAACACTATAATCAGCTGATTTAGGTGAATTATGAAATTCTTTTACATATATGAAGGAATATAGTACTTAAGCACCAATATGTTAAAAGATTTTTTTGAAGATGACAAAATTATGAGAAATTTTTATCTTATCTTAAGCATAAGCATACAAGTTTTATAAAAATGACCCTTAAAATGGCAAGGAGAGGTAAAAATTGCTATGTGAAATGCTTCTATAGGACCATTAACGAGTTGCCATATTATATATAGCTAAACGATATAATTGAATTATAGGTATAGAATGTGAAAAAAATATTTTTATGGAATGGCAAAACTCACAGAATTCATCACAATTAATTTTCTTTAAACAAGTATCGTTGCCGCCAAATAGGTGGGTCCCTTCGGGACGGATATTACGATCTGAACCGCAACATATGACAAAAATTTTTATCCTTCTTTACTGCGCCAATGTTATTTCACACATGGGGAAGATTATAAGGTCATTATACATGTACATTGCAATACTAAAGTCTATTTGACGAAATCATAGTTATCAAACCTGTACTGAATGAGGTGCTGACCGAACCTAATATAATTTTTGCAGCTGTGAACGAGTCCAATAGAATCAGTACTGTACTCGCCAATAGAGAGCGACATTTCTATTTCACACTACCAAACTAAAGACGAAACATCAAATACAATATGAATTTTATATGATTTTTTGGACTCTGATCATAAAATTAAGGTTAATTACTATAGAGATTTTGATATGGATTGTTGCACTTGCAAAAAAAGCAAAATGAAAATGAGAATTTATTTATAACCTATTGATACACATTGGCCGCTCAGTTCTCTGTAAGTAACTTGACAAACGCACGTGTCAGTATTCCCAATGTCACATTCAGCATTTCCTATTCCAGTACAATCAGAGTTAGATGAGCACTGGATCCCAAGCCCTTTAAAACAAAAATTATAATGATAGTTTAGTTTACATGCATGCCGATAAGTTTTAATGTAAGTTGTTACAACACAAGGGACGTTTTATTTTCGCTAAATGGTTTGTTTTTTCGAACAAGAAATGCATCGTTAAAAGTTTACGTTATCAAGTGTTAGCTTAAATTTAGTAAAAAAAGTTCTTAAGATGCTTAGATGGTACAAAAGATGGTCCAGATATTATTTTCACCAGTTTTTTTAAATATAATATTATTTCTAATGGGATAAAGTTTAGAGACCGCTCATTCTAGTGAATAAACAAATAATAAGTTCTTTTTTTTTGGAGGGGGGGGGGGGGGGCAGTATTTTGTTTCGTAGAGTGAAACCGCATGAATTTCTAATTGTTCAAAAACAGGGTTTAAACTACAAGAAAAAAAATCTGATTTATTTCTTGTTTCACTTTACGATAAAAATACTTATTTTTACCAAAGTAAATTCTATGTAAGTGTTACTCACAAAAAAGAGCGGGCTCACCACTTTATCCCATCAAAATTTATGAAGTTTTTAACCAAAGTTATAGAAGAAACTATTTTCTGGTTTTCTGGATCGTTTGTATGATTATATGACATTTCTTGAAAAAAATATCATCAAAAATATTTACCTCGCCTGAAACATTGGGTGCCTTCCTGGGTGTAACCGGAATTGCATCTACAGATCCCGGCATTACAATTAGCAAAGTTGACATTGGCACATTCAGAAGTGCTCACACAGGTGTCACCAAGACCTGATGTTAAAATTGAAACACATAATTGCATTTAGTGATTTTAGATTTTTTTGCAAGCAAGTTCTCAAAGGACCACTGAGGTTTTTTTGATATAACGGGACTTGAAATATTTTTGAGATAAATGTTCAATTTCATGTAGGTCTACATAGTAACTTGTGTGCAAATTTTTTAGATCATACGCTTAATAATATTTATTATAATTGTGAAAAAATGACCCAAACTATAAAAGCGTCGCAATGCTTTTCACTCAGATCGGACAAATGATAGCACAAAAATAGATTTCATTTTACTTCGGAGAATATTTTTAATTGTCTTTAGCATTATCTATTTGCTACAACTGTTCTATGTGAAAAAAATGTGGCATACCCTTGAAGCGTTAATTCTCAGCCATAAATAAGACAAAAACATAAGTTATAATTACGTTTAAACTTTAATATGCGGGGGTATCAACACAAAAGTATTGTAATATTAACAGACACCGACTAAACTTATTTCAGCTAGTCTAAAAAAAAACAATACTGTGACAAGTAAGTTTTGCATTCACTGATTTAAGAATTATATTAAAACTTGTGTAGCTACGTTATATTTTTTAATAGTATGTATAATTAAGATACAAACTATTGTTCACAAATATTTTCTTGTTTGCTAACGAATCATGTGTATTGACAACAAATCAAAATCTTAAATTACAAACTCTAATGTCTCAATCAGAAATCAATTTCAACTCATATCAAGATATATTAAATTACTAACCTATTTGTAAACAGGCGAGGTCGATTTGTTTGTACGTAAACGGACAGGCGCACACTCTCAAAACATCGTCACTACAAAAGGCAGCTTGAAGTGCCCCGCATTCTTCGTGTATAGTGCAACTTTCTCCAAACCCTGGCAAAAATGTATTTAGTTAAAAAGCATATTTTGCCTCAGAAATATATAAAAACATATCTTTTACTTCTTCCGAAACGCAAACATGAATTTAATAGTGTTTAAATAATGGTTTTATGGAATGTTGAATGCTTGTTCCCTGAAGAAAGTAGCGATAAATGTGAAATAATTTGTCATAAAAGTAGCAAAATTATCAACAGGTAGTATTTTGACTTCCACACAAAATACTTATTCGCTATAACAGTTCTTATTGCCAAAAAGCAACAGATGAGTAAGATGCATTAAGTTATAAGTCAATGAGTAACGTTTAAGACATGTTATTTCAAAAGTACACGAAAAACAAACAAGAGGGTCATGATGGCCCTAGATCGCTCACCTGACTTATCAAACTCATCCAAACAATTACCTAGACAAGCATTCTGACCAAGTCTCACGACAGGTGAGTCAAAAATGTGACCACTACAGTGTTAACAAGGATTATCCATATTTGAGCAGTGCGACCTAGTTTTTTACCCAGGTGACACATATTCAAACTTGACCTAGAAATCATCAAAACAATCTTTCAGACCAATTTCCAGGATACTTGTATCAAAACAGTAGCAACTAGAGTGTTAACAAGATTTTTCTATTTTTAGCTCTGGTGACCTAGTTTCACATGCGATTTCGAACTCATCCAAGCAATTACCTAGACAAGCATCCTGACCAAGTTTGATGATAATTGAGTCGAAAATGTGACCACTAGAATGTTTACAAGGTTTTTCCATATTTGGGCGTTGTGACCTAGTTTTTCATCCAAGATGACCCATGTTCGATCTTGACTTAGAAATCATCAAAACAAACTTTCAGACCAGTTAACAGAATATTTGGATCACAACAGTAGCCACTAGAGTGTTAACAAGATTTTTTTTTTAGCTCCTGTGACCTAGTTTTTCATACAAGATGTCCCATGTTCGATTTATTCCAAGCATAAATGACCTAGACAAGTTTCCTGACCAAGTTTGATGGCAATTGAGTCAAAATTGTGACCACTAGAGTGTGAACAAGGTTTTTCTATTTTTAGCTCTTGTGACTTTGTTTTTCATCCGAGATGACCCATGTTCGAACTCATCCGAGCCATTACCTAGACAAGCATCTTGATCAAGTTTGATGATGATTGATGCAAAAATGATACCGCTAGAGTGTTAACAAGGTTTTTCTATTTTTAGCTCAGGTGACCTACTTTTTCATCCGAGATGACCCATGTTCAAACTCATTTGAGCTATCACCTAGATAAACATCTTGACCAAGTTTGATGATGACTGATGCAAAAATGTGACCGCTAGAGTGTTAACAAGGTTTTTCTATTTTTAGCTCCTGTGACCTAGTTTTTCATCCGAGATGACCCATGTTCAATCACATCCGAGCTATTACCTAGACAAGCATCTTGATCAAGTTTGATGATGATTGATGCAAAAATGATACCGCTAGAATGTTAACAAGGTTTTTCTATTTATACTTCCAGTGACCTAGTTTTTCATCCTAGATGACCCATATTCGAACTCATCCGAGCTATTATCTAAACAAGCATCCTGACAAAGTTTGATTATGATTGGGTCAAAAATGTGACCACTAGAGTGTTCACAATGTTTTTTTTCCAATTTTAGCTCCTGTGACCTAGTTTTTCATCAGAGATAATCCATGTTCGAACTCATCCAAGCAATTGACTAGACAAGCATTCTGACCAAGTTTGATGATGATTGGTTCAAAAATGTGACCACTAGAGTGTTCACAAGGTTTTTCTATTTATAGCTCCTGTGACCTACTTTTTCATCCGAGATGACCCATGTTCGAACTTATCCGAGCTATTACCTAGACAAACATCCTGACAAAGTTTGATGATGATTGGGTCAAAAATGTGACCTCTAGAGTGTTCACAAGGCTTTCTATTTTTAGCTCTTGTGACCTAGTTTTTCATCCGAGATAAGCCATGTTCGAACTCATCCGAGCTTTGAACTAGATTAGCATCCTGACCAAGTTTGATGATGATTGAGGCAAAAATGCGACCGCTAGAGTGTTCACAAGCAATTGTGGACGGACGACGGACGACGAACGACGGACATTCACCGATCCTAAAAGCTCACCCTGAGCAAGCTCATGTGAGCCAAAAGCTTCTGAGATATAAATAAATGCATCTCTAAGGCATAGTGGGTCTTTATATATATGTATATTAGTTCTGTATTAGACATGCTGGAAAGAGATTTAATATATGGTTATAATGAGTAAGTAGATAAGTTAACGGGCCCGCATTGCAGACCCGGCCTTTCACTTCCTCGTGTTAATAAATATAAACCATCTTACCTCTGACTTGGCATTCTTGGTTAACCTGTTTGTACGCAGTAATACAAACACATTTGTTTGTTGCACCACAAAAGGAGTAACGGACACTCTGGCAGTCCGTGTTGCTATCACAGTCCGATCCAAGACCTGTAATATGAAAAAGAAGTCATAAGTAATAAACAGGCTATTTAAAGATCCTGTAACACAATTTGTTTTATGGTTTAAATATCATAAATATGACGCTCAAATTAAGATTCATAAATTTTGTAAGTTCCAAAAAGCATTATTTGTAAAAATATTACCGAATTTAACATTTCATTTAAATAAAAGGAGGTAATTAGAAATTTATTTTCTATAATGTCTAAGTCAAATGTGTCAATTAGAAATGAATGCATACTTAATGATACAAATATTTGCAGCACATATTTTACATATTCTTCGATGTTTGAAAATTGTTTTATTAGCATAATAAAATACATATATATATAATTTAACTTAAGTGTGGTATACAACCTCAATTACATCATACATGATCTGTTAACTGCCTATGATGTCTTAAATATCAGTTTATTCAAATTTAAAATGTCAAAAATATGCAGTTGGTCTCTTAGATATAGGTAATTCAGCTGTAATATATACTTGTACCAGTATTTGATTTAAAAATATACGAGCAATGTATACCTATGTAATCCTATATATATATATATATATATATATATCATATATGTAGAGTAGAAATCTATTTGCTTATAAATAGCATTAAAAGTCCGAGTGGTTAAGGTCGCTGACTTGAGATCACTGGTCCCTCACCGCTGTAGGTTCGATCCTCACTTGGGTCGAAATCTTTCATGTGAAGAAGCCATCCAGCTGGCTTACGGAAGGTCAGTGGTTCTACCCGGATGCCCGCTCGTGTCTGAAATAATGCCCGGAGGGGCACCCGGGGTCTTCCTCCACCAATAAAAGCTGGAAAAAAAATCGACGAAAAAATCTCGGCGGAACGCTCTAGGATGGCCCGACTTGAGTGTACGGTCGCCCATATGGGCTTTCCGGCGGCGACCTTAAATAAATGCATTAAACAAAACAAAAAAGTTACCTCGTATCACACAATTACCAGACTCGGCTTCATATGGTGAACGACATGCGCATGTTCTAGGAGATGTGTTTGGATTACAAAATGCGTTAGAAACGGATGAACAGTCACTGTCGACAGAACATACCGAGCCAAGCCCTGAAACATAAATAAATGAAATAGAGAGAGAAAAAAATTAAGAATTCCTATGGACGTTCAAAACGGCAAAATGGAAAATTTTTGTAGGCTCGGTTTCATCAAGCTACAATCCTTGTGACCTTTGACCTGAATAACGGCAGGTCTTATCTTACTAGTACAGAGCTAGACCCGTCTGTCTGCATCTTCTACTCGAAATTTTAACTAGTGTGTATATCGTCGGTTGTATAATTTTAGTATATTTATGTCGCCATGATTCTTTAACTGGCCAATAGATATAATATATTAGATTATATATTAAAATTAATTGACAGACTATTTATAAAATGACAAAAAAAAAGAATGATGAAGGTGACAAATACAAATAATGATAATTAAAATGATGATGATGATTATGATGTTGACTACAATGATGATGATGAAAACAGTAACAAGCATATGAAGATGATGGTGATGATGATTAAAAATCCAACTGATGCTAAAAATGATTATGATGATGATGATGATGGTGACAAAATTATACTGAAAATGATGGTGATGATATTGATGACTTCAGTGATGATGATGATGGTGGTGATGGTGACAAATCCAAATTATGCTGAAACTGATGATGATGATGACTACGATGCTGTCGAAAATGATATGATGATGATGACTTCAATGATGATGATGATGATAACGATGATGACTAAAATGATGACGATGATGAAGAAGAAGAAGATGATGATAATAATAATGATGATGATTATGATGATGATTATAATGATGATGATGATGATGATGATGATGATGATGATGATGATGATGATGATAATAATGGTTTATACCAGTTTGTTGACAAACGCCATTGATATTAACGTATGGTGACTGACAGACACATGTTCTTGGGAATGTCGTAGAACAGGTTGCCTGTTGAATCAGCGAGCAATCAGCATTTGATGAGCACGAGCCTCCTAAAACTAAATCCACATACATGTATGAATTATTTATACATTTTGATAGTTTCAGATTCGGAAATACTTTTATATTACCTTTTGTAGTAATGAACCCAACACTTCAAATATTTTTAAAACCACTCATGAGAAAACAAAACAAAACGATCAAAAAAGAACTCCACTAGCTGAGGTCTAAAAATTTTAGAATATGAAATTTAAATTCTTTTCATAGATCAGTTACGGTAAGATAATAAAACGATTAGAAAGAAATATTCTCAGAAATTAATTGAAAATCGTATATTTGTGCTGTTCTTAGATTAGTGTAAAAGCATTGCAACGCTTTTCAAACTTTGGTTAATTTTTCACAATTAAAATAATTATTTTGGAAAATCGGAGTGAGCGAATGATCTGACATTTTGCACATAAGTTTTTTAGTGTAGATCTTCTTCAAATTGAACGTAACAATAATCTCGAAAGAATTAAAAGTTTATTTTTATCAAATCACAATTTCTTACCAATTCGTTGACAGAAGCTGTTTAAGGATAATGTATAACCAACCAAACAAACACAAGTCCTAGAATTTGCGTCACAACGTGCAAGCAAAAGCCCGCCACATTGGCTGTCCGAAAGACAACTGTCTCCGAAACCTTCAAAAATAATAATATAAATAAATGAATAAATAAATGAATAAATAAATAAATAAATAAATTAATAAATAACATCACTGACATATCATTTTGTTACAATGTTGACGAAAAAAAACTTCCAAGTAGTAATAGTAAAATGTGATTTTGTTGCTATATCCGAAAGACAACTGTATGCGAAACCTACCTTAAAAATAAATAAATAAATGAATAAATAAATAAAATTAAACAAAAAAAACTTACGTCTTAGAACACACGCGTTATTTTCCTGCTTGTAAGCTGTAGAGCAAACACATCTGAAAGTAGACGCTGTGTCGCAGACGGCATTTGAAATTCCTCCGCAGTCACTGTCACGTGAACAAGAAGAACCAAGCCCTGTAAGATTAAAACGATACTTATATAAAAAAATTCTGGAACACACAATAGATAAAACTCCTGTTCTGTCCATGTCAAGATGTGCACTGCAGTGAAATATATTTTACGCATTTTCATTGGCGTTTTACCGGACTACTTTTTCTTAATTCAGCCAATACACAAAATTAATGGGGAAGTCTTTTAAATTGTAATGTCAAAAAAAGAAAAATGTATATAAATAAATAAATAATAAAAAGCAAATTCAAGCTTTTTTTCATCTTAAAATACAGGACTTATTTTCAACTTGTGGTATGAAAATTATCATATTTCACTCGTGGTTACTAATAGCCTAAAATTATATTCATAAATCAAATGGTGCACTTAAAATGAAAAACTATACAAAAGATGATATAAAAATTTCTTACTGAATTGATAATCAATGTGATTTTTGGCCGATTTGAGTGAAAAGCGAAAAGCGTTGCAACGCTTTCATTTTGGCGTCAATTTGCGCAAAGATGTTGATTGCCTCTGGGTAACGGAGTAAGCAAATTATCTTGAATTTTGCACAAGAGTTATTGGTCCAGACCTTTATACAGTCAAACAAATAAATTTTTGTTCCTTCATGTCAAAAACAATGTATTTGTTCACAAAATTTTATGTCAATGTCTTTCCCAGTATACCGGGTATTTTCCGCGACCATCACCCCACCCACGCAGCCACACTTAAGAGACAACCAAATACAACAAATACACAAAGGCTCCACGAAAGGTAAAACAAAAAGAGAAGACGGTTAGAGTAAATCCCCTTCCCCATTCCCATATTTCAACCCCATCATGCAGGGTTTAAAGAAAATAAAGGTTTACCAGTTTGTTGACAAACTCCATTGATATTGACGTATGTTGACTGACAAACACATGTTCTTGGGAATGTTGTAGAACAGGTTGCCTGTTGAAGCAACGAGCAATCGGCTTCCGATGAGCACGAGCCACCTAAAACTAAAACCAAATTTAAACTATTGATAAAAATTAAATATATGTTTTTCGAAATAATGACAGCATTGATAAACAACAAAAAAACTTTTTGAGCCGAAATGAAGGAATTCTTTATCACTTTTTTTGCGTTTGCTAAGAATAGACTAAAATATCTAAAAAATAAATAAATAGCAAGCATTCGAACTTGATATTAAAAGTTTGGAACACATTTTGTTAAGCAGACACAATAGGATTAACAATTTCATTATTGAGGTCAATGCCCCATCCACCGCATCTCCGCTTTTTTTTACATATTTATGTCTTAAAATTCAGAATAATATCCCTACTAACAGAATAATAGCATAGTTACGGATGCATACTTGATTATATGGTCTAGATTATATCTAAAGGTTTAACTTTTTTATTTTAAAAATTATCTTGTTCATGATGTTACTATTCCAATTTTGCGCAGAAATAAATATTTCAAGACTTTTCTTAAAGATAGTTTTCTTACCAATTCGTTGGCAGACGCTATTAAAGGCCAATGTATAACCAACCAAACAAACACAAGTCCTAGAATTTGCGTCACAACGTGCAAACGAAAGCCCGCCACATTGGTTATCCGAAAGACAACTGTCTCCGAAATCTTTAAATAGAAAACATATAAAAATCCGCTGTAATTCATAATTTTTGTTTAAAATCTTTCTTTTCCTATAGTTTGATAAAAGAATAATTTCTTAAACGATTGATAAAACAATGTCACGTTTATTATAACAGACCGCGTGAATTTTTTTTTAGATTAAAGCGGCCTTCAGCTTTTTTTTTTCTTTTTTTATTTAAAGATAAATCGTTTCATATAATTGACATATCAAAAGAATTTAGAATGAAAATGCAATTTGCCGTCGATAAAATATATAAAAAATAAGGAAGAAACCTTTGTTTCCCGATTTTCTATTTTTAGAAACGAACGTCACTGGAGTGCTATAAATAGCTCCAACAGTGAGAGAAAATGAAAATTCGTAACTGAGATACAACATAAAACACAGTTCCGTTGATATATTGACAAAATTCTTACTTCTTAGTACACAGGCGTTATTTTCCTGCTTGTATGCTGTAGCGCAAACACATTTGAAAGTAGACGATGTGTCGCAGACGACATTTGAAATTCCTCCGCAATCACTGTCACGTGAGCAAGAGGCGCCAAGCCCTATGAGATTAAAAAGGATAGCTATAGATATAAAATACGACAAAATGCCATTTCGAAGTAGCCCAAGTATCGTACTATAAGAAAGGTTATTTTGATACAAAATAATACTAAATAAAAAACAAGAGGGCCATGATGGCCCTGAAATCGCTCACCTGTATATAGGCCCCCCCCCCCCCCCCCCCAACGTTGCAGGGCCAATTTAACCCAAGGGCTTTTATTTGCACAAACTCGGTAGACACCCATAAGAAGATGTTTCATGCTAAACATCTAAGCTCTAGCTCATTGGGCTTTTTGAAAGAAGATTTTTTTAAAGTTTTTACTATACACATATAGTTAAAAACAATGACACCCCTGAGGCCAGACCAGTTTTGACCCCAGGGCTTTTATTTGAACAAACTTTGTAGACACTTACTAGAAGATGTTTCATGCTTAATATCTAAACTCTAGCTATTTGGGTTTTTTCAAAGAAGATTTTTAAGTTTTTGCTATACACATATAAAGAAAATCAATGACCCCCGGGGCGGGGCCAATTTTGACCCCAGGTCTTTTATTTGAACAAACTTTGTAGACACTCACTAAAAGATGTTTCATGCTTAATATCTTAACTCTAGTTATTTGGGTTTTTTCATATAAGGAAAATCAATGACCCCCGGGGCGGTGCCAATTTTGACCCCAGGGCTTTTATTTGAACAAACTTGGCAGACACCTATTAGAACATGTTTGATGCTAAATATCTTAGCCATAGCTCTTTGAGTTCTTTAAAAGAAGATTTTTTAAGTTTTTACTATATGCATATAGGGAAAATCAATAATCCCCCGGGGCGGGGCCAATTTTGACCCCAGGGCTTTTATTTGAACAAACTTGGTAGACACTTATTAGAATATGTTTCATGCTAAATATCTTAGCTGTAGCTCTTTTGGTTCTTTAAAAGAAGATTTTTTAAGTTTTTACTATATGTATATAGGGAAAATCAATGACCCCCCGGGGCGGGGCCAATTTTGACCCCAGGGCTTTTATTTGAACAAACTTGGTAGACACCTATTAGAACATGTTTGATGCTCAATATCTTAGCCATAGCTCTTTGAGTTCTTTAAAAGAAGATTTTTTAAGTTTTTACTATATGCATATAGGGAAAATCAATGACCCCCTGGGGCGGGGCCAATTTTGACCCCAGGGCTTTTATTTGAACAAACTTGGTAGACACCCATTAGAACATGTTTCATGCTAAATATCTTAGCTGTAGCTCTTTTGGTTCTTTAAAAGAAGATTTCTTAAGATTTTACTATATGCATATAGGGAAAATCAATGACCCCCCGGGGCGGGGCCAATTTTAACCCCAGGGCTTTTATTTGAACAAACTTGGTAGACACTTATTAGAACATGTTTCATGCTAAAAATCTTAGCTCTAGCTCTTTTGGTTCTTTAAAAGAAGATTTTTTAAGTTTTTACTATATGCATATAGGGAAAATCAATGACCCCCCTGGGGCGGGGCCAATTTTGACCCCAGGGCTTTTATTTGAACAAACTTGGTAGACACTTATTAGAACATGTTTGATGCTAAATATCTTAGCCATAGCTCTTTGAGTTCTTTAAAAGAAGATTTTTTAAGTTTTTACTATATGTATATAGGGAAAATCAATGACCCCCCGGGGCGGGGCCAATTTTGACCCCAGGGCTTTTATTTGAACAAACATGGTAGACACTCACTAGAAGATGTTTCATGCCAAATATCTTAGCTTTAACTCTTTTGGTTCTTTAAAAGAAGATTTTTAAGTTTTTACTATATGCATATAGGGAAAATCAATGACCCCGGGGGCGGGGCCAATTTTTACCCAAGGGCTTTTATTTGAACAAACTTGGTAGACACTTATTAGAACATGTTTCATGCTAAATATCTTAGCTTTAACTCTTTTGGTTCTTTAAAAGAAGATTTTTTAAGTTTTTACTATATGCATATAGGGAAAATCAATAACCCCCCGGGGCGGGGCCAATTTTGGCCCCAGGGCTTTTATTTGAACAAACTTGGTAGACACCTATTAGAACATGTTTGATGCTAAATATTTTAGCCATAGCTGTTTGAGTTCTTTTAAAGAAGATTTTTAAGTTTTTACTATATGCATATAGGGAAAAATCAATGACCCCCCGGGGCGGGGCCAATTTTGACCCCAGGGCTTTTATTTGAACAAACTTGGTAGACACCCATTAGAACATGTTTCATGCCAAATATCTTAGCTTTAACTCTTTTGGTTCTTTAAAAGAAGATTTTTTAAGTTTTTACTATATGCATATAGGGAAAATCAATGACCCCCTGGGGCGGGGCCAATTTTGACCCAAGGGCTTTTATTTGAACAAACTTGGTAGACACTTATTAGAACATGTTTCATGCTAAATATCTTAGCTTTAACTCTTTTGGTTCTTTAAAAGAAGATTTTTTTAAGTTTTTACTATATGCATATAGGGAAAATCAATGACCCCCTGGGGCGGGGCCAAATTTGGCGGGGCCAAATTTGGCCCCAGGGCTTTTATTTGAACAAACTTGGTAGACACCTATTAGAACATGTTTGATGCTAAATATTTTAGCCATAGCTCTTTGAGTTCTTTAAAAGAAGATTTTTTAAGTTTTTACTATATGCATATAGGGAAAAATCAATGACCCCCCGGGGCAGGGCCAATTTTGACCCCAGGGCTTTTATTTGAACAAACTTGGTAGACACCCATTAGAACATGTTTCATGCTAAATATCTTAGCTGTAGCTCTTTTGGTTCTTTAAAAGAAGATTTTTTAAGTTTTTACTATATGTATATAGGGAAAATCAATGACCCCCCGGGGCGGGGCCAATTTTGACCCCAGGGCTTTTATTTGAACAAACTTGGTAGACACTCACTAGAAGATGTTTCATGCCAAATATCTAAGCTCTAGCTCTTACGGTTTTTTAAAAGAAGACATTTAAAGTTTTTTCTTTCGGTTGCCATGGCAACCAGAGTTCTGCATGGAATTAAATTCTTTGAACAATTTTTAAAGGTGACCACCAAAGGAACATTCCTGTGAAGTTTGGATGAAATTGGCTTAGTGGTTTATGAGGAGATGTCATTTAAAGTAAAAGTTTACGGACGGACGGACGGACGGACGGACGGACGACGGACGGACGCCGGACGAAAAGCGATCACAAAAGCTCACCCTGTCACTTTGTGACAGGTGAGCTAACAACAGTGCCTCCATGCTTATATCATATAAATTACATTGAAAACGTGTAGATGTTTCAAAAATCAATGACAACATAAGCGTTGAATACTTATCAATTGAAAGATATAGGATATTATATCCTAAGCCATTCATGAACGCGCTGCTCTGATTTGTGGTGACGTCCAAGTACGCAAAATGACGTTTCCGTTAACGTGTGATTTTCCGGACGTGACTCAAGTTATATACCGTGGACGATAAAGCATCTCCCAGATCCGAAAAAACCTACACCGACCTCCATATTAGTCATTCATTGCATAATATCAAAATAACTTATTGAAGTTTTAACAAAATTCGAAAATAGATCTGTCTACATCTCAAACTACAATATGTTCAACTACTGATTCGTCACAGACCCCTGTGACGTCATTCGAACATGCCATGCAATGCTTCCTTTCGGCGGATTAATGTCAACACTTCACATTTTAAAAATCCATTTGTTGAATGGGGAAAAAGATAACAGTTCAAAATTACCTAAAAATTGACAAACTCCATTTACTGCTGTGTATGAAGTTTTACAAATACACGTTCGTGGAAAAGAAGTACCACAGGTCCCCTGTGTAATTAGTGAGCAATCACCTTCGGATGAACATGATTCACCAAGATCTAAAATTAGATAACAAGAGCATACGAAACCAAGAACTCAGTAAGGTTTAAACGCTCTTGAACTATCCCAGGTTAGGTTATTGGATAAGGATGAACAATCTTAGTTAATTAGCCAGCAGTATAGAGCCTGGTCAGATTGCACGGATGAATGCGTGCTGGTCTGGCTAAAGAATTATTGTCACTCACGCTTATATTCGTAATTAAACATTATTAACACGTTCACCATTTTTGTTAAACATCTTGAAAAAAAATCTTACTTATTCTCTGACAAAAGTTGTTGCTAAGCCTATAGCCTATCTGACAAACACACGTGACATCACATCGTGCAGCAGTGAGTCCACCGCAGTCTGTATCTGAATTACAACTGTCGCCGTATTCTATAAATAGAAAATATATAAATAGTAAAATGAAAAAAAAAATCTATAAATATTTATAAAGGGAAAAACGCATGATATATCACGACCTGCGTGTCTCTTTAAGCATGTCACTTTCGATTTACAATCAATTTATTGGAAAATATTTCAATAGAATCTTTTGTAGTTAACCTGGCGAAAAGTTGCAAAGCAATAGCACTAACTACAATTTTTGTCATGTCATCTTATCGGATCCGATATTCCTTTCGGACTACAGCAGCAAGGAAAATGTTATTTCGCTCAAGGATTGGTCGTACTTACGTCTTCGTTCACAAGTGTTACCGACTTGCTTGTAGAAAGGCGAACAGACACATTGAGACGTGAACGCTGTGTCGCAGACAACATTCGAAAGCCCTCCACAATCGCTGGTACTTGAGCAAGACGAACCAAGTCCTGTTGACAAGAAATTCTAGGTATTTAGTATTTTATTTTTTTATTGTTTATATTCAAATGCAAATTTAAATCCGAGTTTTAAAAATGAGAAGTTAGAAAGTGACTTTTCGTACATGACTTTGAAGACCTCTGATAAGGCATCTCTTGAACGATGTCAATAGATAAAAAAAATGATTTTCTTTAGTTAGAAGAAGAAAATAAACGCCAACAAAAATAGTGCACACTGTGTAGTCACAAAATATAGTCCCTAATAATTTACGATTACGCAATGCAATAAGTGTACCAATATTAGAAATGATGTGTGAATCGTCGCATTTTGTTGGTTTTCATATTGTAAGTATGCCAATTGGTTGTTATAAAGCACGTGGGCTTATGACGTCATGCAACATTAAATTACTACGCACATGATAACAACATGTTATGACACGGTAACCATGCCACATATTTATTTATTAAAATTTTGTCATACCTATGAATTCACACTGGTTGAAATTGGTCTGTCTGTATCCAGTCTGGCATACACAAGTTCTTGGAAAGTTTGGATTGCAGCGTGCTGAACTTACTCCTCCGCATTCTGAATCTGACTGACAACTGTCACCTAAAACTGTTTACGCATACAAAAAATAGTACCAGTATGATTATCTATTGATGGTTAATAAGAAGTCCTTAATACCCCGTAAAATGCAGACTGGCTTACCGGAAACAACAAAGAGCGTGTTCTTACATCACAAGAATTACACATTTAACAGTTCATCAACTAGTGATCATTCATCTACAAATAACCATCCGGTTATTCTTGTTTTTAGTATTGTAACTCATCAATTCTATCCGAAAAGAGACTTGTTTCTTTGCCATGAACTTATATATTATATACATGTATGTACCATATCATTTTATCTCAATATGATTCGTATGAGTTTCATAAAGCAATAAAATCTTGATTATTATTTTTACCTATCTGGAGCACAAAACTGATTTATTTCATATAATCTACTCGGGTATATCGTGCCTGTTCGTGGAGATTGTATGATCGAAAAATCATGAGGTTGATATCAACATTTTATACGGTTGAATCGTAAATATATTAATCTAATAAAGTGAGGCATCACGAATTCATGAAGTTGAAATTGTAAATTTATGTAGTTGAATTGATGAATTAATGACGCTTACCGGTATGTCGTAAAAAGGAATGTTAATACCTATGAAGTGCAGAATAATGCATGTATTTATAGATTGTTTAACCTTTAAGAAGCACCAAACATTTTACTCGCGAAATTTTATAAAATACTTATTCCCTGCATTTATAACCTCTAGCTTTGAAAACACAAATCTTTTCAATGCACACTAACCTCTCAGAACGCAATTGTTGTTTACAACTTTATAGGCAGTCTGGCAGACACATCGCAATAGATTCGAGTCGCAGACGATATTTGGAAGACCTCCGCAGTCACTGTCGCGAACGCAAGGCGTATCCAATCCTGCAGACAAAATAAACAAATCGAAATAAATGTTATAATTTTACAGGATATTGATTTCACTTTTGACTAGCATAAAAAATAATGCAGATTTTGACGAAGACTATGGTGGCTGATTGTGTCATTCGTGTTTTCGCCCCACGACCCCGCTTAGCGAAAAGTAAAGCTTTAACAATTTAAAATGGCGGGGTTGCGGGACGAAAGCACGTTTCTTAGCGGGGGCGCGCGGCGAAGTTTTATTCATTAAACTTCGGCCCGCGCCCTCGCGTTATAAGCGCGTTTCCGTCCCGCGACCCCGCCGTTTTATTTCTTAAATATATATTGTTTATATATCTGTGGCACAAATCAGCCACCATAGAAGACTGAAACAGAACAAAATGTTTAATAGTTTGAAAAAGGTTTTATAAGTACATATAATGTAATTGTAAAAACAATACTTTTACCTATAGCTTCGCAGACATTATTGCTGTTAAGCCTAAAACCGGACTTGCAGGAACAAACTCTCGAGTTTACGTCACACGCAGCGTTAGTGAGGGCGCTGCATTCGCTATCAGTCTGGCAGATATCTCCGAATCCTTGAAGAAAACAGTATATGATACATGTATAACGTTGAGATAAAGTACTTAAAAATATCAAGCTTTTGCATGACTTGTAGTGACTGTCAAGAAAAAGTATGTTCATTATTAATATACGTAAATCTTCAGCAAATTTGGTGGGGTTCGTACACTCAGTGCCTGAAAGGGCAGATGGACCCTCATTAAGCATAGATACCCAACTACCAACCAGCAAAGTTCTTAAAAAAGCAACTTGAAATAAGAAATCAACAAATCTAGCAATTTATTCTGTAAGTTAATAACAACTCGTGCGAACGGCTGACGGCATTACAATGGTTTTTTTCAATTATTAGGCATCCTCGGTAACCCACGCGTACTAGTTACTACGGAAGACAGGCGGTGACATTTCAACTTCTATAATTCTTTGTTTTATCTTCACGAATTTATAATTTCACTTTTATGAATTCACGATTGATTTCAACATACAGAATTCACAATTTCAACTTCATGAAGTCAACATTTCAACTTCATGAATTCACGATTTGAACATCATTAATTCACGATTTCAACTTCACGAAATCAGCTTCATGAACTCGTTTTGAACTGCACGATTTCAACTTCGTGAAGATAAAATCTTGATTTTTTGAAGTTAAAATCGTGAATTTCAAAACATCAATTCATGAAGTCGTAACCGTGAATTCCGTATGATGAAAACGTGAATATACGATGTTAAAATTGTGAATTCTCAAGATGAAATATCCCCATCGGTCTTTCATACGTTACATTATAATCTTCATTCATGATAAATGAGCCGCGTCACGACAAAACCAACGTAATGCATTTGCGACCAGCATGGATCCAGACCAGCCTGCGCATCCGCGCAGTCTGATAAGGATCCATGCTGTTCGCTATCAGTTTCTCTACTTGTAATATAGTTCCTGATCAGACTGCGCGGATGCGCAGGCTGGTCTGGATCCATGCTAGTCGCAAACCTATTATGTTTGTTTTGTCGTGACGAGGCTCAAATGCAATTCTGCGGTAGCAGTATCCATGGGTTTTGACTATGGAAAAACGATTGCTTGACGACAAGGAAAAGGGGAGCATTTTTTTATATTTATAGAATGGAAGACTTACTTCTTAATCTACAGGTCAAACCATCTTGTATGTATATAGTTGAGCAAACACATTTGAATGTTGTCACTGTGTCACATGCGGCATTACTTACAGCTGCACAGTCACTATTCCTTACACAGCTTGTACCAAGAGCTAGAAACCATTGAGAAAGAAAGTACAATTACAAATGCATAAGCATTCTTATTCCATTTTTTAATCTCGATGGTGAATGTGAGAAGTGAACTTGAATTCTAGAAAGTCCATTGTGCCAAATAAGGTATTCAAAGTAAAACGATACTCAACATCAATAGGAAATTGTTTGGTTAATGCACGGCCTGACAGATAAGCATGGCTCCAAACTAGTGACATCACTCTAGTTTTATTCCGTCTAGATATTACAGTTGCGGCGTGCCATAATTTAAGGTTTGCTCGCCGCGTGGGTTAAAATCCCGTCAGGGGCAAGCCGTTATTTCCGTAAGTAACAAACTTTACACTCACTGCTTGGTACTGGTGGGTTCATGGAATGGATTTGAGTGTTACAATAAGAACATAGCTTCCTATACAATCATACAATCGTACTTAAATAAATTTGTTTTACAAATTTTACGAATGGCCGAACGAGTCAAATGAAGTTTTTACATTTACTTGAATATATAACTGTATTTTTGCCGGCACATAAACGCCAAGCTTGGCAGAAAAAAATATGTAAGAATCTAGAAAATATGTAAGAATCTAGGTCTTGTCATTCCATGATTTTCAAATTTCCCTTTCTTGGTCCCATTTTGCCCCTTTGCTGAAACCCTTATGCTTTAGTAATTCATCATTTCTAAAAATAAATATTCAGACTGACGCACAAAACAAGGAATCTAAACAAACATTTCTAAATGTACTTACCAGCCTGTACACAGACATTAAAGTTTAAAATAAAACCGGACGGACAAGCACACCGAGCAGTGTCACAAATTGCCCCAGATATGCCACCGCATTCCTGATTGCTTAAGCACACGTCACCGATATCTAAAATAGATATATGTTACTTTAAAAGGAGCGATGAACTAAAACATAGACCAATTCAACAATTAGAAGATCGGCGTAAATCTATAAATAGTTCAAGGAATCTATAAATAAACCATGTATTCTAAGAATAGATCAGGAGATTTATAAATAGATATTTGTATCTTTACCATACATAGTGTATAACTTGCTCTACTTGCTCTTTTATAAGTATTCATGAAGATGATATAATTATGAAATATTTTATATTATTTTAAGCATATAATAAATTGGGAATGACCCTAAAAATGCGGAGATGTAATTATTGCTGTGTGGAAAGCATCTACTTCGCTATTTGGATAAAATAGTTACCGTAAGCATTTTTTTTACTGAAAACGAACAGCCTCCAAAGAAGCTGCAATTAAAACAAGAACCGGTTGAACCGGGTGCTCCCCGAGAAGGTTTTGGACAAAGGAAAGTGCCCTTCTATTCAATGAGATTTATCTATCTATAAAGTTTCGTGATGATATCTCTTATAGTTTCAGAGTAAAGTCCCGGATAAAATTCAAAGTGTATAAATTAACAAAGGGCAATAACTCCAAAATAAGACAAGACTGTGTTTAGGTTATTTACCATTGAGGTATATTTACCTACAAAGTTTCATGTTGATATCTCTAATTGTTTTAGAGTTATGTCCCAGACAAAAGTTAAAAAGTAAAAATAAACAAAGGGCAATAACTTCGAAATAAGGCAAGGCAGAGTTGTGATTCTTTAGCACTGCACTTTTACCCAATGAGACCTATCTACCTACAAAATTTCATGTTGATACCTCTTAAAGTTTAGAGTTATGTCCCGGATAAAGTTCAAAGTTTTAAAAATAAACAAAGGACAATAGTTCAAAAATTAGGCAAGGCAGAGTTACAGTTCTTGTGCACTGCACACCTACTCAATGAGATCTATCTACCTACAAAGTTTCATGTTGATACCTCTTATAGTTTTAGAGTTATGTCCCGGACAAAGTTCAAAAATTAAGCAAGTCAGTGTTACGGTTCTTATGCACTGCACACCTACTTAATGAGATCTATCTACCTACAAAGTTTCATGTTGATACCTCTTGTTGTTTCAAAGTTATGTCCCGGACAAGAAAAGTGGACGGACGGACGTTCCAACATTTTGGGTTTAGGGGCTATTTTCTTTGTTAGTTTCTTTGTTTTCTTAAGGGGTACTAGCCCATAAACCCTTTGATCACGGAATGAACCTATTGTTCTCTTTTGTTCTCTTTACTGTTTTATAGCCCCTAAACCCAAAATGTTTGCTCGGACAGACGGACGGACAGACAAGGCGGCGACTATATGCTCCCCCGAAATTTTTCGGGGAGCATAAAAAAAAATCAGAAGTTAAGAACCGACCTCTCATAACACATGTGTTGCTTTCAACTTTAAAAGTTGTTGGACACGAACATGTATTTGCACTACAAAAAGCAGACGACACCCACTGGCAATCAAAATCATTCGTACATGCCTCGCCAAGTCCTGAAATGAAATACTTTGTTTCTAAAATGTTCAATAGTATCGAATGATCGTTTTAAAGATAAACATATTTAATAGCTATAGGTGTTGAAAACTAACTGTTTATCTTAGTCTAATGATATAAATGTCTGTCGAAAATTAACAGCGCTTTTCAATTTTGGGTCTTTTTTTTCACAATTAAAATAATTATTCAGTGAGAATGGAGTTAGCGAATGATCTGAAATTATGTACACAAGTTATTGGTCTAACCCTGTATCACATTTTAATCAAAAATCAATCTTCAAAAAAGAAAAGAAAAGTCCAGTGCAATTAATAAACTTCAGTGGAGTATTATTTTAAAGAAACGTGTACTTACCAATAATTTGGCATCCCTGGTTCACCTGTCTGTAACCCACCTGACAGCCACACACGAACGGAGAAACTTGGAAGTTACAAATACCTCCAAGGTAGCTTGCACAGTCACTACTTGCAGAACACACATCACCTATTTCTAAAATTATACAACACGTGACATTAATAATAATCACGTGACTTGAGCATAGATCAATTGACTTTATTAATAAATATCACAGATTTAAATGTACGATGAAATATATGGATTATATTATTTTAATAATATTGATCACGTAATTCAAATGTGAATCACGTGACTTAAATTAGATCACGTGACTTAAAGTAAAGTAAACATATCATGTAAATTAACCGCATCTACCATATTAAAAGACATTAAAAGATCACGTGATTTAAAGTAAAGTAAACATGTCATGTAAATTAACTGCAACTTCTATATTAAAAGACAAATATATGACCGTATTCTTTTTGCCTCAAATATTCAAATTTGAAACATATTCAAATAAATGTATTTCTTCTGTAATATGTATACGGATACGGTTTATCTAATAAATTTTTGTCAATATCAGTAATTTTTAAACAGAATTAGCCTTCCACGAGCACTAAGACTTTAGATTCCAAAATGTGGCGATTTTATTCCAAAAACAACAACAACAAAAGAAACAATCATAACAAAACAACAATTGTTCATAATTTGTTACCTTTGCGCGTACACGTGAAATCCGAAGTTCTTGTAAAACCTGCTGGGCACGTGCATGTATTAGATGCACATGTACCGGAAGTAATCAACCCGCATTGATCAGTGCTAATGCACGAGTCACCCAAACCTAGTTTTGAATAAAGAAAAGCAAAATCAAATAAACACAAAATATAAGTTTTACAAACCACTCTGTAAACAAATATTAAATACATGTAACAAGTATACAAATCTCCAAAGTTTAAAGCGGCCTTGAGCTTTTCTAAAGACTGAATATGTAATTTTAAGATAAATCTTTCATATAATTGCCAAATTAAAAAATAAGGTGGAAAATTAAATTTGTCGACGATAAAATAGAAACCCCTAAATACCTTTAATCTACCGGCCAGCTCACTATATTTAAATTAGTAAAGCTGGGTCTTCTATTTTTAGAAACGAACGTCACTGACGTGTTATAAATAGCCCTCGGGTGTGAAATTTCCAAGAACAAATTACCGAAACACTTAGTTGAAAAAACAATTATTGTTTTTTTTTCCAACAGAAAATAAAAGTTGAAGGACGCTTTTACCCATCGAAATGCTGGAGATTGATAAACTTTGTACAAGAGATAGATACCAAATATAAGTGATTTTCAAAAATAGTTTACATTTGTAGTTCTAGACATAAAGAATGGACATTTGATCAGGACTTGACATCATTTACTAGTGTTTAAACATATGGGTAGAACATATAGCTGTAGCTGTGTTTGCATTGTTAGTTAGATTTTTAAAGCTGCACACCTCCAGATAAGCAAAAATATTTCAATAAAATCAAACCCTGAGAAAAACGTACTGAGATGTTAGGAAAAGAAAAAAGATTCAAAATTCCAGTAATAGTTTGCATGTGATTATTGACCTATTTTGATCTCTTTTTTATCTAACATGGGTTCTAAGTGCCATTGATAATGTGTAAATTGCATTCTTTTTGGTAACTTTACAATATTATACTTTTAAATACATTTCAAATTTTCATGAAAATTAGCATGATTCTTGAGGCCTGCTGCTTATAAGGTCATATAATAACAAGAGGATTTGGCTATTCTAACTGTATGCAGTCTGACATCAAAATGGACTATTTCAACAAAACTTACGTCTTTGGTCGCAAGACCCTGTTGTCCTCTCTATGTACGTGGGCAGACAGACACACCGGTTCACTCCAGTGTCACAGAAGGAAGATGGTATTCCTATGCAGTCATTGTTGGAAGAACAGCTATCACCAAGAGCTAAAATGTGCGGGAAAATTATAACTTCTTGCACGAGCATTTTGAAAAAAAAAACAAAAAAAACGGGACGTAAAATGGGATGGCCTCTAGTGGACGGTCGGCGTCGTGACAGTGAGCCGGGCTTTATCTCCTAAATGCGCGAGGGATTTTAGTATTACTTTCAAGATACAAATTTCACGACCATAAGACGTTTTGTCCACGGCCATGAGACGTTAGGTCATTCAGTAAAATGTCAATGTCACACTTAGAGCTCAAAGTAAAAAACTTGTTCATAGCAAAACTTACATTGCGATATTTAATATCATTTAGCTAAAATGTTCGTCATTGTGAGATTGTGTGTTCCGTTAAAAATTCATGCCCCTGTTGCCAAGGTCAAAATTGCATGCATATTTAAAGATGCCACTAAGTCACTAAATCATAAACTTTAAGAACTTCATTATCATTTTTTTCTTTCAAGAAATATTTCATAAGAATATCCAAATGAAACATTTGATAAATTTATATAGGTTTTATCAATATTTGAAATACTTATGTTAAATGTACCCATTGTAGACCAATTCATTTTAAATTGATTCACTTTATTCAACAGAGAATAGAGAACACATTTCTTACGGTGGTCAGTAGGTACAAGTTTAACTGTAATATATAAAACCTTGCCCATACCTTTGGTCACACAAGAAGTGCCTGATTGAAAATAAGGTGAAGGACAATAACACGTTCTGGTCCCCGTGTTACACCTTGCCCAGTTTACAAGCGCACAATTAGAGTCTGTCGAACAAGTATCGCCAAGACCTAAAAAGTTCAAGGTCATACAAATATTTTCTTATGGCAATATTTTTCAGCGACAAAAACAACAAAAAATATTTGTTTTAAAAAGACGCATTAAATTGATTGATGGAAAACGGACACAAAGCTAGTGTTGCCTCGAACAAACTATAAATACCTTAACATATTGGCAAGCATAGATAATAAAGTAACCTAATCACGAACCTATTGGCGAGCAGGAGTTTGACAATTGTTGGGAAGTTGTTGAGCATCCACATTGTCCATTTGTGCCACAGATGCCCTGGACAATACCTTGACAGTCGGCATTTGAAGTACAAGTGTCGCCAAAACCTGCATTAGAAATCAAGCTTGCTGATTAATTTGACAAAATCCATTTAGATACAGCTCATTTTTGAACAGCACGATTCCAGCCTTGAATGTTCACCTATTGTCAAAAAGGCATAAGTGTCTTATTAGAATTAGGGTAATAAATTCGTCAAAACTCGTGAATTTCCGGGTTTTTTTGGCGGGTAATAGGCCTCATTAAAAACCTAGACAACGCTTCGGTATAACTCACAAACAACACAGCCTGGACTTTTTCCTATATTTATCTATCACCGTAATTTCTATTTATAGCACCGTAACTTCTATTTATAGCACAGTAACTTCTATTTATAACATAAATTCTATTTATATTCCCGTAATCTCCATAATTAGCAAATAGAGACAAGCAAGTCTGTGGTATACATATTTGGCTAAAGTATTTGCTTCTTTACATTTAGCTATGTTACGATAAGTAAATTTATTGATATTTCCTTCAAAAAGGGGCTTAACTCAATTCATATAAAGCACCATAATAGAAAAAAAGTTTCATTTAATTTCAGCAAAATTGCATAATACATGTAACAGGAAATAAAGTACCTTACACGAATTTGAAATCAGATTATGTATTGGTTGCTGCAAGTTTAGTTATCTGCTCTTGTAAATGGGCTAAACAAGCAACAAGGGCAGATAACTCATAAAGTAGGATAGTGAACCTATTTTTTTCATATTTTTTTTTCAATTATGATTCATTGAATTTTGCAAAGTACGAGAAAAATTATATTCACTAGTTGAAATTTACTCTCTCTGTAAATGTTAAAGATGATTATAGGAAACGTTTTATATTATTTTTCTTTACCTCTCAAAGTGCACTGATATTTATTGGTGACTTTGTATGCCGAAGGACACACACAAGTGAAAGTACCAAACGTATCACATCTCCCGTTTGTAACCGCAGAACAATCACTGTTAGAAGAGCAAGTATCTCCAATGCCTATATGAAAATGAACCAATCAAATCAATTGTTACAATTTTTGATATAGCTAAAGATACATTTACACCAATCAAATGGAATGTTATTTACATTTTACTAAAAGCACTCTATATCGAGTTTGATAATGTATTTCTATACGTAGCATCTATATTAATCATAATATTAAAAAGGATTTGAAAATATTTGTATTTTGCCGGTGACTCAATGGCTTTCTCTAAATATTGCACTACTAATAGGGCCCTTCTACCGATACGTTGTAGAAATCAAATTCTTAAATAGGTTCGAATTCAGCCTCAGAAGATATACGTTATTCAATGAACGTCGTCTGCTGGGTTACAGACGAACCGCGGTTAAACCAAGGAACCTACTTGAAATCAAAACAAATGCTGTTCATTCGCGGCCCTCGCGACAAAAGATCTTGATTAACTGTAGTTTTGCATCAAACCTGAACATTGTCGGCAAGTTGGAAATGATTTGTATAATTTAACTACAACTTGCCCCTCACCGCTGTGGGTTTGAATCCTAACAAGGATTTTGGATCCTTTCATGCTAGGAAGCTATCCAGCCACCTTACTTCTACTCAGGTACCCGTTCATTCCTGATTTAATGCAGAGGAGGACACCTGAGGTCATCCTCCACCAGTAAAGCTGGAAACGTCGCCATGCCAGTGTGACGTAAAACCCAATCAATCAAACAAATAAATAAAAAGTATAATCTAATTAAAGCATTAAGAAAAAGTAAAACTGTTTCAGAGTATATTGATATTGTATTATTTGCTTGTTTGTTAATTTGTTTTTTTTTATTTGTATTGCTTTCCACGTCTAGGAATCAAGTATATGACACCTTTTGTGCCATGTGGAGAAGACTTACCTCTTTGACAAGCGGTGGAGTCGTATGTAATTGCCTGAGATGTTAGTTTATTCCAAAATACAGACCGAGACTGAACGACCGTACATCTGAAAAATACGCAAACTACATTATAAATAAATGCTTTATACTTTGTTCTTTTAAAGTTTACATGAAGAATTTTAAGCGTTTTAATTTTCAATTATTTTTAGCGAGTTAGAAAATTATACAGCCCTAACATTAAATATGCCATCATTCAAAAGAAAATGAAAATATTCACTTTTTAACACTGACTTAAGACTTTTACCATTAATTTTAACAAAATATTTCTTTATAATTCCAAAAAACCACGATAATGCAAACGGAACACCATAAATCGCATCTTCTCAGTCATTTCCGTCAAACTTCAGATAAGGAGTAAGAATACACAGAACGGATACGGTATTTCGGTCTAACCTACGCTAATAAAATAAACATGTAAAAACAATAACAATTTAATGCTGGGAGTTGTTCCCCCCCCCCCCCAATATATCGAGTATAAGTCCATTTAAATTTAAGTAAATGTATAGATATAAAAGTAAACAGTACATTATTTAAGTACAAAATGTCTACTTGTTGACATTAATTCGGATTTGTTTATACATTATATTTGTTTGTACATCACTGGGCATTTTTAAACTGATTATGATTGTCAGACGCATTTTCAATAAAATTTTTTACCAAAGCAGACTTTATTTCCCTGTGTATGTCAAAAATATACGTTGGCTATACATTATCAAAGATAACACTCTAATTTTTCGTTTCTAAAACCACGTGGGAGAACTACTTTCAATCCGTAATAAGTCCGAGGTTATTATGAATAACAGCCGAAATGTTCCTATTGGCTTTATCATTAAAAAACATTATACAAAAAGTGATAAACATGATCAAATTGATAAATTAATTGAGTAAATAATGATATATGAAAAATCAAAAAACAAAAAAAAACCTTACACTATATACACAGTACCAGTACTGGTAGAAGACGGTCGCCACTGGAATCTGAATGACGTTTTGACGTTTGAATTCGAATGGGTCAGCGACGATCGCTAAAATCAGAAAACATATTTTTTATAATGTATTCAAATTGCTCACTGGTAATGCATTTGCGTGAGTGAAATTTCATACATTTTTCGTTCATAACATAATCATATTATATGGTGGCTGGTTTGGTACACATTGCGCGTTGCGGTGTCGATAGCGACAACACAACTTGTATTGATATCGCCTTATCGTCCTGTCGTCTTGTCGCTAGCGAAACGCACCAAACGGCGTGTTGTCTCACTGTCATTTTGTCGCTAGCGAAGCACGCAAAACGTCTCGTTGTCGTGCGGCCCGTGGTCACGATGTCACTAATCCTTCGATTTGAGCCAAGCGACAATGTGATATCGCCACCACAGACGCTTGGGGGTCAGATCCTGTCCCCAACGTGATACGCCCTTGTAAACACTCTAGCAAAACTATTTTAATATTTAAACACGAATGGGACATATATTACAACGATAAAAATGGTTTTCAAACAAGTTTTACATATATGAAAAAATACCGTATACCATCAAGTCTCAATGGTATACGGTATTTTTTTCATATATGTAAAAATTGTTTGAAAACCATTTTTATCGTTGTAATATATGTCCCATTCGTGTTTAAATATTAAAATAGTTTTGCTAGAGTGTTTACAAGGGCGTATCACGTTGGGGGCAGGATCTGACACCCAAGCGTCTGTGATCGCCACAACACGCCGCACAACAACGCGCCGTTTGGCTTGCATTGTTAGCGACAGGACGACAAGACGAAAGTCGCTAGCGACAACACGACGCACATTAGTGTTCCAGATCAGCCACCATAATATTAGGCAATAATCTTTAATACATGTTTGTATAATTATCCATCAATATTATAATAAATTTTAAGTATAGAGAATCTAGCTGTATTATAAATAAATGAATGAACGAATGGATGAATGAATGAATGAAAAAATAAATGAACAAATGAATGAATGAATGAATGAATGAATGAATGAATGAATGAACGACTGATCGAGTAACTTCGTTCAATAGAGGACATTGGATGAGTATAAGTTCACTTGAGTTATTATGCGATTTGGATCAAATTATATAATGCGAGCCTGTGGCGAGCAAAATATTATTTTTTATTCAAAGAGTTCAATAAATTCAGTAATAACCCCCTACATGAATGTCTTATTCTTTTTATTACATACCCCAAAAAGTGCAAAAGAAAACTGTTTTTATTGACGCGCCGATAGTGTAACGTGCTTGCACTACGATTGTGTAACGCAAATGACGTCACGTCAAAATATATGCACGACCGTGCAATAGAGCAACGTCGGGTATTACCGACTATCGGTAGTTATGGACAGTAATAATTATAATGTATTATCATGTCCATTATTTAGTACAAAATAGCTATTTTACGTCACTTATGATGTCATCAAGTATCCTGGAAGTCTGCGATGCCATTTTTTTCTGCAGAACCTAAAACACATTCTAACGAAAGCGAGCCAAAAAAAGGTACCGTATACGTTATTTATTTAAAAACATGCCTTACCCGCGCAGTTAAAACGGGTATAATCTATTTATTTCTTGCACGTTACTTTAAAGTGTTAAAATAACAATAAATGCCATTTTATTTGATTGCATGAACGTTTATCTTTGACATGTAGTGAAAAGATACTGTTTCGATTATGTGTGTCATTATAAGCGGGGTTGTCGATGAATACCGACAAAAATTGACCGTTAAGGCAAATATCGACAGGTTGTGTATGCATCCAAGTTAAATCATTAAATATGCCTATCTAATGGAAATGTCCTTATTATTAGTGTTAATTAAAGCTGTAACTTTGTTTTTCATTGTTATTAAGACAAATAAAGATTAATTTATGCTAATAAAATAAAAATCAATAACGGATAATTAGATAATACCTTTTTACTTCAATTTAATATCTTTTTTTGTGTATATACATATGTTTTTTACTTATTTCAGAATGTCTGGCCAACTGTTTAGTAAGAAGAGGCGTCAATATTCTCCTACGAAATTGGCAACAGCTCTTACCATGGTTAAGACAGGAGCAATGTCTAAAAATAAAGCTTCTAAAATGTACGGCATACCAAGAACAACGTTGATTGACAAGTTGTCTGGACGAACGGCGGAGGGGGTGGTACGTCCGGGTCCATCGACTGTCCTCACGTCAGCGGAGGAAGACGTCCTTGTACAATACTCAATACTCATGGCATCAATTGGTTACCCTCTGACCCGGAATGAACTTTTGAATGAGGTCAAGGTCATTATGGATATTGACGGCCGCCAGAATCCTTTTAAGAATAACAAACCAGGCAAAGACTGGTTCTATGCGTTCAAGAGGCGACACCCAGAGTTACGTGAACGCCAGGCAATGACTCTTGGTCATCAGAGAGCAATCGTTAACAAGGCCATGATTGATGGGTGGTTCGCAGGATTATTCGATTATCTGGCAAAAGAAATACCCGATCATGAGGTTCTTAAGAATGACCCGCGTCGCATATTCAATGCGGACGAGAGTGGTTTCCCTCTCTGTTTCAAAACGGGAAAGGTTCTTGCCGAAAAAGGTGCTCGTCACGTATATAATGTAACAACCAGCAACAAAACACAACTCACGGTCATGGTTTGTTTTAACGCTTTTGGCGACTATGTTCCGCCATTGATTGTATTTCCAGGCGAACGTCTGCGAGACACTGGTATTCATCAGTTTCCAGAAGCTATTTATGGCAACAGCGCGAATGGCTGGATGGACACAGACTTATTTGTTGCATTCCTGCAACACTTCTCTGCTTTCATTGATGCTAAGTGTATCACTAAACCAGTTCTCTTGTTTGTGGACGGACACTCCACGCACATATCTCGTGCTGCAGCAACATTCTGCGCTAACAGCGGGATAATATTATATTGTCTTTTGCCAAACGCGACGCATATTTTGCAACCATGCGATGTCGGCTTCTTCTCACCCATGAAATCGTCGTGGAAAAGGCAGGTTAAACTTTGGCAACTTGACCACATCGGAGAAGCGCTTACGAAAAAGAATTTCCCGGGAGTGTTCAAATCCGCGTGGGACTCTGTCACCACTTTTGACAATGCTGCACATGGTTTTCGACGTTCCGGATTATTTCCCTTGAATCCAAACGGCATAGATATTTCTAAATTGGAGCCGTCAAAGGTAGCTAATCCTCCCTGCACCGCTGGCGGAGATGCTGCAACAGTTTCTGCTGCAACCACTGTAACATGTACCACAAGTGAAACTTGCACAGCAGCCTCTTCTGCAAATGGCTCAACTACGAATAATTGCAAAACTGCGTTCATTAATAGTTTATCCTCTGCTCACTTACCAAATACGGTTTCTTGTAGGCAAACTTTTGTTTCGCCAGCTTTTCAGTGTCTTACTGTTCCAGAGCCAAAGCAACGGAAAGTAGTAAATCGATTTTCAGAAAAATTACCTAAGGCTATTTCTGGATCTGCGGCACTGAAAATGTTCGAGGAAAGAGAGGCTAAAAAGGCTGCCGAATTGGTTGAAAAGTTAAAAAGAAAAGAAGAAAAAGAAAAGAAAAAACTAGAAAAGGAGAAAATGAAAGAAGAAAAAAGATTACAAAGAGAAGAAGCCAAACAAAAAAGGAAGATGGAAAGAAAATCTAAACAAAAACAGAAACGTTCAAGAAGAGATAGTAGTAGTTCATCCGATAGTGATACAGTGCGAGTGCAGTTCATGGATTCTGATGACGCCTTTGACGAATCTAAACTCTGTCCCGGATGTAAAACATCAGAGAGCGTTGATGATGATGATGAATGGGTCAAGTGCCTAAAATGCCCACGACAGTGGCACGTGCTTTGTACCGGGGATGCCGTGCTTCTTGAAATTCCAGCAAATCAGCTTGCAAACTATCCTTTCTATTGCGAGTACTGTATTTAAAGGGAAAATTATGTCGAAATAAAGTAATGTCACTTACTTGTTCTCACAGATCGTAATAAGTAATGAAATAAACTAATGTTATGATCATTTTTCAGGTTTAACATATTTTTTTTAAAATTTACTTCACCTGTCGATAAATGCCTCCAGTAGTCGGTAACTGCCTCACATAGTCTTTGTACTGTTAGAACGTTATTGCATCTAATAAACAAAGTCAGTATACAAACATATGAATTTGTTTTAGATTAAAGGCAAACTGAATCATCTAAAATAAACCTAGGGTCTAAACGGGAAAATCGGTTAATTTATTAACAAATGATGTTAAACCTGTCGATGATACCCGACATTGCTCTACCATTTTTACAGAGTCGCAGAAGCAGCACGGATATGTGATAAATGTATATGACGAAGATTCCACAATACATGTATACGTATATAAGTTTAGTATTACCGAGCCACAGTTATTTTGGGCCGTAGATGATGTATCTGTGTCAATCAGTACCCCATCTGTTACACTGACGCTGGGATTTTGTCGTGGTTGGCATAAAAATCCTTTGAAAGTCTGTGTCCCTACTACGGTCAGCGTCACTGAAATATGCGCACAACATTTGAAACGTCACATTTCAATTTCACAAATGGACGGAAGTCGTGTTCGTTCTAATAATTGTTTGGCTCTTAAGCTTGAAGAAAATATACCAGGGCTCACTTGGCAAAGGTCATTAGAATAGTAAAAAATCAGAGTTTGTAAATTTCTGATTTATGATAAAGAAGATCTAATTATACATGTATAAACAGTGCAATTATCAATGTTCCTTTCAATTTATAAGTAGAATCGGAATATAATCCAAATTAAAAATTAAAACAAAAATTATAAAGCCAGCTACTTCCTGTTTAGATCAGTCTTATTTGTATAAGTCTTAAAATCATTCATGGCTAAATGATTAAATTCACTGATTTAGAGTCATTTGCTTTTCGTCTTTATGGGTTCGAAACGCACTTGTTACTATAATATCTTAAGTGAAAGGAATACAAGTACGCTAAAGAAAGGGTGTTACAATCAGGTGTCTGCATATGATAGTAATTAATTGAGTGTTATCTGAGGTCCCCCCCACCCTGCAAGTAAACTTGCCCTTAAAGTTAACAGAGCCGAAGTGGCAAAAAATGACCTACCATCTACATTTCTGGTCGAGCAGTAAGTCTGGGAAGAAAGCTGGATGACATAATTGGACGGTCCTGTTTGCGGTAAGGTGCCGGAAGTGATCATAGGTGACGTCGGCAACATATCAACGCACGCACTTGCAGGCGCACCATTTGAATAAGCTTGCACGGTTTTCACGGACCCACCGATACACAGTAGAAGGATTATCAACGTCTTATTCATTTCTCAACAGCGAAAACTTTTTCATTCTGAAAAAGGAAAAATAATTTGATATTCATATTAATTTAATAGTTTCAAGAAATTTTTGTTTCATTTTGTGTCAATACAAAATGCTTTTTTTACTTTTTTATCTTATATTTCTGGTCCGAATTATTCCAGGCACGAGCGATATTTGAAAGAAAGAACGAATGGGGGAAAAAACAACAATAAAATACAAAAAACACAATACAATCCAACAATTCCCCAAAAAGAAAGAAAGAAAAAAAAACAACAACAACAGCAACACAACGACAACAACATCAACATCAACAACGTCAAAACAGCACAAATAAACTAAACAGCAACACCAACAAAAAAAAAAGAGTGAAAAACAACAACAACAACAACAACAAATAAACAAGATTGGTGCCAGGAACAACCTGATCTTGATCCTGCTGAGTCCATGTACGCGTTGAAGCACGTGGTTTAACGAAGTTATGTCATGCGCAGGACACCATGGTACTGTATGCGCAAAAACACAACAAAGAGAAAAAAAAACAACAACAAAAAACAACAACAACAAAAGACAACAACAAAATGAATAAATAAGGAGATAAAAAGAATAAAAGGTGGAAGTGTTTCCTGCATTCATAACTTCGTCTTTCTTCCCTTCCCTGAATATCTAATAGTTCCAAAACTATAACATTTTGGCAGAAAAAGTCAAATGACACGCACCTGCTCAGAAACGTTTTTGTTGTAGAAATCGAATTTTCAATTTTGTCGGAATCACATTGAAACACGTTTCTAAATGGTGAAAGTGGTGTCCATAATTTTACGATGAACGTGACATCCTCAATTATGCGATGTTTATGTTTCAATGTGTGTGTCCTTTGTAGCTGTTGTTGTTGTCTATCCTTAATGAGGGTTCATCCATCAATTCAGGCACTGAGAGTACGGGCATGTCACCAGTCATGCCCTTTAAATGTTTTGAAATCGAAAGTGGTGACCTATTTGATTGAAATTCAGTAATTCACTGAATAAGCCCAAAAAGAATGCAATTATTTTTATTTGTTATTAATGAAAAAATGCACGGGAGGCCAATAAGACCATTATATGCATTTTGTTAAGATGTTGAATGTGTTGCTGCCTAAAATAAAGGATCAAGAAGCGGACACGCAAGGGTAAATGACATAGGCCATACGGACACTCGGGCAAGCAGCAAGCAATGCTTGTGTCCAATTTAAATTTGGGGAATTGATACTAAATCTACGGAAGCAAACATATGTCATCTTTGCGAATACGAATGGTGATAAGAGAACATTACTGAAAGCCGGCCAATGAAAACAAGGGTATCCCAAGAGCTATATTTAGAATGCAAGGGTTCAAGCCAATGAGAACAAGGGTATCCCAAGAGCTATATTTAGAATGCAAGGGTTCAAGCCAATGAGAACAAGGGTATCCCAAGAGCTATATTTAGAATACAAGGGTTCAGAGCGGAACTACTTTTCGCCTTTTACTATCTTTATACTTTCCTTCCTTTGAGCCCACGATTTATACATGTACATATTGAGTTATTCCAGTCATTCCGACATAATATAATATCGGCTATATAACTTTATAGTCTATATCAGTTAGAAATGAAAGACCCTGGTTAACTTGATTAAGAAACTGAACGCTTGTCTCCCCCAAATTCTATAAATTGTTCATGCGCAGTAATACGTTTGGTAAAACTGGAAAGAAAATAGATCCGCGTATATGATTCACAGATCATATATCAATGTACGAAATTTAGAACGTCTGTCCTCACCCATTCGAAAAAGCCAGCCCCAATTCACCGATTCAAACACCATGAAGAAGTATAATCACTAATTTAATCCTAGAAATTGATCCATCCTTGAAGCCGTAAATAAATGTTTAATTTTCAGAGATAGTTTAGAAGAAAAAAATGCATAATAATTAAAAGTTTAGCTGTGAATTCTTGTAATAAAAATTTGTGTATTTGGAGTTATATGTGTTTATACATATGACCATTGGGAAACGTTTTTCGTGGAACCTTATACATTTTATCATTTTTTTCAAACATGATTTTCTTCAATCGCAAAAAAACTTTTTGCCGCCGGCCACACCCCGTTGCAAACCAGTTTAAAAGCAGAACATTTTGGATATTAAATCATAAAATATAATGTGCATAGTTATACATAAATATACTTTGATGCATTATATTTATAAAAGTTTAACTTAACGTTCTCATTCAAAGCGAAAATACACTAAATAAAATTTTCGTGAAATACACGTACTTTCAAGGTACAGTAACATTTTTTCAAAGTTAAACACAATACTTGATTACTTACGATTTAGAGCTAAAACGTTAACATCCGAAAATGAACAACAATTTAAAGTATTAATTCAGGGTGTGTAAATTTTGGCCAGTGAAAATTTTTAGGTATAAGGCTGTTAAACTTGTTGAATAGGTCTAAAAATAGCATCAATTGTGTCGAGGGTAATTCAAGCATTTATTCTATAGTAGTATAATATATCATAAATGATCAAATAATTTAACAAAATAACATATAATAATGGTTTATTCAATTAAAGACCTCGGTGAAATATGGTGTATCAAGTTATGCAGAAGAGAGTTTGTGCGTGCTGGAGTGCCCGGATCAGGATCGACCGCGTCACAGCGCGAGAGATCTTATGCGTCTGTTTTCAAGCGCGCGGTTCCAAGACATTGTCAGTGTGTTTTTGCGCGTGCTGTCCGCGCGCTTTTGAGGGAATGCGTTATTTTATTCCTGTTTTGTAGATATATGCGCATGCGGGCGACAATATATAAAACATTACAATGCATGCATATACCTGATGTTCAACATTCAACTTCCTACCTTATTTAAATCTAATACAAATATAGACTATTAATGAAACTTCATTTTATGCAGAAACAAAATCAGGTTTTAATGCCTTCATGCTTTATGTATAAAGTTAGAAAACACCTCCATGTTGCGTGCAAAAGCATTGTTTACTAATGTAATCGAATTAATAATTAAAAGAAAACTTTTATATAGAATAGTGTAATGAAGCTACTGTTAACTGAAAAATTTCTTTTACCTTTTACATGGCTTAATATAATTTACATTTCACTTGATAAAACATGTTTTTTACATGACATAATGAATAATATCTTTTTTCACGGTTTAATGAGTTACATATTTTACATGGTATTATTAGATTGATGTTTTACAAGCCTTCTTTAGAAACATAATGAAAATAATTCATAAATAAGACATAATGTAATAGAGCTTTTACATGACATAATCAATTATATCTTTACCTGACACAGTGAAAAAGATCGTTTACCTGGTGAAATTAAATAGATCGTCAACATAACATTACTGAATCAAATTCTGACGTAGCATAATGAATTATATCTATTACACGTACAAAATGTAAGGAAGTAGATCTTGTACTTGACATGGTAACATAGTTATATTTTACATGACATTATTGAATAAATCTTTGACATAACATGACATAATTAAATATATCATTTACTTTGCATGGATAAATAAGTATGTTTATGTTTACATGGCATAATGAAATAGATCTTTTATTTGGCATTATTTAATAAATCTCTGACACGACATAGAGAAATATACATACATACATACATCTTTTACTTTGCACAGAGAAATAGATATTTTACATGACATAATATAATGAAATAGATATTTTACATGACATTATTGAATCATCTTTGACATGTGATGACATGACATAATGAAAAATCTTTGTATGAGAAAATATATATTTGTGCTTGACATAATTTTATTGATCTTTTACATAACATAATTGAATACAATATATAGGTAATGGATGTTATGTTACAATAAAATATATCGTTATAATGACTTGTTAAAGATATTCGATTTGTTATTCAAAAGTATTTAAAAGAAAAACAAACATCATGTCCTTGCAAAGAGGGCCTTGAAATCGTCTATGTGTGTCTACTTGTTAACAATGTAAACGAATTCCTAATTGAATTTGAATTGGTGTTGTAGTCAAATTTTTATCCTCGGATAGTGTAAATATTATTTTGCATATAAGGAAGTGTGAAACTTCAATTTTAATTTGACTATAAAATTTTAATGTGTTTTTCTTCAGCTTTAAAAGATAGTCATAACCAACACTCTAAGTGTTTGTTTAACTGCACATGTAAAGAAATTGAATAGAAATAAATAGCTTTAATTATCAGTATTGTGTGATCAGGCGAACCTGATTAAATAACGTTTTTATACATTTTCTTCCACATTTTTAATTATTTATATTTTATTTCCAATTTTGATTAAGCAATTAAGGCCAGGGTTAAATCTTTAACCCTCAAAAATAAGATTTAACCCTTACCGCGCTAAATATCTTAAATAGACGTGTCAATCTATTAATCTGAACAAAACAAAAATCATCATTCTTTACGTAAAACTTCAAAATATGTACTGAAGATCAGGATAGCGCCGATTATATGATCAAACAGGCTGGATGTGCCGCCTAATATCGGCCTAAGCTTGCCGCATGGGTAGAAACAGTTGCCGCTAGCAATTAGGTTATGGGTTAAAATATATAAAATTAATCGAGTCGAAATACTATTAAGTCAAGGTCTAATTGTCACGTACCTATGTCAAAATGTAACAGTCATTATCTATATTAAATCTTTTTTCCTTTTCAAAAACATTTCAATAAAGACCATTAGCACACGAAATTGACACCAAATTTGTTGAATTCTTGCAATGTATATCGATGATTTAAGAAGAAGAATAAAAATCCAGATGGTAAGCAAAAACGCGCTTATGTTAGAAAATAATAATATTCTAAGACTTGTTTTGTAAAAATAGTTACATTTTCTATTGAAATAAGTCAACTGTGTCAGTAAATAAAGCGCTAAGGTATCAAAACGCCTCAAAAATGCTTATTTATCATCAGATTGGAAAGAACGTTGTTTTCCTATAAGGAAAAATTACAAAATTATGTTTAATTATGTCACTTTTATGTGTTTTGAGCAAAAAATAGTAGATTCCTTTCATGTTTTATCTGCTACATAATTGAATATAAAAGTAAAAAATAAGAAGCTCGGATTTGTTTGGATGATTAATGTTAGGAAGATATCATTTCAAACAATTAAGCGACTAGTTGGGAAAAAACTCACATTTTCAAAGAATTATATTTAGGTTCATCCAAATGTTATAATGTCTCCTGTTTAAAGTGTTACAATTGATATTTATGCTGTAGCAGTAAAAATAGAACAAGGTAATAAACAGATAAAGTGATGATGATGGTGATGATGATAATGATGATGATAATAAGAAAATGGAGGCTGAAGAAGTAGGTGGAGAAGAGGAAAAAGGAAGATTATGATGACGAAATAGAAGAAGCAATAGAAGAAGAAGAAGAAGAGAAGATGATGAAGAAGAAGAAGAAGATGATGATGAAGAAGAAGATGATGGTGGTGTAGTGAAAAGAAAACAAAGAAGCTGAAAGTGAGATGATTACGATGATTATGATGACGATTACAACGAAGAAGACAATAATGATGACGCTACAGTATGGGAGTAACTATTGAGAATATGACGACGTTAATTATAATGACAATAATGATCCATCCTAATGACTACGACGACGACGACGATGATGATGATGATGAAGTTGATGATGGATGATGACGACGGCGGCGATGATGATGTTAATTATGATGATGATGTTGTTGTTGATTATGATGATGATGATGATGATGATGATGAAGTTGATGATGGGTGATGACGACAACGACGAAGGCGGCGATGATGATGTTAATGATGATGATGATGTTGTTGTTGTTGTTGTTGTTGTTGATGATGATGATGATAATGATGATGATGATGATGATGATGATGAAGTTGATGATAGGTGATGACGACAACGACGAAGGCGGTGATGATGATGTTAATGATGATGATGATGTTGTTGTTGTCGATGATGATGATGATGATGATGATGATGATGATGATGATGATGATGATGATGATGATGATGATGATGATGATGATGATGATGATGATGATGATGTCGTTGATGATAATGTTGATGACGATGATAACTACGATGTCGAGTGTGATAATTATTTTATTTCCTTTACAAGAAGTCAGTTAGTATTGATAATCAAAAACACAAGTTGCATACAATGTCAAGTATACTAAATTACGTCAGATTACGTCATATTACGTCATGATAATTAATACATTAAGTAACAATTTTATCAAGGTAATAATTCAGGACATGTTCTGTTCTGCTCTGTTTTTAAAAAAAAACAGGAAGTTTGAATTGAAATCAAGCATGTAATACGATCTGTTAAGTCATATATAGTAAACACCAAATGAAAAACAATATGTATTTAGTATACGTTACGTTTGTACTGTGTATTGTAGGCTTAATGCAAATTGCAGTTAAAATGCTTATATTGATTATTGATTATTAAATACGTTGTACCAAATATAACAAGAGGAAGTTATTTTCAACGTCTGTCTAATAATTCAAACGTGTTTAAATAAATTATGCATAACACTTTAGAGTCTACATGGTCTGCTAGGTGTAATAATGTAATAATCTATATTCTGTTCTGTTCTGTTTTAATACATTTATTTTGCTACATTAAATATGTATATCGTACAAATATGAATCAATTTCATTCAACAAAGTAAATATAAGCTTCCCAATCTGTTTTATGAGCAAAAATTAATCGACCAAACAAGTATTAAATATCGATTTTGTCTTTTAAACGCATGATAGTTAAAAAAAAATAAATAAAGCAATTTAAAAATGAAAGAAACACAACAATTTTGCCTTACCGGGTATGCTTTATTCACATGTAAAGTCCATTTACGAAAAATATGCACTAGTATAGTAAAACTTGACACTGAAAAGGATAAATTACTAAATGTTCATACACCAAGCGTAAATTGAAAGAGATCCTATTCTCGTCGCCAATAAACCGGGTACACAATTATTACCATACAATTAACAAGCATAATAGTATGGAAGACCGCGGACGAATTGTCACCTTGTTTGATTTATATAATATTTGTTTTCTTTAAACCAACGGGGTATTCTATAAACTGTTTAAAATCGGAAGATGATGTTTTAACTTGGTAAAATTATTGTAATTTTTTGTATGATTTGCGCTTTGTACAAAGAATTTTGGATGTATCACTATTCGTAAAAGTTTGTTTCGCTTCGGGTGTATATAAATGGTTGCGTAAACGCTTTTTAAATGGAAACATATTTAATGGGTTTTCATGAATAATTTAATAACCGTAAGTAACCGTAAGTAATATTATCGAAAATGAAAACATTCATATTTCACGGATATTTGATATTAGCCCATATTTGTTTTTTGTTGATTTTTTGGCTCATTTATGGTGATGAAGTCAAACTTTACTTTGCCTTTTTTGCAGTGTAAAATTACAAATGTACAATTTCAACATGTCATACAACTCGGTTGTCTGCAGTTTAACCGAAGTATGAATTACTAACTTTTCGTGAAACTGTGTACATTTAAATCTTGACGAACTATTGCCTTCCTGTAGAAGCATTTAACGGAGGTCAACAATGAGGCAGGCGAATACTATAAAATCTATGTACACTGTTTAGGTTGGATTTTGCTGTGACAAATTTTACAAAGGAAAAAAGGCCCTTGAGACACCTCTGTATTCATTTGTATACTGGGAAACGCCTGTATATTATTGTCGATCTTCCGCAAGTTTGCATAAATATTGGCGGCGTGGCCGTGTGGTTAACGCGTCGGACTAGTAATCTAAGGATTGCTGACCGCGTGGGTTAAAACTCTGTTAGGGGCAAGCCGTTGTTTCCTTGAGCAAGAAACTTTACATTTATTGCTTAGTACTGGTTGGTTCCAGGAACGGATTCGAGAGTGTTTCAATAAGCTTATAGCTTCCAACACAATCGAACTAAAATAAATTTGTATAAACTAAATATTGTACTTCGCTCGTACTCTCGGTACGTGGACGTCGTTGAGAAGGCACGGGCATCGGCAGGTAATTTGAACTCGGATGGCGGAAAATAAACAGAGACCAGAACTTGTACTTGCAGAACAGCTGCCGATGTTCTGACTGAAGCCTTCCTAGTGGCCATACAGAGTAAGCAGAAAAGACGAGGAAAGGTGTAAGGGTGCGTGAGTCCAAAGCACGAAGTGACTGCTTGAAAGGCACGCCATTTTCTTAGCACCAACAGTCCTTTACAGGCATATATCCTTTTCATATTGTCTCACGTTACTGTACATTTAGGTTCTCATTTGCCGCCGTTCCTACACTTAAACTAAACCCAATGTATATACAATCTTAAGATCCTTACGCTCCCTTCGGAGCTCACTGAATACACTCACGTTACTTCAGGCAGTACTGTAATCGATATCGAAACATTCGACCGATGCGCAAGAAAGTATAGGCTCCTTAACCAAATATGACTCTAAGAGGTAAGGTAAATGTTCAAAGGTAGCTCTTTTTTCTACCTCACATTGTAGGTAAAACCTTACTTTGCATTAGTTAAGTTGACACACTGACATTGCCAGGTTAGGTAAACACACACACATACACGCACGCACGCACACACGCACGCACACACACATGCACACACGCACGCACGCATTAAAGCTTAAAGCGTCTCTGTTGAGAATCGTACACGCAGTGGTGAGTACCGGCGTCATAAGCATCTGTAGCCATTTGGCAAAAGAGGTTATATTAACTCTCGAATTGTCTCGTGTCGGTGGACCGGGAATTTTAATAGCACGAATGCACTTCCATTTATAATGGAATTATAGCTTTGCTGAAATTACAATTTGAACTAAATGACTTGTTTGTGATACTGTTAATTTTATAAAGCGAAGGAACGAATAAAAGAGATATTTTGACATTGATTACAATCAATTTCCCCACACAACTTTTGTGTTTTCCTTGCGACCAAACACGGACGAATTACGTTGGTTTGCGTTGGTTTGTTTGAGTCCTTCGTGCGAGGTCTCTTATCCGGAAAGAGCCGATGATTTAACGAATGGATACAAAAGCGATTTGACCAAGGTCTATATTGTCGCCTTTTCATTCTGATATCCCTTAAACTAGTAATGGAATTTCCCAAAATGGAAGCTGAACAAGTCCATTTTAGAAATACAGCATGTAAAGGTTCTAGTGTCCTAGACTTTTATAAGTCCAATCTGTGTATTATGAACGCTTCCACTAATAAGAACAATCGTGAGTTTTCTAAAAATAAAATACTGTAACGTGAATCAGAAGGATTGGCAATTTTCATTAAATGTCCACAATGAAACACTTTCTTTTTATAACAATAGTGCATTGCCTATTCCTTTCTAATCATATATTAACATTTAATGAAAAAGAACAAAAAATATGAGCGTAAAATTTATATTATTTTTTCTTTGAATTGTTATAAACGCTTATTTATTAATTTCTTTTTGAAACTATCAGTCTACGTCTATAAACATGAGTTTTTTCGTAAATATAATCATAATTATATCGTTTTATAACTGTTGCATTCAGTATTTTCAAAAGAAAAGCCCAATGTGTACAGTGCATATATTTTAAGCATACAGCGTGTCTTGCAAAAAAAAAAAAAAATCCGAAATATGATTACATATTTACTTTACATTTATCTAAAGCATTTTTTGGTAATAATAAAGCCCTTTTCACAAATTTCAATAGCGAACAGTTTATCACTTTTACAAAAAACTAAGTTAGAAAAAAAAATCTCATGCGGTATGCAATTATCCATCTTGCCCACAAATAACTTCGTACCAATTCAAAATATACTACCCATTTTCGTATCAAAACTGAAAACATCTTTCAATGATTTATCTTTAAACTGTACTAAAATTCTCTACTATTACAGTTTTCTTTTATTTCATAATTGTAAAATATTGTAGAGATCTGAGCGCGGTTTATTGTTAACAGTCTTCGCTACCCGAAGCTATTATGTTTATTCATTGAATAGAAAAATGAGAATAGGGTTGAATTAAAGGAATGTACCACGGTAAGATGAGAACCTATTTATCAAGGCGACCTTAATGCTGATGAAATTGATTGTTGCAAAGATACGGTCGTTAACCCTCCATAAATACGTTAAATAACTTTAAATACACTTTTAAAAAATCCCAGTAAAAGTGTAAATTAGGAAATAATGTATTGTGTGGTACACATGAACATGCGAGATTTTAATTGCTGTGAATGCAGTTTATTATGTGAAACACGACATTGGCGCAAAATTGGAGAGAAAAAAATGTTGAAAATCATATGAACACTGCAAAATTAATTTTTTACTTCCCGTTTAACGCCTTATTTTCCGAATGATTTATTTTGGTCATATCGCACCTGTTTAAATTATATGTAGAAGATATGCATAACTTTGCAACAAGTTCTAAATGCCTCCCCACAAAATATAAAATATTAAAGGCTCATTATACAGAAATGTTATCATTAATGTTTCATTTCTCGAAAGCTGGTTATGTTTGGTATCTTGTTACAGTTTCCAAAAGCATTTTCATTTTTTATATACATGAAGTGTCTTTTGCATCTTAAGTTATGTTGGCAAATGGTATAATTATAGTGAATTAGCTTTTTTGTATGGAAGTCAAAATACTACAATAACTTTGTCTACATTTTGCTACCTGTACGACACATAGCTGCACGTGCAGAGCTACTTTTTTTCCAGTTATATAACATCTAACAAGTAGTTAATCAATTATATACTAGTAAACATTATTAAACACATGTTTGACAGTTTTAAATAATTTAAAAAATATGGATTTTAGAGACATAATGTATACCTTTAAGTTTACATGTATTTTTCACTAAAATTTATAAATTGTTAGCTCATATAGAAAGATAGACGAGTCAATTTAAGATATTTAGCACTGCACGCCTCCAGATGAGTAAAAAAATATCAAGAAAATCAATATTGAGAAAAATATAAAAACATTTTAAGAAAGGTAAAATCATTAAAGATCCAAGTTATATTTTAATAAGTAATGTGCGGTTTATGATTGATTTTACGGTATTTTATCATCATATCTTTAAGGGCTGCTTTTGCATATTTTGACCACCTTTTGGTAGTTTTCTAGGATTGTAAGTGCCGATTGCAATATGTAAATTACTATTTTTGTTCACCTCACACTATTTTACTTTCATATACATTTCTTAAGTTTTCACAAAAATAATATGAATCTGCAGGCGTGCTGCTTTAATAGGGTAAAGGGTTAACGTCTTAGCAAAAAATCAACAACACGCTCAGCAATTCAAATCTCATTCCCAAAGCACAAAAAACACATATTAATATATAAAACCACTTAAATCTAGTGTAATTAATCAAAAAGAAGAAATTCATGTAATCATTGCAGTCAACCATGGTAAAATTTAAGTTACAGCAGGTACGTATATTAACCTGGTTACAGCCGGCAGAAAAAAACACAACTCGAGATAATATCAGATTTAATACATCTTATTTTCGAATTAAATGTTCACTGTAGTAAATCATTACTGCTCTTCTTCTTTTTACATGTATAGACATATAATTGAAACTTGAAACCAGAGTAGGTTAGGCAAGGTTTCTTTTGAAAATATTTTCAATGAACATACCAACTGAAAAGATTAAAAAAAATTGAATTAAAGTTCCATACATAAACTTATATATTACATAAAAGTTCTTTGATTCATTGTAGCATCTATCAACTAATCATGGCCGCTTCATTCATTACTGTCTCATATTCACGAACAAAGCGACTGCACGTTATGATGGGCAAATGACGTCACATATGACGTCATTTTCCGTAGGACGTTTTTTTCGTACAAAGAAACAATCTCATCACTTAAGGGGCAACAATCTCGTAATTTGTAATCTTTTTTAACTAAAATTCAACAAATGTAGATTAAATGAATCCACACGCATACACACGCACACATACACACGGACACACGCACACACATATAATTATATCTATCACATACACGTGCCACTTTTAGGACTCCAGAAAACGGTATTGCACGGCCGTGCATATA